TATTACTTACTTCCTACTTTATTAATTAATTAAATTGCCTGCCTTATATACTTTAGATTACTTAAAGCTATTTATAACTCTTAGCCCCTTATACCTGCACCTTACCCCTTTCCCTCTATAACTTATAATTTTATAATTATAGATATAGCTATTATATTTATAATTCCCCTATATATATTAATTTAAAAGTATTTAATTAGTTAATCTATTTACTTAATTTGCCTATCTATAGTCTTTATCCCCTTTTAAAGTGCTAAAGACCCCTGCTATCTGCACTTATATTTATTACCTTTAAATATTTCCTTTTATCTCCTAAACTTATCTATTACTATAACTAATAAAGAATATATCCTTACTAATATATCTAGCAGCCTTAGTAATATGCCTTTAACCTTACTAGCCCTAATTCCCTCTACTATGCCCTTAAACTCTACTACGCCTAGTAGTAAACTTAATTACTTCCTAAATAAGTTAGTAATATACCCTTTAATTATTAATAACTATATAGGAGAGAATAGCAAGGGAAGCTTTTTTAATATCGGCGAATCTGCTTCTAGGCGCTTTAAATACTTATTATTAATACTTATATACTAACTAGCTATTATATACCTATAAGAAGACTAAGGAAAGCTAGAATTAATTAATCCCTTAATTTATAATATTATATATTATACTTAATAATATAAGGAGATTACTAAAAAGGTGCTATATTTAGATAGGTTTATAGCTTTTAATATAAATAGTAAATTAATTATATCCTAGTAAGGATACTGCGCCCTCTTTATATAGCTATTATAGGAAATTAATAGTAATTACTTTACTAATAGGGAAGCCTTAACCAGGCTACTTATTATATTATCCTATAGCATAACTGATATTTATATAGCTTATTAGTATATTATTAAGGTCTAGAATAATAAGTCCTTTATAAATAACTCTTCCTTAAGTACCCCTGTTAACTTTACTATATAGTAATATAAGCTTAAGCTCCTTAATAGTATAATAAGGGTTAATATTAATTATAAAGGATATAATAACCTAAAGGATTAGAGAGAATAAGTCTTTAGGAAGAGATTTATTAGCACTTTTATCTTCTTTTATAAAGTATCTTATTAGGTTACTATCCTATAGGACTAAGTAAAAGGTTAGCTATATATCTTTAATACCTAGGAGAAAGGCAGAATCTTGTATATTAAGGTAATAGTCTTAGCTTAGAGGGAATAACTTAGGATATATAGACTTCTATATACCTTTAACTATTTTACTTCTCCCTTAATATACTAGCTAAATAATAATAGTTATAGGCCTTTAGCTATCTAATCTCTTAGTCTAGCTATATATAGCTATATTAGAGTTACCTACTATGCGCTTAAAGGTAATAAACCTTCTCTTGCCTTAAATATTAATAAGAGAAGAGACCCTGCCTAAGCTAAAGCTAAGCTGTGGTATTATAATTAGGTGCTTATATTATAGGAGATTAAAAGTAGAGAAGATATATAAAAGTAATGCAATATAGCCTATAATCTTATAAAACTTATAATACTTAAAGAGCTTAGGTTAATTAATAAGAGCTTCTAGCGCTAGAAGATAAATAAAAAGGGCAAGCTAATTAGGCCTATATATAAGGTTTATATAGGGATAGAAGGAGAGCTAATGCTTATTTAAGGGATTACTTAGAATATTACTAAGGATAATATATTTAATTACTTTAAAAGATATAATTATATCTTTATTATAAGGCTTAGTTAGGAGACCGGATTCTGAGGGCAATATAAACTTAAGAAGGTAGGATCTTCTATAACCTAGGGCATTATAACCTAGAGGAAAGAGAGCCTATATAAAGAGAGCCTAAGGATAATACTAATAAGGATAAGAGACCCCTAGGCTAAGAGGTTAAGTGCCCTTAATATAGCAGTCTATAAACTAATACTTAATAATAATAAGGTTATATTATAAGTAAGATTACTAATAGTAATTAATTTAAGTAATTAATTAAAACTACCTTTATACTAAGTCTTACTTATTATCTAACTAAAGTATTTAATATTACTACCTTTAGCTACTTTAAAGACCTTAAAGCTAAAAAGTCTAAAGACTTTAAAGAACCCCCTTACTAATCCTTAATCTATTAAAGTAACTCCTCTAGCTAAGCTTAAAATTACTAGTTTATTTCTTAATTTAAAGCTAAAGGATTAATTAAACTCTAGAGTTAATAATGCCCTAGTTATTATTAAAACTAATATTCCTCCTAATATTAAAGGCGCTTTCTATATATATAAGAATCAGGTTCCTGTACTAAATAAGCAAATAGCTAAATAAATAGTATAAGACCTAGAGACTTATATAAGAGAAATAACTATTAAGCCTACTTAATAGGGCTTGCCTGTGGTTAGTAAACCTGAATTTGTATATCTCCTGACTTTAAAGACCTAGGCCTTATTTATCCTAGCTAGACTAATAAGTCCTAGTTAATAGGATAATACTTAGAATTCTATAGTTAATGCCTTTTGCCCTTAGCCTATTACTAGAAGATTTAGGAAGGAATAAATAAAGAAGAGGAACTAAAAGAAGGAGGATTAATAAGTAAGTAATTAAGGATTAAATATTATAATAAGATTAGGGAGGCTTATATTTAGCTAGGAATGTTTATTTAGTATAGGATTAATTAATTACTTAATATAAAAGCTAAAAGCTATAGAAATAGGGACCTTATATATATATAATTACTTAGTATAGAATGCTTACTTAGTGTGGTTTCTTAAGCATAAGGGCATGCATTAAAACCATATAGGGACCTATGTAATAGTTATAGTAAGCATTCTAGGGTAAGAGGTCTAAGCTTTATTAATAGGGGCTAGATAGATATTTATAGTAATAAGGTATAAAAGGGTAATATCCCTTTAGGACTAAAGACTTTCCTTATGCTTTTTAAGAGGCTTCTTTAGACTTAATTCTTATTCTTTTTTTTTTTTTCTTTATATTTAATACTATTAAACTGATTATTTAATTCTCTATTTTATAATAAAGACCCTATCTTAATTAAACCTAACTGGCAGTCTATACTTAGCTTATAGTTAAGAAGTATTAGAAGATATTATCTTATGCAGTCTTTTCTTTATTGTTGCTCTTTACCTTTAAAATATAAACTCTCTCTATGCTTTTATAATCTAAGACTATAACTAGCCTAATTTATATATTTATATATAATAAAGAGAATATAAAGTATTTATTCTGCCTTTATAATTATATTAATAAATTACTTTTTATATTAGGCTAAGTTACTTATAAAGGTAATAAAAAAAGCTATTTCTTTTATTATTAAAGGCTAGTTATACTTTAAGGTTTTTTTTTAGCTTTTTTAATTTAAATAACATTTAATTAATTTAATCTAGAAATATTATATCTTTTAAATAGTTTAAATTTATATAATTAATTAACTTAATTAAGTTATAATTAAAAATAATTATTTTACTTAAATTAGATTTTATTTTTAATAAAAAGTTCTTTTTAATAATTATAATTATTATATATAATATATAATAATCTCTTTTTATAACTTACTTTAAGGCTAGTTTAATTATATTAATAAGATTATAATTAGTTATATAATAGCCCTAATTAGGCTATAGGCTATTATATATATAACCCACCTAAAAGGCACGCTTCAATTATCCATCACGCTTCTGCAGTAAGTCCTCCGACCCGACCCGACTTTCCCTCTTTTAGCCGCAACCGCTTACAGCATCACAGCTGCCCCGTCATGATGCCTGCTATCTAAAGAAGCCTGCAGGCACCTAGGCCTAATAAGCCTTATCTAACTAAAGGCTATAATATAATCCTTAAAATTAAAGAAACTTTTAGATAAAATAAAGATAAAGGTAATATATTATATATAATAGCTATAAATATTAAAAAGGCCTAATTTAATAAAGATAATATTAATTATATTAAGATAATAATCTTTAATTATAAGATCTTTTTATTTATATAATTTATTTATAAAAACCTTTTAATTAATAAAGACTTTCTTAAATATAAGAAGTAAAAGCTTAAAGATTTAAAAAGGAAGCTATATAGAGAGATATAGCTAAGCAGGAGAGAGAGGGGGTTCCTTAAGGCCCTTAATAGCGGCTTATATAATAAGTAGCTTAAGGATATCTGGTAGTAGGCCAAGGAGGTACTAGAGAAGACTAAGAACCTATAAGGGGGGATATTATACCGCGATATAGATAGAAGTAGGGTAATTGCGGGGTTTAGAGGAAAAATATATTAAGTTTTATATAAGTTTAGTTGCCTGAAGTTAAAGATATTTAGTATTAGCGGCAAAAAGAAGATTAAATAAGTTATAAAATAGATTATATAACTAAATAAGCAAATTAGCTATAATATTAATATATTATTAATATAAATAGGGGATTAACTTTTATTATAATAGCCTATTATAAAGGTCTTTTTATTTATATTATTAATAAAAAAGCTAAGAAGCTAAATAGCCTCTTATAAAGTTAAAGGTAAAAAGGAAAAAAATAAAATAATAAATATATTAATAATAAAAATTAATAAAACTTATATAATAATAAGAAAATTATATAAAAAGTATATATTTAAATATTAAAGAAGTTTAATATAACTAAATTATAAATATTAAATATATTAAATATTATAATAATTTATATATAATATAAAGAAAACATAAAAATAAAAAAACTTAAGTTAAATTTTATTTTACTTTTTTAATTAAAAAGCTAATATAAGGCAAGGTCTAGCTTATCTTTTTACTAACTTACTTTTAGTAAATAAGTAAAGCAAGGTCTAGCTTAGGTCAGGTCTATGGTCTGGCTTTCGTATATTAATTATTACTCTTCTAGGTTAATATCTCCGGTAAAGGCCGCAATTCGAAAGGAAATCCAAATAGACTTCCGAAGTATGCAAAAGCAAAAGTTGAGAAAAAGTCATTATCGTTTTACACACTGCACATCGATGTCAAGATGCAAAAGAAACTGCATTAAAACTATCTGTTAAAACCTATCTACAATTGCTTACAAGTGGTAGGCACTCGACATCCTTGCCGTCAGAAACTCCAGGCGGATCAAATCCTACAGATAGGTATCGGGATAGGTATTATCTCCATACGGCCTTGATCCAGATTGTGATGATTAAATCAAGGTTCCCTTGTTTTGGGCCTTGTCCACATTGTAGTTCTTCCACACGGCAATACAAGGAATGGCCAAGACGAGGATGGCAGTAGCAGAAATACAGTTGTACTTCTGGCTGTAACCCCATGAGTAGTTGATGGCGTCGCGCGTGGCACTACCGGGAGGATACAGCAACTGAGTTTGTGCTCCGCCAAGGTAGATTGTGGTCCAGTTGGCAAGTGTTTCTTGTGGAAGGCTATCTTGGAGAGCGACAGGGAATGTGTTGGTGTAGATGGCATTGGCGACAGCAAAGCCAACGGCTCCTCCAAGACTGGCAAACAAGTTGAGCATAGCCAGCATCATGGGCACGCCGTCGCGATCAGCCGAAGCCATAACAGCCATATCCTCGCCGATAACAAGAGTACCGCCGGAGATGGCGATAAAGATTTGGCACATGATGATGTAGCCAATATCGTCATCTTGACCACGAAAGTGAATCATAAGACCAGCGCCCAGAAACATGAGTGGGAGGCCAAAGAAGAGACAGGCGTACTTGAAGTGCTTGGTATAGCGGATGTATACTCCGAATACGACACCCCAGAAGCAGGAACCAATGTTGTAGATCTGGGTCATGTACCCTGTGTTGGAAATGTTGAGGTTATAGACAACCTGGACATAGTAGTAGAAGTACTGATCCCAAGAGTAGAAACTGAAGTAGAGGATAGCGGCAAGCAGGCAAGCTCCGAGGACAGTTCGGTTCGCCAAGAGCTCCCAACGAATGAAGTATCTTCGGGCACCATACTTCTCCCAGGCGGCAAAGACAAAAAATAAACAGAAGCCAATGATGAGCATGGCGATAAAGCTTGCCGACGAATAACCAGCACGGCCATTGCTGGCAAGGCTGAAAGGCAGAAGGAAGAGTACAAAAGCTGACATCAGAAGAAATGCACCAATTATGTCGAATTCATGGAAGTAATGAAAGATGGATTGAGTCAAGGTGCGACCGCTTCGGGCTTTGACAAACAGACCCATCTTCTCCGCCTTCATCTGGAAGAACTTGAAGACAATAGCCAGTGGGAATAGGACAAAAGCCATGATGATACAAAAGGAGCCAACCGCCCAGCGCCAAGACGCCATAGTAATGAATGACTGAGCCGCAAGAGGTCCGGTGAAAGCTGTGCAGATAAAAGGCGTGCTGACAAAGGCGAAGGCAAAGGCACGGTTGCGTAGGCCTGACGTATCAGCAATGAAAACGTCCATGATGAAGTAGACAGCACTGTAGCCGATATAGTATAGTACATAGCCCGCGGCGTAACTGTCAGGGCCATTGCAAGAGGCAATTATGATCATGCCCAAGAGGTAGACAGTGACAAAGATGACGAAGCCCTCAGCTCTACCCCAGAGGTTAAGAACCTTCGCAATGGGCAATTTGAGGACACCGCCAATGACGGAGGACAGTATCTGGGCGGTGGCGATCTGAGGGGCTTGTTGGAAGTCCGAGTAGGCGTAGTAGGTGACATTGTTGAGAATGGACTGTTGGAAGGCCAGCATGAAGAAGCAGACCCAGATCCTGTTTGCGTATTAGTCTAGTCCATGCTCGGGACGAGCCTCAGTCAAGTTCAAACACATCAGGTAGATTTACCAAGCATAAGTGATGTAAACAGTCTTCTTCGACCACACCAACGCTGCTGCTTCAGCCTTTTGGATCCCAAGCTGGGCTTCAGGCGTGACATGAGCGCCATTCTGAATAACCTCATTCTCGTTCTTGTCTATGAGGTCCAAGCTATCGGCTGAGGTTCCGGAAGATAGGACCCCGTTCTTACCGGGCGGGTTCGACGTCTGAGCAGTCTCATTAGGATGGTCTGTATTTTGGGCCGTCGTGTCTTTCTGCCCAAGAATTCTCTCAAGGAAAGGCATACTGCTGAGAACTTGGAGGAAAAGGTGCTTCCTGCCGTTATTGCGGAGAGACTGATTGATAAGACTGATTGATAAGATAAAAGAAACAATGCCAGCGGGTCGCACGCGTCATATATACATGTGAATCCCCTGAACTTGAGCGCATAACCCCCACGCAATGACAGGGGAAGAATAACATGGAATTGACATTATGTAACAGCCGGCGAAATCGGCGGCGGAATCTGATGCTACATCAAGACCCTGCGTTGGCCGGGGGTAGTCAGATGGATTGTGTAACGGTTGCACAAGCCGTTAAGCCACAGGGCAAAAGATCGGGCCATAATCGCTATGCAAGCAATTATGGGTGTGCTACAGCTGCCTTATAGAAGCCTTATAGCGCTATTACGGGCACGAATCGTAACACGATGCTCCCTCTTTAGGGGCTTTCGTCCTCGAAGCCCGCTAAAGCCGGCCGCCACAGGGGGAACCAAGCCCTGTGCGGTGCGCAGCTGCCAACCTCCCAAGGCGTACCCCGCAGTTGCCCCACTGCGTTTCGTAGGCACCCTTGTGAGCAGCTATACCAAAGGCTGCAAGGGGGAATCGAACCCTTGACCTTCGGGCCACCCGCTTAACAGCGATTATCGTGTAACGGTTGCACAAGCCGTTAAGCCACAGGGCAAAAGATCGGGCCATAATCGCTATGCAAGCAATTATGGGTGTGCTACAGCTGCCTTATAGAAGCCTTATAGCGCTATTACGGGCACGAATCGTAACAGATTGGCCGATAATAAAGGACTAACACGACAGAGGCTCTGGTTGTTTTAACTATTATTAAATAAGATTTATAATATATAAAAAGATAGATTAAGGTAGCTTAGTAGAAATATTAGTATATAAGTTATAAGTTTTATAATTATTTTTTCTTAAGTTTATAAAGTAATTTTTAAAGGTATATTTAAGTATTTTTAAATTTAATATAATTTAAATATTTATTACTTTTATAATTAATAAAGCTTTAATAAATTAAATTATTATAATTAAATGCCTTAAGTATAGCCAAAACCTAGTTATATATATATTAGCTAAAAAGCCTTATTTATTTATTAACTAGCTTTAACTTTCTTTTTATAACTTATTTAAAAAACTAATATATTAATAAAGCTTTATTATTTATAGAAATAATAAATATTTAAATTATATTAAACTTTAAAAATACTTATTTATACTTTTAAAGGTTAATTTATAAATATTTAAAGGAAATAAAATACTTTTAATTAAAAACAGGTTTAACTTTATTAAATTAAATAAGTTTAATATTTTTAATTAATTAATTATATATTTTATTATATGTATTTAATTAATTAAAGTTAGTTTAACTTTTATTAATTAACTTATATAAAACTTAATATAAATCTTTTATAAACTTTATTTTTATTTTATATTTATTTACACTTTATATATAAATTTTTTATTTTTATTTATATATAAAAAGAAAAAGAAAATACCTATTTTACCTTTATAATTATAGTAATAAGCTACTTTTTATATTAATATTATAAATCTAATAATTATATTATATATACCTTATAAAAGTTATGTAAGGCATTAGCTTTAAAACAGCATATCTATACTATAACTAGTTAATTATTTCCTTATTATATTAAAATAATAAATATTAAAATATAATATCTTAAGAAATAATACTTTAACAATAACTTACCTATAAGATTTATTATTTCTTATATAATTACTGTAATATATAAAATATATTTATTAGTATTTTTTTATAAATTCTAATATATTAATTATTAATAACGCTTCTTTATATTAATTAAGCCTAATATATAATAAATATATTATTAAAAAATATAATACTCTAATAATTCTTAAATTATATTTTATATAATATACTAATTATAAACTTAATATGTCTTAGTTTCTTATAGTAAAAACTTAATTAATATATATTAATAGCTTTTATTTAAATTAATTTATATAATACTAAGTAATAATAATATAATATCTGTTAACATTAACCCTATATAATAGTAAACTATAAATACTAACCCTTAAGGGTAATAAGCTATAATACCTACTTATTTTATATTTATTTTATAAGTAGTAAATAAACTATTAAATAACTATTAAATAAATAATAAAAACAACTTATCTTAAAGCTTTAATAACTTAGAAGTTAAATAACTTTATAAACAGCTTAAAAATATTATTAATAAAATAAATAAAATATACTAAATAATAAAGAGTTTTATAGCCTTATAATAATAATAAAACTAAAGTATATAAAGTACTTAGTAAGAACTAAATAATAAAGCCTTAATAATAAATATTAAGAAGGATCTTAAAGATATCTTTAAGCCTAATCTGCTTAAGCCTTTTAATAAAACCATTAATAAGTTATTTATATTTCTTATATAAAGATAAGTATTTAATATATATTTCTTAAACTGATTTTATTATAATTTTATAAGAGTTATATATAAAATAAAACAAGTATTTAAAAATATATTAATATTAAAGAAAGGAAATATATTAATTTTATAAAATAAAACAATAAATCTTAAATAATAATTAAGAGAATTAATATAACTAAGTTAAAACATAAGTTATATAACCCTAAAAGTCTTAATAATAAATATAACTTATTTCTAAGTAAAGAAGTAATTATTAAGAAATACTACTTTAATTTAATATTAAAATAATAGCTTATTCTTAGATATATAATAATAATTAATATATAATATAAGTATATAACCTAAAAATCCCTTACCTTATAATATTTCTATTTAATTAAATATCTTTTAATAACTAAATATATCTAGGTCCGTAAATAAAGCTAGAATCCTCCTTGCCCTTTAGGCCTTTTAAAATTAAGTTCTTCCTTACCTTTTATATTACTTTTTAAATTACTTTTATAAAAAGTAATACTGAAGAGGCTTTTAAAGGAGCTAGATTATATCTTTTAACCTAGAAATTATAATATTAAAGCTTAATATATAGCTATAAACTCTAATACCTCTTAAAAAGGTAATTAAGCCTTCTTTTTCCTAGACTTTAAAGATCTTAAAAATAATAATAAAGACCTAATCTTAATTTAAATACCTTACTAAATAAATTAAAAGACATTATAATAGCTCCTTAAAGTTAATTATTAAAGCTCTTTATTATCTTTTTAAAAGAACTAAAGTAATAATATATAAAATTACCTTATTAATAATAAAAAATAAAAAACTTTAATAAATAAATAAAATATTAAGTTAATATTATAAATAAAAAAGAATTAAATTATAAAAAAAAAAGATAATAATTATATAAGAAGTATTATAAGTAATTAATTAGATAAATATTAATACCTAAATAATAATAAAATTATTAAGAAATAGTAATTATAAAAGGTTAATTAAATTAGGTATTTAGTATTATAATATATATAGTAAAGGCAGATATAATATAAGAACTTATTAGGTATTTTTTAAGTTATTTAGGGAAGAATTTAATAAGTAAAAGCTAGCCTTTTTAAACTATAACTTAAGCTTTTAAGTTATAGTTTAAAAAGGTTAAAGAAAGTAGGTTATATACTTATTTAGGTTATATACTTCTTATATATATTACTATAAGTAAAAAAAAAAAAAAAAAAAAACAAATATCTAAATAAAAAAGACTGAAATATAATAAAATTATAAAAGACTTTAAATTTAAAGAAAAGAAAAATATTAAATAGGCTATTAAAATAAATAAAGGATTTAATAAGAAATAATATATAACTAAAAGTTAAATAATAAAACCTAGTTTTTATATTAAAAATATATAAGAATAATAAAAAAGGTATTATAATAATTAAAAAGAGAAATAAATTAACCTTAATATAAATACTAAACTAAATATTAAAAGACTTAATAAAAGTATTAACTAAGTATTAATATAAATTATATATAAAACTTAAAATACTTCTTAAAATTTAAATTTAAATAATTATATATGATTTGTGTTTAATAATAAATAATGTTCTTATTAAAACTATTTTTAAGTAATTTAATAAATATTATAAAAACTTAAAGTATTTTAGTATAATAAAAATATAAAAAGAGCTAAATATTACGAAAATTAAATAAAAGGAAATATAAATAATATAAAATACTAAAATTATATTTTTATTTAATATACTTAGATATTACTTAATAAAGTTATAAACTTATTACTTATTAATAAATAATATATTATATTTAATTAATTAAAAACTAATTATTATTTTATAAAATATAATTATAAAGAAAATCCTTATAAATTTAAATTAAAAATAATTAAGAAAGTTTTTTTAATAAATTTAAAAGAAAAATATATTATAAATAAATACCTTTCTAGATATAATATACTTACTTTTTAATAATTTAAGTAATACGATAAAAAGCTATGAGGTCACATTCTCAGGCGGGTCTTGGTGCTTAGCCGTCCAGGATATGCTAATGGCTAAGGATGAATGTCACTGGTAAAGTAGCCGACGGTTCCTTCAGATTGTATTATCTCATAATTATTGCCCAGCATCTGGTTCTTGACTGTCTTGTACACCACCACTGACCTCATCTTTGGCCGTTTCTAGCTGGCATTACTAACGACACCTTGCGACCAGAGCCAGCGGCAAACATCTCTCCGTTGATGACTATTCTCCTGCGTGTCTTTCCGTTCATTTTCGCTGGTCTGTTCTGTTGTTCCTCCTCGTCTGCACTGTTAAGCCTTTAGTCAACTGGGCAATGATAAAGGATGACAAGATACCACATACCAGATAACCCTGCGAACAGGTAATTCCTTCGCTGTTGTGCAACTACACAGAATGCGCATGTGTCCCGCTCACAGGCTCAGTACAGGTTTCTCGACAGGTCCCAATGGTCATTTCAAATCCTTCAAAGCCGCTCCGCTGCTGGGTCGTTGACGTCGTGAAGCGGCTCATCCGTTTTGGGGTCGCTGATCCCCGGCTCCGAGCCGCCATCGATGTGGTGGAGAGACTTGTTCATCTTGACCTCTGGCTTTGGCTGACACCTGATGTCGCGGAGAAGCTCCTCCACCTTGGGATACCTAAACTCCACCGTGAACCCAAAAGACTTCTTCAGTCTTCTCACCATGGATTGTCCAATCGTGCCAGAGTTATCAAGCGTGTCTGCCGCCTCGCAGAAGTTGGCGTCACCATCCCAACCTTGTCCTTCTGCAGCAACGCCAGAGTTAACCCACTTCCGAATTAACTTATCTTTGAAAAAGCACTGCGCGAAGTCAACGAGGAAAGGCTGATATGTAGAAGCTTTGACAACGACATTGCGAGGTGAGCTGTCGTCTAGGATGATGCCGCGCTTGTTGACCTCATATGTTGCGTCAATGGCTCGCTGAATGAGTGATGTCCAATCTTCCTGTGTTGCAGGACGAGTTTCCTCCTCAATAAGATCATAAATATTAACACTTGGATGTGTTCGAAGAGGATTCCGTAGACAGTTTGGTAATCTTCTTTAGGGGACGCTGGAGTAGCTCCTGGTGCGACGACGCGTACCAACGCATATAGCTTTGGAATCGAAACACCTTCAAGGTCTTTCAAGCGCTCGTAGACCTCAGCCTCGGTTCTGAAGTCCTGATTAGTGATCCTCCAGAGCGCCGCTTCAAACCTCACGATCCCATCAGGCCCCTCCCGAATCTCTGCTAGAGTACTAGGAATTTCCGAAGTGGCCTCATCCCGATCCATCTCTTCGAGAAAAGGGCCCATGGCGCCTTTCTTTAGGAATGACTGGTAAGCGGCTTCGACTTGGGTGGTACAGGGGATATGTTGGTCCCAATATTCACGAAAGTCTGTCCCGCAGCGACGATCGTAGACCTTGAGAATGGCGTGGCGATCGTGGAAGCGGACATGCATCACGGGAGCCATGGTCTCTGTGATAAGCTGTTCAACGACTACAGGGATGCCGTTTTGCGAGATCGACCAGGAACCGCTGTTGCCTTGGAGTATTTGCAATGTTATGACACTACCCGCCCGGTATTTGGCTGAACTGGTTAGCGGTGAAATGGCAAAGACGACGAAGAACTTACGAGGGCCGTCTGAAGGGGCCGACATGTCGAAGATGAGAGAAAGGATTCGGTGATGAAGATGATGAGCGCTACTGGTTTGTTATGTGAATGCGTTGGGTGATGAGTTGTGTTGATGTTGTTTGGAGAGGAAGTCTTGGAGGCACGTGCGGAGGCGAGCAGAGCAGTTGCTCCGAAATGACAGTGACACTCTGAGCCACGCCCTGACACTGTTGACCTGTGCCATGGGAGGTGACAGATGCACTGAATAAAGAACACTCACACCCCAAGGGAACAACTAGCCTCTCTCAAAATTGTGGAGCGTTTGTGCCAGTTGCTGTGATATGTTTAGCAGTGTCGGTCAGTTCAAACGAATCTTCCCTTCTACCTTTCGCGACTCTATTCAGGCCTCCCCAGTCCCCAGTCACCAGTCACCAGTCACCTAGCAACACCACTACGCAAGCTATGTTAGTAGGCATAGAGCACACTCCAGTCAGCATAGAAACCGTTCGACCGAGAGCAGTCAACCAAGGTGTCTCTGAGCGTCTAGGAGAATGCCAAGTGTTTCACCTCGCAGGCCATGTATGTCCATGAAGATGACCCCTCCAACAGCCTCTAAGTATATAAGATTGGAAAGAAGACTTATTTAGAATCTCCGACTCGCAAAGAATGAATCCTCGGGAACACTCGCAGTTTCTCACGTATCTTTCCGCCTGCTACACTGGGCAGATGAAGCAGTATAACCTTGTTCACCAGAGCATATATCTCACCAGCGCGTATCAATTACCCAGCTTTGCTAATATCATCGGCACGCTGTTGAAGGTTAGTGATCAAAGCAGCATGGATATGGGTAGGATTACGTATGAGAGCATGAGGGATGTGGGGATGAGTGATGAGAGCATGAGTTGGGGTTTGTATAAGGCTAGTAGAGAGCTGCGTGATGAATGCTTTCAAGGCGCAGGAACAGGGGAGAAAATCCTGTACGCGAAGAAGTTCAATATTGAGTAACACGCTCGTGTTATTATAAACAGGAAAGGCTCTTGTTAGGTTGAGAATGCGAGGGATATTGTGAGGACCCTAAGAGTATCGAGGAGGGTCCGGAAGACGGAGCATATCTACAGTGGACTCCTTATGTTCATTTCCCTGGGTAAACCGGCCACAGCATGCATAATAAGGCATTGTAGAGTATCTTTGAGTCACAATGCATACTTTATGAGCATAGCCTCTGTCCTAAGGTGTTGCGATACATTGTTCGTTGGCTCTCCGTTCGAAAACAAGGAGTGAGCGTTGATCTTCATTACCCTGCGTATAAAGTGCAAGAAGCCAACATTGAAGTCGGGTCACCGGGCATGAAAGTGTAGTATGTAATGACTCAACCCATGAAATTTCAAGGCTGTGCAAAATGGTTGGAAAAGTCGTACTCTGATAGGACTGATCATGGTAGATAAGATCAACCATGGTCCCGTTATCAGATTAGTCCAACGCCATTGTGTAACTAATTACCTTCAACATGGATGTGTTGATGGAAGCAAGGTTACATATCTTGACTACACCAATCAATCTTTGGAACCAAGGCGTATCGATGTACCCGAAGATGAGATTTCTCAGCTTATAAAGACATCACCATCCGGTTCGACGCGACTTGTCTTTGTTGAGAATAATTCGCCCGGAATCCTTATACTCCTTGGAGAGAAGCTAGATATTGACCCTTTGTTCTTTGCAGACTACATCCATGTTAGTTTTGAGAATCCAGCAGAGTCATCACCGCCTCCGTCACTAGCAACCCTACCGTCAGCCATAACAACAAGAGATCATATTCTTCTTCACTGCCAGAAAGTCATTGCTCTCGAGGGAACAGATGATGAGCTGAAGACTGTTCCATATTCTTTGAAAACGGAGTCGAATGTTCCGTGTAATATCCGACGGTTGGGCACTCTTCCTGGTGGACAACTGGCCCTATCGCAAACGTGTTGTTCTTCCACCATCAGGAAGATTGGAGACATACGTATCTGTAAGCATTCATCTAGAAAGCAATTTCACTTGTTTAACCGTAATAGGTCTATTCCTCGTGGACCCTCCTGTTACATCTGTTATTCGTTCACTTGGTGAAGATCAGACATCAAAGTACGAAGCCCGTACTTCACATGGTGTTTTTGAAGACTTCCGAGCACCGGAGTCCTTTTCTGCTTTCAATAAATCTCCCTCTGGTGACACCTGGGATAAGACATCAATGATAAAAAACATCATACACTACCTCCAGGCTTGTCCACCGCCGGGATTAGACATGAGTCACTTGACCCCTCCGAGTATACCAAGTATTGGTTACTACCCTATCTATATTACCTTATCCGAACGGAACATCTATAACCACCTGACAAGTCGGCGTTCTAAGCACTATGAGTACTCAGACCAGCTCAAAGCAAGCCATTTGCACGATAAAGTCCTGGTAGATCTCCAGCGCTGGAAAAGACGCAGCAAGAGCGGCCACCGGAAACTGAACATCCTAAGGGACGTTATCAGCTCTCATATCCTACCAAGTGACGATCCACTAGTCTGGAATGGCGCCCTTCAAGATATCAACTATCTTCGTGAGCAACTTCGCGATTACACTCAATCTTTTGAGCAGATGGTCGTGGTAGCGACATCGCTCGTCCAACTTCTCGACTCCCGACGTTCGATGTTGGAAGCTATCAATACGAAGCGGTTGACATTCCTTGCACTTTTCTTCGTGCCCTTAGCATGGGTATTGAGTCTTTTCAGTATGTCCGATGTGTATGTCCCTGGCCATGATCTATTCTGGGTCCATTTTGCTACTGCATTGCCGGTACTCGCCGTCGTGCTCTTACTGTCAGCACTTCCCTACAGTAAGTTCGCTATAGCTGTAGAGTGTTATAAGTCACGACTTCGAAATCAAGGAATGAGGATTCTAGAAGACCTAATCTAAGATATTTTACTAAGGTCATGAGCAGAGAGGTAGCGGCTAGGAAAGGTTTGGTATTTTATAACTCAGATTTAGGATGTTTATATGCCAGCCATGCTGGAGCTCTGTACCGTTTCTATTCCCTCAAGAGAAACCTACTGTAATGGTTTGAACTTGCTATCAGCACTCTCAACACAAGCCTTGACAACCTCATCCAAGTCCTCCTCGGGTAGCCCAAGAAGCTCATTGTGAAGCTTATCCTGAGTTTTTAGCTTTTGACCCTCTGGTGAGAAGATGAAAGAATAATAAGCCTGCACAAGTCCCATGATATTACCAGATCTCCCCATCGCCTTGCCATTGTCGATCCGATCAGCGCTGCTTTCATACTTGATGTCCCAGTCCGCGTCTGTCGTGTCCGTGACGCGCTGGATGCTTCTCAAAATATCCTTCTGGCTGACATAAAAGCTCGAGAGAAAGACAGGCTTGTTTTTGAACTGGGTGATAGTTGGGGATTTATCGTCTTCATCGTCAGGGACCTCTTTAAGACTTGCTAGTGCAGCAGCGGCACGACCGAACTGGGCCAAAGTACTAGTGTTGATCTTTGCTTCGCCGTCATCAAACAAAGTGACCTTGCGGTTATCGATATCAAAGCCCATGAAAGACTCTCCAGAGGGAAAACTGTAGTCGAACCAGACACCTCCTACGAGGAGGATCCAAGAGCTGACGCCGACCCGCTCGATTTCCTTGAGAAGATTGATTGGTGGAGCTGCGGGGAAGAAGTCGTCGACAGAGCCTTGGTTTTCAATAACAACATTGGCGGCGTAGATGTTGGGGATGATGTAGCGGATCCCTGCTTTTCCAGCTGCGCGAACGATGCGATGATGGACTTCTGGGTTGACATTGACGGCGAGGGTTATGATTAGGAGTTGCTGACCATTCAGAGCTGATGCGAGAGACTCTTCGTCTTCATAGTCGACGGGGATAACTTTTATCTTGTCTGGAAGCTTGGAAGTACTGCCGATCCGAGTCAGGGCAGTGATGGTGTGCTTTCCAGTCTTGAGAAGTTGTTCGGTTATATGAGCACCTTGCCGGCCGCCAGCCTGGATAGTGTCAGCAAGAAATGAGTCGTTATGAGACCATGGAACCTACTCCAACAATTGCAACCCTTTCGATGTGATTCGAGAAGCCTGCAGGCTGATCTTTTGCAAACTGTTGTGAAGACATGACTAAGTCTGAGCGTTGAATGATCGTTCTTCTGAAGGCTTGGTGATGTAAAGAGTAAATATTTATTGAGTTGAGGATGAGTTAGGAACGAATGTTGAGAGGCACCTCATCTTATGTACAAGAAGAGAAAACCGAGAATATATGGTTATTCGCGATGTTAAATCCGGACTTCGGCCGAATGTGTTTGGAGTTTAGGCTTTACGACCGTTTTTCGGCCGGGACCAACGGACAAATGATAGCAAAGGCAGTGATAAATTACAAATAAACGAATCCTTCAATAGCGATCTAAATGATGATTATGCAAACACGGAAACCCTGCAACTTCTGAACTTTTGCCAGTGATACTACTGCTCCTCCAAATAATGCTCTCCTGGCTCAATGGTTCTTACCGCACAGATGCTCAGCAAGTCTCAGCGAAAGTGCCGCCAGAGTCAAGGAAGGATTGGCCTCAGGACTAACAGGCAGAACCGAAAGATCACAGACCCATAAATTATCCAATCCTTTCACCTTGAGGTTCGAGTCCACAACACCAGGCCCCTTCGGCCCATCCATTCTCATCGTTCCACACTCATGAGAAAACACCCCAAAGCCCAAATGCTGCGGCCTCAATCCAGGATCAGGACACATTCCCGGATCAGCATACGTAGCTTGGTTAGGATTCAGCCCAACAAAAGCATCACGAACTCGACGGATGATATCTTCCATAGCACACTGAACCTCATGCTTGATCGGTGGTCGACGGATATCCAGCACAGGATCTAATCCCGGAAGACTGAGGACAGAATTCTCATCATCGAGTTTTCCAACAAACTCAAATAGTACACAAATAGTGTCGAAGTTCTCCTTCTCATCAGCCGCATCCTTAGTAGGACTCATGAGGGTACCATCACGACGATAGAAGTGCGTCGTGTTGAGTGTCGCAGAACTTCCAGCGAGGAAGAAATTCGCATTGATCGTCACTGTGACGAGACATTCTTCGCCGCCGACTTTGAGATGTGTTTTAAGGTTGAGGGGCTTTTCGGTGACGTTGTCGGACTTTTGCTTGGCGAAGCGCACGTAGCAGACGTTATGGTCGATGAGACCTTTGCCGACCAGGCGGTTTAAGTGGTCGAGACCGCTGTTGAGGGCGATGGAGGCGGTGCCGATTGTTCCGGCGGAGAGGATGACTTTGGCTTTGCCGACGTCGAGCTCTTTGATGGTGTTGGTGGCTTTGTCTCTGATTTTGAGAGCGTTGACGCTTTTGTTACTGCGCCTTCGTCGTCAGCTGGTAGCTTCAATTTATGAACGGATGTACTTACAAGGTGTTGCTAGCAGTGTGTTGAACAGCGATGACCTCTGTGTTGAGAAGAACAGAGAGATACTGATCGTTAGCATACATGCGGTTGATGATACCCAGAGTGGTACTGTATGCACCTTGGGCGAACTTATAAGGTGCTGGAGCATTGAATTGTGCCGCGATGGGCATGAGACTGAACTTTGATCCCGAGAGGGCATTGTTCAACATTTCATTTGCGTCGCCAATCTCTGAAGCGCTAACTTCATGCTTGCCATCGCCTTCTGGGTAGATGACATCGCCAGGCTGCGAATCGGTGAGGTACCTAAAGGCCTTTTTATACCCTTGGACTTGATCACCCTTGAGGTAATCAACAACATCGGGAGGGAAGAAAGCTCCAAGCGTCTCATCGCCAATCTCCGGAATCCAAGTACCCCAGAGATTCGACCGTCCTCCAACGCAGTACACTGGACCGCCGACATAACTATCAGAGCGATCAGTGCATTGGACCTTAGCTTTGACAGTGTCGTAGACACGCTCGTTACCCTCGGGAGAGTTACTTGCGCCGCGGTTGTAGTAAGGACGGGAAGTATTGAGAACGTGAGTTGAGAAGATAACGCTGCCACGCTCGATCAGCAAGACTTTGTATTGTTGGGATACGAGTTGTTCAGCTAAGGGACCTCCGCCGAAACCGCTTCCTACGATAATGTAGTCATAGGAGTTCAGTTTGGCGAGGAGACAGACGACGTCTGTATCGAGATGAAGGAGATGGTCCATTGTGAAGAATTGACCAATGGGAATGGTCTGAGAGAAGGTGTTGAGATTGGATGAGGGAAAGAGACGACAGAGACTTCAATGACAGAGGATTTGCGTGGTATTATAGATTCACGCCATGTAAGACAGAATTGAGGAGGATGTACCGATTTGGAGCTGACGAATGTGATATTGAGGTGATGAGTGCATAACATCAATCACATCCTTTACGGGAAATGTCAGCAAGCCACTTTTTGCTCAATTCAGCTGAAGTCGATCAACAATGGAACCTCAATATGCATGCAGAGACAGCTGAAGTCAGATCAATATTGAGGTCACTGGTGAGAAGTGATTGGATTGACGCAAATGCAGTATTTGGGGAATGCAACCAGGACAGAGGCTGTATCATGCGATGTTGAACTGTAAGTCCAGTCGGCAGATGTGTTTGAGGCCACCTGCGGTTGTTCTAGATGTGTTTCATTGCATTTAATACGCGGCACGGCACACGGCATGGACCGAGTCCGGTAAATAAACTTGATACGGCGGACTGGTATCGCAACATGTCGTGGATATGATGACTGGAACTTGGTCTCTGGAATGGGCCTCATCAGAGCACAAATGTTGAGAAACATGCAGAGTAGTCTTACTACAATTGGGACATCGAGAGACATAGGACTCGGCCAATTCTATCTGATGAAAAAACGCTGAAGCACAAAATACGCAATATTAATGATTGAGAAAATGCCAATGAGAAAACTTTTCAACGCCTCTTCCAAAAGAATGCCAAGATCAAAACATTGTAAGAAAGTTTAAGAGCACCGGCAAGAATAAACGCAAGCCAGAACTTATCCAATCCCGCAAACAAACCCGTGATATACAAACCAACACAACTTCCAATCGTCTTTGTAATATTAACAACACCCATAGCAGAAGTCCTCTCATGATCCAAAACCCCCGCCGAGATGAACGCCTGTCGCGGCGCATTATCAATCTCACGCGTAACAATTCTGAAAATGAAAATAACAAGAGCTATATACTTGTTCCCAGGCACAGACACCATGAGCAACGAGATGGAATTGACCGTGTGACAGAGAACCATGGTTTGCACCTGTCCGATGGCGCGTGACAGCGGTGACGATGCGAGGTTGAGCACAGAGGAGATTATGCCGGCGGTGAAGGTCGCGGAACCAAGGGCGCCCTCGGGCATGTCGTACTCGCGCTTGAAAAAATATGTCATCCATGAGATTTGTGCGAGACCTGAGCCCACAAAGTCGAGGATTAGTGCGAGGGAGAGCTTCCACATGAAGGTGAAGGATGATGGAGTGAAGAGACGCTTTTCTTGGACGGTGGCGATGACTTGGGCTTGTGTTTGGGTAACAGCTCCGTAGCCGGAGTTATTGTCATCGAGAAGAGGAGCAGTCTCATCATCAGAGATTTCTTCGGGGGTGAGGATGCCGGATTGGGGTGTTGAGCAGGATTCTTTTTGAAGGGGCATTTGCTCGACTTCTGAGCTGAGGAATAATGAGCAGAGGAGTTTGAGGAGGCCGATACCGGCGTAGCTGAGGAAGATGATTCGGTGGCAATCAACTTTTTTCATGCCGTTGTCTTCGAGGGCGTTGATGAGCCAGCCTGTTAGGAGATTACTTGCTGCTGTGCCGAACATGCCTAGCATTGACCACCAAGCAAACATGTCATTGCATGTATGAGATGTGCTGAGACGAGCAATAGCCGATTCTTCAAATGCTTTGAAGGGATCAATCTCATTCGCACTACATCGTCAGCTTCCCCCAATATCACAAACAAAGAGTGAACATACCTTGGATTGATAACAGCAACGATACTCGCAAGAAGCAACAGCCAAAAGTTCTCAAAGAACGCAAAGGCAACTCCTCCAGCACTCATCAACAAAGCACCAACAACAGCTGTTGATCGAACTCCAACACGATCACCGACCCAAGTGAGGATAAAGCTAATAGCAAGATCACCCACGAGCGTCAGCGTCATGAACAGACCAATCTGGGTATCATGAAATCCCAACGCGTTGAGATATAACGCCAGAACAAGGGTCGTTCCTCCATAGCCGAGGAGGCGGATGAAGCGGAGAAGGATGAGAATCTTTAGGTCTCGGCTTGACCGCCACAGAACATCGGCGCCGATACTAGAGAGGAAACGACCAGCTACCGCCATGATAATGCCCTAGAATCTAGGAAAAGGGATATGTACAAGCAAAAAACCTGAGGAGAGGTTGAGATGGTAGTTCAAGTCTTTGCCTCATTTAAACAGATATTTAATTTTCCGATATCTCTCCCCCGTCGTTTTTTGGCACCGTCGATCTTGTCTCGCACGGCCCTTCTTGTCCATGCATGTTCTAGATCATGCGATCGGACTAACCTTGGCTTTCGTCAGCTCCTAAGCAGAAAAAAAAAGAAAAAAGCGCCCCTTCTCAAAGGGGACTGCTACATAGACGAATCATGACCCAGACCGTCCTGCTGTGCGCGTGCCAGAGGCTCCCTTTGGCTAAGACGAGTCATACATTGCACAGCATGTGACCAATGAGGGTCAGGTAGTGTCTGACTTTTTTCTTTGCTACTTGTCATTCTGGCTAAGGTATTCATGTTTGTCTCGCCCGCTGATGCCTTACCGTGGGGGCGTTTACTCTACGGCATTGACCAGATTTTCTCCCTCAGGGGCAGAGACGGGCTATTTGCCTCCCGCACACTACGCCATGCCTCGTATTCTGCAAAGCGCTTCGCCGCATACCCTGCGTAGTCAAAGTCGATAGTTCCGGTCGCTGTCTCAGCCTGGATGAGAGCACATAGACCCCTGCGCAGCGGTGTATTAGTCCTGTGCTACCACTCATCTGTCTGTGAGACAATGAACTTACCAGTAAAACCCAGGAAAGCCCCTGTGATCGTCGACCTGACGCATGAGATGATCCACAGAAGCATCATTGACAGTCGGCACATTGTGCTCCCGAAAGAGTTCGGCGTGGGTCGTTAGATACTCTGCGATAAAGGCGCGTCGGGTTGATGTCTTGGGGAGGAGAGTGTAGTCGCACTCGAAGCCGGTCCATTCGGCGAAATGATTTGCCAGTTCGAAGGCCCGAGGACAGTATGTGGCGTGTCTTGGTGGGTGTTCAGTGTCTTTGTTTTGGGGACATATGTAATGCAGGGTATGACTTACTCGTAATCAATGAACCGAACTGATGCGACATCTATGCCATCACCCGACTCTTGTACAATTATGTTTGCGCACAAAAGGTCACCGTGAGCGAGAACCTGCGTGGGTCAGTCGCAGAGGACGCAAGAGAAATGCAACGACGTACCAAGGGTTCCGACATGTCAGTTGACAACAAGTTATCGGCTAGATACTTGAACTTTTCATGCAAATCGTCAATCTCGGCCTTTGTCCGGTGAGGATGTTTGGAAATAGCATCTAGCCATTTCTTCGCGGTGGACCAAACGCCCGGTTTGTAGGTCAAGACTTCTTTCGCGTCTGCTGTAGGAAGTGTCGCGTGCCACCGAGCCAACTCCCTCGCAACGCCGCGGAAAATTCTTGTGTCAAACATGTCGCCTTCAGAGCAGACTCGCCCAGAGATGAACTGATACGCATGTCCATTTTTGAAGCGAACCAGTGGAGATGAAGAGAGTTGACGCTCGGAGAGGAGCTTGTGTACCCTGAGTTCCTCTGTCGCAAGATGTCACGTTAGACACGAATCCAAAACGGAAGTTCCAGACGAGATGGACAAACAAAGACTGGGGGAAAGGGTACGTACTCTCGCGATCAATGGTGATGTCCGTGCCATCTCCGTAGACCTTGATCAGCACTGCATCTGCAGTGGATGCATCGATGGTAACCTTGAAAAGCTGCCAAATTGTTTTAGCGTGAAGCCCCTGTACCTGGATAGAGGAGGCCAGTATGAGGGAATACTCACGCCATTTGTCGTGCCCTGAGTCAAAGCAGAAATACGCATGTCGTCGATCTTCCGATCGGGGAACAGGAGCGGAAGAAGCGACAGGGCTGATCCATGAGGATCTGACGTATCAAAGACAGTATCCTTGAACGGGATATCCATTCTCCACTTTCGGCAGTTCAGCAGAACAAAAAATACCTATACAAACAAAGAATGTCCAATAAGGAATAAAAAATAAAAAGGTCGGGAGGATTAAGATGGGAAAGGCCTTAAAGTAGCTGTGCCTCTGGGTGTAACCGACCGTGCCGCTTTTCCAAGGGCGGGCTGTAAGCAGAAAAGATCGACGCTGGGGCTGCGGCTGAGATGAGACAGAGCAAATAGTTCTTGGCCATGCCTCACACTAAATGCAGATCCAGAGATGCTGTAGAATGAGAAAAGAGGAGTGATTGGAGGTGGCATAAGACACCACCTTGTTTCTTGCTGTGGCCCGAGCGGATGCGGCCCGCCAGAATGAGGATCATTACACTGCATACCTGGAAATATTGGTAAGCCACAGTCGCAACATCGGAGACTAAACACTTTCGCGTCTTGGGTTTATCAATGATTGTCAAGAGCTAGCAGAGCGATATACGCATCTCTGATATCATCTCGGGTATATAAGAAGAAAGGCACACGACACAATGAATCTTCAAATCATCACCATCAGTATTACATCATGGCACCTACCAACAGTCTTCTCTACAAAAACTTCCAGAAACATCCCGCTGCTCTTATTGAGTCGACGTCCGGGATTTATCTCAACACTAGCGATGGGCGCAAGATTCTAGACGCTACGAGTGGAGCGGCTGTTGCGTGTCTGGGCTATGATAACAAGGACGTTCAGAAAGCTGTTGTAGAGCAGCTTGTGAATGTTCCGTATTGTCATCCGGGCTTTTACAAGACTCAGGCGGCGGAAGATCTTGCGGGTTTTCTTGTCCAGTCTACGAATGGTCTTATGTCCAAGGCTGTTCTCTGTGGATCAGGTACGCTCCCTTTCATGAGAGATTGTAAAGAGTGTTGCTAATTGAGGTATAGGATCTGAAGCTGTCGAAGTAGCCCTCAAACTTGCGAAAACACACTTTTCTCATCTCGCTATCCCTCAGACCGAACGAAGTCACTTCATAGCTCGCGTGGGAGCTTGGCACGGCGCTACACTCGGTGCTTTGACACTGGGCGACTTTAAAGTACGAAAAGACCCATTCGTACAAATGATTTCGCAGAATGCTTCGCGTGTATCGGCATGCAGTGCATACAGAGGCCAGCGCGACGGTGAAGATGACGAGGCGTATGTTGCACGTCTCGCGCAGGAACTCGATGATGAATTTCTGAGGGTTGGGCCTGATAAGGTTTGCGCTTTTGTGGCTGAGACTGTTGGAGGGAGTGTAAGTCATCCGCTATCTTTGTCTTGCATATGTTCTGATCTGATATTTTTAGGCGAGTGGGTGTGCTATGCCCTTGAAGGGATATTTCCCTGCCATGAAGGCTGTTTGCGAAAAGCATAACGCTCTTCTTATCCTTGACGAAGTCATGTGCGGAATGGGCCGTACGGGCACCCTTCACGCTTGGGAGCAGGAAGATGTTGTTCCTGATATTCTTGTCGTCGGAAAGGGTCTTGGTGCAGGATACGCTCCTGTCTCTGCAGTCATGATCAACGCAAAGCTCGTTGAGTCGTTCCAGAAAAGCGGCAAGGGCTTTGCGCACGGTCAGACATACATGGCTCATCCCCAAGCCGCCGCTGCTGCCCTGAAAGTCCAGCAGATCATCCGCGATGAAAACATGGTATCGCACGTCCGCTCAATGGGCGCGTATCTCGGCCAACAACTCAAAGAGCGCTTACTCCCCATGCCCTACGTCGGCGACATTCGAGGCCGCGGGCTCTTCTGGGCCGTTGAATTCGTTACCAACAAAAAGACCAAAACACCCTTCCCCTACGATCTCGGCCTGAACAGCTTGTTGCACTCACGCGGAATGAGTGCTGGGTATGAAATCGCGCTGTTCAACGCTAATGGAGGGTATGATGGATACAGTGGAGATCACTTCTTGATCTGTCCGCCTTTTATTGTTACGAAGGAGGATGTTGATGATATTGTGGAGAGGACGGCGCGAGTGATTGAGGATACGTTTGAGGAGTTGGGTAAGGCGGCGGTTTGGGAGAAGATTACCCTGCAGATGGAGATTGATGAGGTTGAGGTTAAGCCTGTTGGGGCAATGGTTGCTGCGCAGTGAGGGAAAAGCTTATAAATTGATTTTTGTATTTATTTAGTAGATTTTTGATGATTATGTGTTATTTATTATATTGCTGACGCTTAAGTGCAGAATCATCTTGATGTGATGTTGGCGTTCATGCTTTGCCAAAATCGCCGTTGTAACGGTGCGGCTTAAAACGGGCCATTAAAGTTTCCAGTTCAAAAACTGATGACCCATCATGAATCCTATGAAGAAGTCAATCTCAGATAAAGCCCAAAACTATATCAAAGCCTCCAAGTATAACAAGCATGAATGGCTGCCGTTTCACATAACGGAACGGTATTGCCCGAGATGGGATGCAAAATCGCCGCAAAATTCCCGGCGCGAGCAATCTAGGCAGAAATTCAAGTTCCTTGTTCAACAATTCCGGGCGAATGGTTTAGTGGTATAATACTCCCTTAGCAAGTTTCGTCCATCAGATGCTCGCATCTGGGAGTGGTCCAGGGTTCGATTCCCTGTTCGTCCAATGAAGGTGGTTAGATTCCACCAAAAGTCCTCTTTTTGGTGGCTAAAGCAGCTGTCCTTTTGCCCCATGCTTTGTATATGTACTTTCACGACGAATTAGCAGTTGAATGATCAGTCTTTTGAACGGCGTGAACTGTGTACTGATTGATTTGAGGTTATTTCTTTTCATTGCCTTTAGTGGCAAAAGTTCACGCTCTGAAGCCAGCTCGACTCTTGCCTCTTGAAGCCCTATGGATCGATCGGTGATGAGAAAGAACCCAGGCCGTCACTTTCTAAAAACCCCCAATTTCTTTCTTGCCATATTGATGGAAAGCACGACACGTCTTCTACGCCTCCGATGGAATACCTAAACTTGCTTTCTCCAGTCACTCCCGCAATGTTTCCTCCTCTCTCATGTTCCCTTTCATCAATAACGCCCGAGACCAAAACCCAACAAAGCACTTTCTATTCTATTCAAACTTAAGAAACATTTTCTACATCACGGTGATGGACGACCTGACAGCCGGGACGCATCAAGCGACGCCAGACTTCGACGCGGACGAATTCCTCGCAAAGGTATCTTCCGACTACCACGCAAAAAGCAGAGGCGTCCTCAAAAGTCATTTCCACCGTACCGCTTCGCATATAGTGGCCCGTAAGAACGGGTTTATCTTAGCTGCGAAAGTATTCTACCAGAAAGACTGTGCGATCATCATTCGGGCAGACAATATCTGGCTAGCTATTCTTGCGCAGCTGACACCCTGGATCTATCAAGCCGCTCCCGTTCCAGAAAATCAACATATCCCGACCTTTACTCCAAATCAGCTCGATAACCCAGTCTGGGTGGCAAGGTACTTGTCCCATTGCGTCGAAATAAAATTTGGCCCCCAGGCCACGAAAGTTCTTATGCCGGATTTCTGCACGACCACGCCCGCAGATGCCACAGCGGCCGCCCTCATACTACTCGGCACACCTTGCACGAATCTCTTCTACCTGGCAATAGAGACGCCGAAGAAACATCCCAATTGCGACAATGTGTTTTTCAGAGGCGACAGCGCGAACTGGTATAAGATGTATCTAAGTCTTGAGGCACTCGGAACCTGGTCCACAGACCTGAATTACATCGCACTTCAGCATCAAGGCTTACTGCACAGCATTTTGACAACTGGGGAGAATGAATCATGGAGCGAGTTCTGGAAGAACATGATCATAATGGACCCCGAGAAATCTCTGATGAGTGGTTGGCTTTTTGCCTTCTTCAATTGGTACAAGCACGACAAAAATCCTTTATTTCCTGTTTGTACAGGTATGCCTTCTGCTGTTGCATCGCTGCCTATTATGGTCAGTGATGATCAGGGTGTCAAGAATTGCACAATGGTTGGAGGCTTAGCTGGGATTTCGGTTGAAGAACCAGATGTTATTGACTGTGAGACTGATATCGATGGTGTTGTTCAGCCGATGTCTGGCTGGCTGGTGTACTTGGACAAAGACCCTGAACCGGGGGAATAGGAGGAGCCAGAAGACATGGCGAGCGAGCCAGAAGACATGATGAGCGAGTCTGAGGAGACGGCGAGCGAGTCTGAGGAGATGGAAATATAGAAACAGAGGGAATTGAGCATCCAGGGCCTAAGAGTCCTATGCAGCTCTCGACTCTCACAAGAAGGATGGAAGCGACAAAAGAAAAGCGCAAACATGTTAGATAAAAAGCCTTGTTAAGTCTTGAACTATATACATAGAATGAGAATTAATTCTGACGCAAGAAGCCCCAGCGGATATACTGTCTTCGTCACGCCATACAACGCTTCAGCTCCCTTGTGTTCTTCAACACATGCCTGATTGCTAGGCGAGCTCTTCGACCCTGGTCGCTGTATAACCCGCTCTACTGGAACCTGAACTGAGCAGTAGTGACATCAGTGAGCACTTTCTCATTTCCATAGAAAATGTTGTTGCTCTCAATATGCCAATAAATAGGCGTCGAACCGCTCTCAGACTCGCACGATAGAAATCCCGCGACGACATCGCATTTGACAAAGTATCGATACTGGTTGTTCACGATGTTTTGACACGTATCAAACTGGAAGGAAAGTTGGGGACCCAGTGGAATGACGGTTTGGAGGTAGTATTTCGTGCCATCGGCGGTGGTGGTGGTGAGGCGACCGGTTGACGGCTCAAGGGTGAAGCGTGCAGGGATGTCTCCTTGATCGCTGAGGATCAGGCTGGAGGTGAGATAGGTATCTGTTACGGTTCCGTCGGAAAGAACTGCGACGATGGCAGTTCCTTCGGGGGCGGTTGTTGTAGTAGTGGTTGCTGCGACTATTGTAGTAGTCGACTCAGCGAGGGTAGTGGTGGTGATAGTGGGAGCGGCGAGTGAAGCAGTCGTCGACGGTCTGCATAGTCCCGCGGTAGCGAAACCTGCTTGAGTCGAGACCAGAAAAGGGCGAGAGACTGTACTGAAAAACGCATGATGAAAACGAATGGATGCAGTTAGCGAGTAAACGAGTGTGAAATGTCGAACGCCAAGGCTGGGGAACACGATCTCAGTTTTATAGATCGTCAATAAGGGGCATGTAATTTCGCAAATACACAACTATATCGGATGCTAATGGGTGACTATCAGCTATTGGTGTGCCGACCGGTCGGTACACTAGCTATAAATGCCATTAAGTTGAGCTATAAGGCTGGAAGAGTTAGCTATTGACGCCACGCTTCTTAGTTAGTCGTGGTCTTCCAAGGTAATTGGACCTGATTCGAGATATTACGAAAATATCTCAGTATGCTTCCCAGAGTCGTTTAACGCGATTTTACTTCAAGAGCACTAAATATAATCTATTTGCTTCAAGTTTGCATGGTAAAATTGCCTTCATGTTGACTAGACTGATACGTAAGTATAAGCTGTTCATGAGGCCAGGGACCACTTGTTCACTCCGCCCCTCAAGGGAATACTCAACTGTAAAATTAGGAACGCCCGCACTGATCATAAAGAGTGTTTTTGTATGTAGGTTTGGTTCTAAGCCCCGCTACCAATATTAGGAGAGTCGGGTCGTATGGTTCGGATAAACGTTTGATTCTGTGGACGATTGCAGAGGAAACTAATACACACCATGACTTTGTAAGGGACTGAACACACGGCCTAAGTATATGTGGTCAAGTTACATGGTATGATTGAACTTGATGTCATTCATATTTATAGTTTCCAGATAGAGAATCGACAAAAGTGGCCGTCTCCGAAAGCCCCTGATTTTCTAGACAACATACTGCTAGCCTTGCTAGTTACAAACATAGGAATAGCAAACATACCCTCCAGTAACAGTCGTACTACCCCCAGTAATACCACAGACCTTTCCAGCGTCACCAGCATTCCAATAACAAGTCCCAATGACCTTTCCATCACCTCCATCCTTATACATCAGAAAGGTGTTGCCGCTCTTGTAAAAGTTGAGCTTTCCAATGCCGTAGAAACCAGACTTGATGGAAAATACACTGTCGCCGAGAGTGCCGTCGACTTTACCCGTGCGGTCACCGCTGGTGAGACATTTGCAGTTCCAGTAGTTGGAGGGACAGGCGACGACGGATATCCAGCTTGATTGGCCGCCGGGACTGTTGACGACGGTGTTGCGGAGGTTGTCGATGTGGAAGTCTGCTAGAGTGAGGGTGGGAGAAGGGCGAGGGCGAGGGTTGAGAAGTGCATTTTGATAGGAGTTGGAGAATTGGGCTTGAGAAGTGGTTTTGGTAGAGGGTTTTGCTTCTGAGCGATGATTTTGTGACTGAGTATGAGTTTGAAACCAGCATTCTACAGAATGTCCAGAGACTTTTGTACTCAATTGGCGATCAAAGATCTTTCTATTGCGAATTTGGGCTGCGATGTCTGTCGAACGCTGCTGTTTGTATCGTGTGGAGATGCAACTGTGATGCGATAATACGAGTTTATACAAGGAGCGGCCGCTATATATCACCTCTTGGCATGATACATCACGATGTCCACATCACGCCAAGCATCCAAATTGAGAATTTAAAATCCTTCGATGTTCCTCGGCTTCCTCTCTTGGCACATATAAATCCACATGATGAGCTGTCAATTTGCTTGCTCAGCACTTACACGACTTTGTAATGTTCTTGATATTCTGAAGAATCAGATCAGAGGGACGTTTAAGACAATAGACGCACAATCATGCTACCGATATTCCGCTCTGGAGTTTTCAGCTGCCAGGCTAGTGTTGGTTGTATATACCCGTGCCGGCCCGGGCCGAATAAATGTATTGAACCTATCGAAGCAGCACTAGGGTAAAGGGAAGGAATTTCTTTGCACAAAAGTTTGTACCGATGGATGCTCACAATTTGCATAAATCTTCTGGCTGCTTTGTCACATAGAAAATAGGTTAAGCGATCGAAATATTTGCGCAACATGGGCACCTAGGCCTCATATCTCCATTCAATATTTACTACTCTTCGGGGTAAACTCTATATACACGAACAAAACACTCTTCAAGAGCTCAGGCATTAACAGTAGCACCGGTAATGCTAATAGTATAATCAAGACCCTTAGAAACCTCGGGGCTGAGGTTAAAGCCATCATACAGAATAGGCTTAGCAGGAGCATTGGCAACAACAACACTAACATCCTCGCCAGCTTGAACGGAAACAGTACCAGCTCCATCCTTTAGCGTAACGTAAGAAGACTCGCCGCCCTTGCGGTAGATAGCAACAGTGGCGACGAACTCAGCATCGGCAGAAACCTTGACCTCGAGTTGGGTACCAGTGACTTGGAGAGGGATGATGTTGGCACCCATGTAGCGAGGTTGACGATCAGCCTTGGGCTTGTAAGATCCAGTACCGGCAGCTTCCATGTTGGCGAAGCTGATCTCTGCACGTTGCTGGAAGAAGACCTCTTGGGCGGTAGGATGGCCGATGTCGACGTAGGCCATGCGAGCCCAGTAGCGACCGACGATGTCGCCAACTGTAGCGTTTTGCGAAACGCGAGCAAGAGTGTGAAGAGGAGTCTCGTTGCTATCCTTCTCGTACTGCAACTGAAGCTGTCGAATGGTATCTTGACCCAGACCAGCGAAATCATCGGGGTTATAGGTCAAGTAAGCAAGGAAAGGCCAAGCTTGGTAGTAATTACCAGTATCGACAGATCCATCGACAATAACCTGGTGAGAGTCACCGAGGACCTTCTTAAGCTCGATCTCAGTAGGTGAAGTCTCCTGATTATGGTTCTTTCGGGCGGGGGCGCAGATATCGGAGGTCTTGTACGTATCAGCGACCCAGTTGGCGAGAGTCTCCCACCAAGCACCGGTTCGACCCTGGTCAACCCAAGCTTTTTGATGATAATGCATTCCATGTCCGTACTCATGAACAGTAACGCCTGGAACAGCAAGATACTGATCAACGACCTCAAGATACGCCATGCCCGTTGCTTGATCACTGTGCATCACACCCGCCGCATTGGACAAATCACCAACACTGTAGACATTAGTCTTGTACCGAGGACCAGTATCAGCTTCATCGTTGAACGAAAGACCGGGAGATCGCCATTTCAGCGTTCCGACGAAGCACTCATATGCTGCTTCGAGCATATCAATTGCTTGGGCAGTTGCATCGGCGGAACCGGCGTAGATGCGGAAGTGCGCCGAGTCCTTGAAGTTGGAGCCGCCAGGGCCGATGTTGGGATTCGCGGTGTATGTTTCTGCTGCCGCCGGGGCATCAGCTGTTGGAGTCACGGCCTGGGGAAGAGCGTGAGCTCCAACGGCGAGGAGGGTTATAGTCGCAGACTTGAAGAGACCCATTGTAACGAGTGAAGAAACGAAAGTGATATTTTAAAAACAGAAAAATGAATGAAAGGAACGATGACAGCTGAAGCAACAGGAAGATGAGGATATGGGCGATCATTTTGTTTTTATGCTTGGTTCATGCTTAACTGGGACGTGCGAGGTCAAGTTCCTCCATTGGTGGACTTTTCATGTTTCGGGAAATAGTGGTTTCAATATGGAGTTTCAGAACAGGGGATTTGTTATGTTTAATTGTCAATACGAGAGAATTCGTTCAGGATCATCAAAATGCCAAGAGAAATTGGGGTTGTTTAATTGCAAAGTGGCACTGATAGTGTTTCATCTCGGAGTATTTTACACCGAGGATCCCGTTTGAGCTTCGAGAGTCCAACTGGCAGTGCGTTCAACTACGGTTTGAAGATGGAATGCGAAAGAAACAATATTATTACCATAACTAAGAATAGGTCTTAAGATTAAGCTTGTTTGTTGATCTGGTGACGAGACACTACCATCACGCCATAGCCGATGATTACCCGCCGTATCACGCAATGACCCACGGGTCATCCGGTCATGACTCCATCTCACAAACCCTCGACTCATCCTTGTTTCAACATCCTCAATACAACCTCTCATATAATCGCAACTCAAGATGTCTTCAGAACGCGCTGAAGACGCGAGTCAGCAGCCTCTTCTGGCTGAACATCGTCAAAGAGATCACGATGCAGCCGCGTCGCGAGGCACTTTTACGCGTAACCTCGGCGCCGTTGAAGCCTTCGGTATAGTCGTGAGTATCGTCATTGGAAGTGGTGTTTTTACTTCTCCTGGATCGATCGATACGAATGTTCCGTCGCCGGGCTTGGCGCTGGTTATTTGGTTAATTGGCGGTGTTTTGGCTTGGACTGGTGCTACGACCTTTGCTGAGCTTGGGACTGCTATTCCTGGAGAGGGTAAGATTCGTTCTGGTTGTTTTCGTGGAGATTGTCTGACGGGGTACAGGTGGTGTTCAACCATATCTTCAGCACATTTATGGTGATATCTGGGGCTTCCTCGCAGCATGGACATGGATCGTCACCGTCATGCCAGCAACTCTAGCAATCCTCTCCATCGTCTTCGTCGAAAGCGCCTACTCAGCCGCAGGCGTGACAAACGAAGACCACCGCATAACACACAAACTCCTCTCCATTCTAGTCCTCATCATAATGAGTGTTGCAAACTCTATCAGCACGAAAGCAAGTACTCGACTGAACGGCTTCTTCGTGGTCCTCAAGTTTGTGAGTATTCTTGTCGTGGTCATGGCTGCGCTAGCTGTTGTTGGCGTTCATGCTACGCACCCCGATAAAGAAGCTGGGGGAGGTGATTGGTTTAAGAAGAATTGGTTTGAGTATCGTGATACGTATAATCCGAATGGACCGGATACGGATTGGAGCAAGTTGAGCCAGTGGGAGATTTTTGGACATTATTCTGCTGCGCTTTATGCGGCTCTTTGGGCTTACTCGGGTTGGGATAAGGTGAGTTGAGCTTCTTGCGTGTATGGTTGGATACTGACGTGATCAGGCGATTTATGTCTCAGCTGAACTTTCACAGCCTGCCAAGCAACTTCCCCTTGCCATCAACACTTCAATCCCAACAGCGATCATCTGCTTCCTTGCCGCCAACGCTGGATACTACGTTCTACTCCCGTGGAACGTTGTTAGTACTACTGACAGCGTGGCAGTCACTGCTCTGACACGCCTCTTGGGAAGAGGGTTCGGCATCATCACGGCTGTCCTCATCTGTCTAGTAGTCGCAGGATCTTTGCTCGGCAACTCCTTTGTCGCAAGTCGCATGTGCGTCGCTGCAGCAAGGAAGGCTTGGATCCCTAGTCTCTTCACCATCGTCGGCCGAATTGGCGTCAAGCGTGATGCCGAAGAAACCGAGGAGTCTGGAGATGAAGGTGCCAAAGAAGCTGGAGACGCGCCCATCAACGCCGTCATTCTTTCAGTAGTCCTTGCATCTTTCTACATCCTCTTTGGAAGCTTTAGAGCCCTTTTGACCCTGAACGGTCTGGGAGAATACTCTTTCTTCTTCCTCACTGTCCTGGGCGCCATCATCCTCCGATATCGCGAGCCTGATCTGGAGCGTCCTTACAAGACGTTTTCTATCAACCCAATCGTGTTCGTATTGGTCAGCGGATTTGTGGTTGTTCGAGGAGCTATCTTTGCACCTGTTCAGGCAATTGTCATCCTAGTCATCTGGGCTCTGGGCATTGCCTTTTACAAGGCGCGACAGTATTGGGCCACGCGGTAGAGTTCGTCGTAAGTAGTGGGTGGGACGGAATTTGATTTGTGAGGCAATAGATAAAGCTGCCTCTGTCATAATGTGCCGATAGACAGAGTAATGGCGACATGGGAACTTGGCTTGGAAGTCATGGATAATAGTAAACAAATAACGCTAAATTCTCCATACGAATAGTATTTCGGAGACCGCTGATGTTGTATCTGATCGTCTCCGCTAACGGAGATTGTGCGGTTATTAATGCCGAGTATGGTAGTTCATGCGGCACGCAATGCTCATGGAGATGGCATCATCACAACTAGTATCTGCTAAACCACAAAACCGATTAGATCCAGCCATAGCATTGGACATCGATACAAAACATCATCGGAAGCATGTAACCTATCGTTATTTGTAAGAAAGATAGATGGTCTACCCCACAGAGTTAACGTTGATGTGCTTGTTGGATATCTGACGACTTCGCCGGGATGAAACCCAGCAATTTGGTAAAGGCTTTGTCGTGCCTTAGCCTCTGAGAGATCAGCATAAAGTGAACATCCCCCAACATTCAGTCGTAATTAGCATGGTAATACTGGCTTAGAATAAACATGTCTGAACCACCTGCGAGGAAGTGGTACCATTGGTACTCACCAACCGACACGCCTGAAGAAAAGAAGCTTATCTTGAAGCTTGACCTTCTACTGGTACCTTATGCGTTTGTTCTATACTGGGTAAAGTATGTCGATCAAACCAATATCAGTACGTACAACACCATCTTACGACAAGGAACCCACTGACAGTTTCAGATAACGCCTACGTCTCAGGCATGGCAGAAGACCTAGGCTTTCATGGCAACGAGTTAGTCCAGTTCCAGACGATTTTCGTCGTTGGAAATGTCGTCGGCCTTTTGCCTTTTATCTATCTCTTTCCTCGTGTTCCAATGCATATTCTAGTTCCCAGTCTTGACCTTGGTATGTCCTCCTCCATGAGCCGCTCAACTATCCGCTGACTTGTTAACAGGATGGGGCATCTTCACCCTCCTTCAGTACCGTGCCACAAGCTACGCAGAGATCATGGCCTATCGTTTCATGGTATCCATCTTTGAGGCATCATACTTCCCAGGCGTTCACTTCGTCCTAGGAAGCTGGTATAGATCAGATGAGATTGGCAGAAGAGGCGGTTTGTTTTATATTGGCCTGACCCTTGGAACCATGACTGCTGGTCTTCTGCAAGGTGCTGCGACTCAATATCTAGACGGCCATAGCGGTCTTGCTGGTTGGAGATGGAATTTCATCATCAACGCAATCATCACCCTGCCCCTTGCCTTTGTGGGGTATTTTCTCTGGCCTGGCACACCTGATAAGCCTAATCGGCTGGTCATGAAGAGATCTGAGATTGTCCTTGCCAAAGAACGCCTGGAACGCAATGGGTCAAAAGTTCGAAGCACACCTTTTTCGTTGACTTTGCTCCGCCGCATCTTCACGAGTTGGCAATTCTATCTACTCGTATTCTGGGACATTCTGTTCTTCAACACTAGTGCCAACAGCGCCGCATTTCTTCTTTGGATCAAAAGCCTGGACCGGTACAATACAACCAAGGTTAACCAGCTCGGGTCTATTAGTCCCGCCTTGGGCATCTTCTTCGTTCTGTTCATCAACTTCAGCGCTGATCTATGGATCGGAAGACCTGCGGCTATTACACTTGCGTCAGTAATCAACTTCACCGGCCTTGTTATTCTTGCGGTCTGGAATGTTCCCGAAGCCGCGAAATGGTACGCTTACAGCGTGGGCTACTCCGCCGTTGCAGTTTCGTCTGTCCTTTACGGCTGGGCGAATACCATTCTTCGACATAACAACGAGGAGCGAGCATTGACGCTCATTCTAATGACGGCTATAGCTACGTCGACTCAAGCTTGGATACCACTTCTTGTGTATCCTACTGTCGAAGCACCTCGCTTCCCGAAGGGTTATGTTTACTCAGCGATCATGGTTGTTCTTCTCGTGGCGATGACTCAGGTTATTCGTGTTGTTTATGGTAGTCATGGGTAAGTTTCGACGAAAGACGTTTATGGAACAAACTAACGATCGTATAGAGAAAAGGTTCGCACGCGAAGTGGAAGTCTCAGTGACGCAAGTGAGGATGGTGACATTCAGGCACCTCATGGGCTGAGCATTGGCAAAGATGCAGGGAAGCATATACAACCTTCCACGGTAGCTGTTTAGAGACAATGTTTTAGATCGCTAGGTATGAATAAGGCCACAACAGCAGAGAGTGGAATAGTAGGGACATCTACCAAGGAGACAATCAGGTATATGTTATGAAACGGGGAGTATTTGAGACTAGAATCTCTTCTATGTTGGCTTAATAAATGAGCCATCTTCAGAATTCTGATGAGATAATATTATGCAAGGGCGAAACTATTCACAGCTCGTCTTATGAGAATGAATGCTCTGGCCTACGGGTGTCCATCGAGGCCTCTTCGAAAAGCACGTATCAGGCAGCAGCCTTCAATGCAACGGGAGTATATCCATTGACTGGTCCAAAGCCAAGATACAGCACATCCCCCCTCTGATCAGACTTAGTCAGGGACTGTGTGATAGTTCTATACGTCCAGAAACAATGATAATCTCCACTTCCAGTTCCATCATGCGCACAAGCTTCCTCCAAAGCCTCGCACTCGAGCATACGATCATTAGCCTGGGTGCATTTGATATACTCGTGGCCGGAGTAGTCTGTGTTGCAAACACTGACAATACCGGGTTCATCGGCGCCAGTGGGACCGTCCCAGCCCGCGCACAAGTAACCGCCAAGCCTGGTCTTGAGACGGTTGGTTGTGGGTTCGATGGACAGAGTGTAGCCTACTGCGCTGTTGTCGAGAGGGTTAAAAGAAGCGATACTGCCTTCGTTGGGGTTGCCCTTCAGTGGTATTCGTTGATCGTTGTAAGTGACAATAGCGAAGATTTCGAGGGGGCCCTCTTCTTCAACAGTTGCAGTGGTGGCCTCAGTAGTTGAGCCGAAGTCTGCGGTCGTGGTGACAGCTTCCAAAGTTAGACTGCTCTCGAGCGATTCAGTCGAGCTGATGGCAGTTTTCAAAGACGAGAAGATGGTCGAGCTCGTAACGTCGGTCCAGACGGTAGAAGAAGACATGACGGCCAAACTTGTAGCTGAAGGAGAATCGGTTGCTGTGGTTCACGTCAGTGGAAGCTCAAACATCATTGGGGGTTGAAACCTTAGTGGTAGTATGAGGCTTGCAGGGGCTAGCAATAGCGACACCCGCCAAAAGGCCTGCGAAAAAGACAGAATGCATCGTGGTGAGTTTATGGTGTTTAAAGAAAGACAACGGTAGGAACGCCTTAAAATCACAATAACAAGAGACCATTCGGAAAACAAGGAGAGGTAAGCTTATTTATATAGATTCAAGCAATTTCAATACTTTCAACGTTATGTGTAGGCAAATGCTTTCCTAATAGAACAAGCAGGTGTCTAGGCGAAGTTGAGCCCCCGAGGCAGGTACACTGAATTGCCCATAACATCAATACGATTTTGACACGTTACAATCATATCAACGACCATTGTAAAACCACTCCTTTTCCCCATTGTCACTTGGTTACTTGTTTTTCAAGTTGGCAACTTCGACTTGAGACTGTTGCCCAGAACTAGATACAAGAACAAACAGCCGCCTAGGGAAACCCGCCGCCGAAAATGCCACCGCCGCCGAAAGGGTTTGGCCAGTTGGAAGGGTCGAGATCATGCAGAATCTTGTTACCAAAGTCTTCAAATTCTCCCCCGAGTGATTTGAAGGCTTGGCCAATCTGATCGGCGCTGAAGCCAATTTGTCCCAGCAAGCCGTTGATTTGGTCGGCACTCCAGCCGTACGCCGTTTGCAGGGCCGAAGCTATCTGCGCAGCGTCGTTGCCAAACACACTCTGTAGTGCCGAGGCCACTTCTTCGGCAGCAAACCCGACCTGCTGCATAGTTTGCGCGACAGCCGTTGCCGAAAGACCAAAGGCAGTTTGGAGACCACTCGCTATAGTGTTGGCGGCGAAGCCTGCGTCCTTCATGGTAGCGGCTACCTGGTTGGCGTCTTGGTTGAAGGCATTTTGCAAGACGCCTGCAACATTTTCAACCCCTGTGATGACATCCTGCTGAACCTTGTTGGCCCACGCGCCAGCCTCGTTCAACAGGTCGCCGAATATCTCCTTGGCATTGCTCTCGATATTGTCAACGATGGCCTTGAGTAGATCACTTAGGCTTGAGATGTTCACGTCAGCCGTGAAGTCGCCGAAGTTGCGCGTCAGGCCTTCGAAATCGAAGCTGCCCCCAACTGACAGCACGATGTCTGACGAGCTTGTATTTAGTGCGAAGTGCGCACCGACCAGTGCCTCCAAGGGAATAGAGCCCAGACTTATACCACCGATCGAGGGTAGCGAAATAGTGTCATTGAGGCCGTATTGGAACGAGGCGGCCAGGTTGTGGAAATCGGATAGTGTGCAACTCATGTCCGAAGTCAGGATTCCGCCAAAACCCACGTCGAACTTGATGCCGCTCGAGGTGATATCGGCATCCAGATGCCAATTTTCAACCTCGAATAGGCTTATAGCACCGTTGAGGTGCAGGAAGGGCGAGGCCAGCGTCTGAATCTTCAACACTGCGCCACCCGGGGGCACCATCTGCTTCGTCGTGGCATCTTTGAGTGCCTGCTTCTGCGCAGCCTTGGTGATTATCTGATTGTTTTTGATGGGATTGCCGCTGGCATCCACCTTCAAGGTAACGCCGGCGCCATCTCCCTTTATCGAGAATATGTTGCCGAGCGACAAGGGGGACATCTCAATGTCGGCTTTCACCCCGTTGGTGAGGTCAAGTTCCACGTCGCCGTAGAAGTCGAAGCCGAAGATGTCGGCAGCTGCGCTGAAGCCGTAGCCCATGTTGGAAAGGGACCCGTCAGGCAACACCACAGGTTCCATGGGGTTTTCGGACCACTGGAAGGAGAGATCGGAAAATAACACCGGCACGTCCACAGGACATTGGGTGTTGGTGAAGACTGTATACACGTCCGTCAGGTGCATCTTAGGCACGTAGAAGGAAATATAGAGAGGGTTTGGCACCTCCTCTATCAACTGGCAGACAACCACGAACGCGTCATCGTCAAGAGCCACTATGGTATTGTTGGCAGCGTCACCGATGTGCAGTTGACCTGACAAGCCAATTGCCGCACTTGGCGGCTCGAAGATGATTCCGATGCCTACGCCAAACGAATCAAAGTGCACGCCCTTCATCACTGGTGGCGCCGGCAGTGGGGTCTTGTCTCCCTTTATGACTACACCGAAGGCGGCCTCGATGTTGTCGATGGTCATGGACAAATCAGCCTCAAACTTGTTTCCGAATATATCAAACGGCATGTCGCCAGTGACGGTGAAGACGACGAACTTGAACAGTGGGTTGATGTCAATGGTGGCAGTGGGTTTATTGATGTTCAAGGTTCCCGCACCGCCAAAGGGTACGTGCATAGCATCAAGGCTGATAGAGAGGCGGGTGCCGAATATGTTCAAGCCCACAGCATAGTTGAACATGACCGAGACTTGGAGCTGCTGGACGTTGAATAGCGACCCGAAAAACTGCAGCGCCTCATCTGACTGGGCAGGCAGCTTCTTCAGGTCTATCCCGGCTTGAAGGGCGAGGATATCATTGTTAGTATTGCAAGTGAACTTGGTCACCACAATGTCCGGAAGGAATTCCGGCCAGGTTGCGCCTAGCAGCGTCGCGAGAGTACTGAGCGAATACAAGGCCTGGTCTATAGGCTTGCCTTTGGACTCTGGTTGCTCCGCTGTGTATGTAATACCCATCATGTAGGTAGCAAACGTGCAGCTCTTGTATTGCTCATGCTGGGCAAAGAATTTGTTCACGGGCGTGACCTGTGGCTTTGAGGTGTCTTTCCAGATGGCATTGAAGGCCTCCGTGAGCGGGTAGTTCTTATTCTTGGTGATGAAGTCGATGAAATCCATGGTTTGAGCCATGGCCTTGACATCGGCTTCCCCTACGGCAAATGGACCGGTGCTGACATCTTGCAAATAGATGATCCGCGCCAGGGGGGAATTAGACGTTGCATCGCTGATGATCAGCACCGAAGTTGGGTGCTTGAGCTGCACTGAAGCCGTAGTCTTGGCCGGTACAGTTGCAATGGAGGTCAAGGTGCCGAAATAGTTGGTCTTGTCTTGGTCACTAAATGAGTCGTAGACCGTGACGCTGACGTCCAAGTTATTGGCAAAAGATATTTTGGGGGCAGTGATGGGAGGAGACATGGCGACAAGGTTAAGCAGTGCTCAAAGAGAGAAGAGGGAAAAGTAAAAGAAAGTGATAAAATGTCTGGAAGCTGTGGTTGTTGCGGTGGTGGTGGTTGTTAATTAACTTGTTCCAGAGGAATGTTAACTGACATGCCGTTCAGGTTTCTTGTTAGTCGTTTGACACGATTAGCTTATGCGGGTGTACCCGCCAGATACCCGGGCCGTTCCCTCCGTTGTAACGCGGGATATCAGCTTCGCTTGTTGCGGGCGCTGTTTGTTCTAGACTCTGCATGTTTCTGCGAATTGAGTTAGAATCAGATGTCTGTGTGATGGCCGATTACTGCAAGCAGCCACATACGAATCAATTACGAGGCATGTTACTGAACCTTTTGCCATCCATGTAGACTGTTCATGCAGGGATGGGATGCTCCGCTCATTGACCGGTTGTGCGGCTGATGGTGAGTCCGGAGCTGACTGATTTAAACCAATAGCGACAGTGGTGGCTGGCTGATTCGAACGGCTGAATATGACTATTCATGTGATCGAGGTGTGATGGGCGGCCTGAGTGGCCCGGGCTCCTTGGTGGCGGTAGCTAGCTAGCAACAAATACCGATGATAGTGAGTCTACGGCAGCATGTTTCGTATCAATACCGAGAATGGTGGCTTACTGATTCGCAATCATAGTGAGACTAGTGGCTAGCTGAATACGACAAAAGGTCTGAGTTTAGGCATGTTGACTCCGCATGGGGGCAACGTCAACCATCCCAGCTGCGAGATTGATATTGTGAGCAACGCTTCCAATAATTCAATTCAAGTCTGTCTCAAGTCTCATTCAAGTCTAAAAAAGCAATTTCTGCCCTGCTCCTATTAGCTATATGCAGTTTTTAAACTGATCTGGCAAATTAGAAAGAGCCTTTCTTGCTTTTTTAGACTTGAATGAGATTTGAGACAGACTTGAATTGAATTATTGGAAGCGTTGATTGATAGTAGTAAGGTGAGGGCTGACTGACATCAGTAGTGAATCTTGGGCTGACCGATTTGAATTGGCGGTCAGAATCGTGGCTGGCTGAATTTCCCGTCCCTACAACGACTACACAATATGATACCTAGGCTTGTCATAGTATGTTAAGAATGAGTGTATTCAACGTCATCTGACAACACATGATTGGATAAGGACTGAGGAGAACGGGTAACGAGCATCCGAGACAGTGTGAGCGAGGCATCCTGGCTCTCCTTGTGCGGGACAACTTCAACAATTCCAGCCAGCACAGCAATAACAACACTATTCCGACTATCTTACCGTTTGCGTCTATTCCCAGTACTGTGGTAGACATTTTATGTATATATAGCTGCAAAGACTGCACTATTCACATCTATAGTCACTCGTGCTTACAGTCATTCAATACATCAAAACACTTCCTTCTCACTTAGCCATTCGTGCTTTTACTCTTTACCTTGAACAATCATGAGTTCCAACACTTCGAACAATCCTGTTGCCTCAATCACCAACAACTCTGGTTCTTCTGTGGACATATACGATGTGTTCAATCCCAGCACCGACCCCAAGATGCAGGGGCCATTGACATACACAAAACTGGCCACTGTGTCGAGCGGCAGCACCCAGCAGGTGCAGACCATTCATTTTGCCAGCCAGCTGCAGGCCATGCTTACGGGCAACATCACAGCACTGAGCGGCACCTACTACCAGCAGTTTCCTGTGGCCGTGCTGGCGGTCTCCCCTTTCGCTGATTCAAACGCCTTCACTATCACCAGTGACAATCAGCAAAGCATGGTGGACTCATTCAAGTTCATCAAGTACTCGCAGGCGAACCCGTCCTCGCAACTGGCCACGCAATTCCGCACAGCCCTGGGCGACACGAAAAGCCAGAAAGATGCGGTCAACAAGTTTTTCCAGAGTACTGGCAGCTTCAAGCTGTGCACAATCACTACCTGGACCGCGGTTTTTACTTGGCAAGCCCAGTTCACGAACCCCTGGCAGGGTACCTACTACCTCTACAGCCTAGATAAAGTCCCGGCTTTGGTAGCAACGCTGGCCATTACAGCTAGCGCTGCGAACAGCTCGGCAGTGCTAACAATGGCTGGTACAAACAACGAGAACACACCGGTAGTGATGGCAGGTGATGGTACCATGTCGGAGCAAAACCAAGGCACTGGCAACCTGTCCGTTGCGCTGACCCCCACCTGGCTGAATGTAGCCCAGACCAGCCAGCAGGACGGCAAGACCGTGTCCAACTATGTCATTGGAGCTGCGTTCACGGGCACCATCAACGGGCAGAAGGTGGCTGGCAACCTCAATCAGCTGGCCATCCCAAGCTCCTCTGATAGCTCCAAGAACGCCAACAATAAGAACTCGGCCAACGGGTTTTCTCTCAGCACCCTCGAGGGCTTGATCGGAATGTTGACCAGCATCGGTATGCTGTATTACATGGCCAAGGGCCACAAGCAGGCCGAAACCCAAAAGAAAAACGATGCGGAGAAAGACTCCACCAGCAAGAAAGACGCGCAAGACAAGGTTGAGAAGGTTGAGAAGGACTATCAGGCAGAATCAGTGCCAGAGGTGCAAGCACAGGCGCAAAAGGTGGAGGCCACCGTGCCTCAGGTGCAGCAGGGCTATAAGGAGGTCGTCCAGGCCCAAGACATCCAAAGCAAGCAAGATACTGTGCGTCAGCAGGAAAAGTCGCTAGAGGAGGTTTTGGAAGGTGGCGCTCCATCCCAGGCTACCGAGGACACGGCTGTGAACCTCGCAAAGGCCAGCAACGAAGTTGCAAAGGCGGCGGACCCTAACACGAGCCCGGCTGAGCGGGACGCAGCTTTGAGTGATGCCTCCACCACTCTGACCAAAACGAGCGAAGACATCCAAACGGCGTTGAAGGATCAGGCCGAGGAGCTTCCAAAGGAGGAGGCAGAGAAGCTGAAGGACGCTCAGGACGCGATCGACCAAGTGCAGGAGGAGGCCCAAGCTGAAAAGGAGAACCAAGAGGAGCAAGAGCAGCGGGACGAGGAAAGCCCGGAGAAAGAGGTAGAAGACACTACCTTCGACCCACCCGAGGGAAGAGAGGCACCTCCCTTCGAGGGGATCTAATAGGCCAAGCCAGTTGAGTACGACTCACCAGCGTTGCTCAAGTGCTCGATGTTAGGTTAGAACTTGAGACACTATCATTTAGTTGAAGAACCTAGGTACTATGTATGGAATTTGTTATTATAAAGACTGTTCTACACTTTAAGCTATTGCGTGATAGACTCCAGTTTCAGCTACAAGCGTTGTATAAATGCAGCACTCTGGATATCAAGAAAGTGCATTCTTAACATAAGGATCGAGACAAAATCTCATGTGTGATTTTATCAACATCACACCACCAGAGTGGCGATTTGCAAAGTTTTGTAACTTGACCTTGGAATGGCCGCAAGCCAAAATCGACCCGTGGCTTACGATTTTCCTAAACTATTGAAAATAGTTCACTTTGACAGGGCGCTAAGCCACGGCTTGCTTCTGACAACTCAGTCTATTAGAGTCTCGACTTTAAAAAGCGGGAATAATATGAGAAGCTGATTGTGACTGAAGAATTGACCAATACTTAATCTTGCGAAACTCCCCTATACATGAGGGCCATAGTTGTTCAGCCGGACGTGACGCAATCGTGGTTTTTCTTGAACGTTCAATACTCGAGCTATTTCGAGAAATCTGGGTGATGACTATGAGAGTCATACAAGATAGTAGCGCCTAGATTCTATTAATTGTCACAAGTGTTGTTCCGGACTTGTTGGTCCTCGTTCCTTATTAGCTCATGATCTGATATATCTTCAATGCTAGGCCATGACATGTCATCCGCCTCGTATATGGAGTTGAGTGCCGAAAAATTGTTGAAAGACGAAAAAAGGAGCCATTTAGGTCCAGGAACTCGTGATCGGGAAGTGGGAGACCATCATCTGACCAGACTTTAAGACTTGATCCTTCAATACCCTTATCAAAGTGTTCCTGAATATCACAATTAACAACGTGACATTCGGCAGTTAACCCTCCTCAAAATCGCGTCCCCTTTCCTCAGGATCCAGCCCCATCGAATAAAAACCACCAAACCCATGTCCATCTAAATTGCAAGCGAGCGCCGATCACTCCAACGGCTCTGGACCCTCATGGATATAAACCCTACCAGCGTACCTTTGGACCTAAGTGCAACCTATCAAAATAATTTCTATGTAGTATTCAGTGCAAAGTCGTAGCCGGGGAAGCCGTATAGCTTTTCCTGGCCGTTGGTTCTGGAAGAGGAGTACCCGTCTTGTCTGTTCATACAAAACCAACATCAGTCCACTTTCAATTGTTTCGTTCTGTTTCGTTTCTTTGTATGCATAATGTCTGGCTTCAAAGTTCTTATTATTGGCGCTGGGCCAACGGGTCTTCTGGCGGCTCTTGCGCTGCAACGAGCGGGCATTGAGTTTACGATTTTAGAGAGGAGGAAGGAAGCTGATTTGAACTGGGGTGCTTCTGTATGTCTTTGGCCGCAGAGTGCGAGAGTTCTGGACCAGCTTGGTTTGCTTGATGAGGCGCATGCCCTTCATTTGCCGATGAAGAGGAAGTGCAATCTTAGGCGGGATGGAAGTGTTATGAGTTGGAGTAACATGATTGAGAACATTGGTCACTAGTAAGTTGACGCACAGCTCTGTTAATTGACCCCAGCTGACCTTTATAGCCATGGCCATGAATGGATGCTCTTCCAGCGCGGCGATCTAGTCAATCTACTCATGGGCGATCTCTCCGACATAACGAACCAACTCCTCCTCGACAAACAAGTATCCTCCATCGCGTCAGGCCCCGACGGGGTCGAAGTCAAGTGTGCAGATGGCCATTCCTACAGTGGCGATCTCATTATCGGGGCAGACGGCATCAACAGCACAACCCGTTCCTTCGTCGATGAAATCACCTCCGATGCTACAAGCGGGGACTTCACAACAACATTCTACGGTTTTTACGGTCACGGCACCACTGTGTCAAAGGATCTCGAACCAGGCGTCGATTATGAATGTCACTCCGAGGGGTTCAGCTCCCAGCTCATCATGCCGTCGCACGAGAAATACTTCTTCACCATTTACTTGAAGCTTGATAAACCGACAAAAGATCGCTATTACATTACCGCCGAAGAAGCCGATGAACTTGCGAAGAAATATGGCGATATCTATCTTGCCCCAGGCGTCACGTTCAAAGAAGTCTGGGGTGCAAAGAATTGGACTCACACTGCACCATTTGAAGAAGGTGTTGCAAAGAAGTGGTTTAGAGATCGTGTCGTCCTCGTCGGCGATTCAGTCCACAAGATGACACCAAACATCGGCTTCGGTCTAAATACAGGATGGCAATCCACCGTCGTGCTGATCAACCTTCTTCGCGATCTTCTTCGTGACAACCCAAACCCCGATATCAAGGAGCTTACAAAGACGTTTGAAGAGTACAAAAGGACACGATTCAACCACGTTACAAAGGATGTTGAACTAGCGGGTACGTCTACGCGGGCTGTTATGTGGGATAATTTCCTGTGGAAGTTTTTGGATCAATATGTTTTGCCATATATCAACGGTGACACTATCTTGGCGAAGCTTATGTGTTCTCCGACGGTTCAAAAGGCTGTTACGTTGAACTTTTTGCCGGAGCCGAATTTTAAAGAGGGAGAGTTGAAGTGGCATACTAAGCCGGTTATTGTGAAGGAGTAAGGATAGTGGTTGGCAGTTTGGGGGGTTGTTTGCATAGAATCACGTAGCATAGCATGCTTTTGAGTTAAATGCCTAGTGTTTCTTTTTAGTCATCTTGTGTACAGTCTTGACCTTGAGTTATGTTGAATTGTAGCCAAACAACTTATCCTAGTTCCTCAAATCGGCTGTCGCTTCTTTCAAAGCCTCATTCAAAGTTGTCTTCCCATGAATAACATCCACATCGCTGGGTTTCGATAGATCTTTCTCAGCAATGCCACCTGGCAAAAAGCATGTACTCATTTCAACCCACTCATTCACAATCTGCGGCGCAAATATCTTGCCATAAAATTCCGCAAGGTCCTCTTTCTCAACAGCCTTGACCTCGACATCCTTACCAAGCGCCTCTGAAAATGCCTTTTGTGCGTCTAGTGGAGAATATGGCTCTGGCCCGTGAAGTTCCATGATATGCGGCTTGGTTGGAGGTGCCCAATCGCGAGTGAGTTGTGTCGCCATTGCTTCGCCGATGTCTTTGATAGCGACCATGGCGATCTTGAAGTCTAGTGGCGTGATGGTGGAGAAGAAGAAGGGGCTTGGGCCTTTGAGTGTTTCAACGGACATGGTCCAGTTTTCCATGAAGTAAGAGCATCTGATGATGATTATCTCAGGGATATCCGTTGACTTTAAGACTTGTTCGGAAATGTGATTTGTCTTGAGCTCGCCCTTTGTCTGTGAGCCAGTGAGATTCAATAACGGCGAATGGCGGACTCACCACGCCCTCCGAGAATTCAGCTCCAACACTCGATAGCAAAACAAGTCTCTTCACACCACCAGCTTTTTCAATCGCTGTTTTTACATTATTTGAGATTCTTTGCGCATGTTCAACGATATCGCGACCGTCGTAGGCAGGCGGAAGGACCATCAAAACAGCATTAGAGCCGGAGAAGTCTAGGGTATTCACGTCTCCAACATCACCTTGAACCGCCGAGAAGTTATTGGCAGATCTGAACTCATCAGGGACTTTCTTCGGATCACGGTACAAGCCTTTGACTTGTACTTGATTGTTTTGCGACAGCAGCGAGCGAATTGCTGCTGTGCTAGTTTTGTTGCTGGCTGGTGCGATTGTAACCTGCATGTTGGTTCAAAAGGGTGGTGCCAGTCGTGATACTCAACCGAGGGAAGATTAATTGGTAACAAGCTTATAACAAACTCGTAACTATGCAATATCATTGGCTTAATGCTTTAATCAGAGATAGTCGGTAATGTGCATATTCACGGTCGCTCAGCTGATGCTCCGCGTCGTTTGTGAACATTATCACGCCAGACGCCATGCCAGCCAGTGGCTGAAGAATGACGTCACGCTAGCGGACCCCTTTTGCACTTAGCCTATGTACCATTTGAAACTCCCTAGATAAGGTATTCATCTAGACAACCATGTATTGCGGATCCATAATATCTTCACTACACCTCCTTCTCTCTCATGTGATTGATGATGAGGTTATAGACATCGTAGTGGTCACGACCCAGAGCCAGAACTGCTGCCGTCTTGCCATCAACATCACGGATGCTTGCGTCGATTCCAGAGTATGACAACAGAAACTTGACTGCTCCCAAGCTACCCCCCAAGACTGCCTCGTGGAGTGGAGTCCTGTTCTTCTCTTTACTGCTGAGTTTCTCGGGTATGAGATAGTAAGTAGATCTTACAAGCCGCCATTCCGAGAAAGTGATATTCGGCAACTCAACCCTGTCCTTAAAATCTGCTGGCAGTTCTTTGAAGATATCTAGCCAGGTTTGTGGGGGTCTATCCGAGTCTGGTAGATAATCAGAGGTTGAATGATCGTGTTCAGCGTCCTGTCGCTGTGAAGGCATGCGCTCAGAACGAAGTAGTTCATTTTGAAGCCTCCATATATTAACTTTGCGGTCAAATAGGTTCGCTGGGAAAAGAAGGACCTTGAGTGCATCAACATCTCCCACAGCAGCTGCGTAGTGTACTGCCTTCATACCATTGTAATCGTGCTGGTGAATCGCGGTTTGTACCTGGTCCATGCCGAGGAAGTACAGGATATTGGCCGCTAGGACTGGATTCTTCCGTGCACACGTCTTCATTAACAATGTTTCGCCATCGGCATCTGATGCACCAAGATCGGCGGACTGACAGTATAAATTCTGAAAGCTTTTCTCTCCCGTATATGAACCCAGGAGTTGAGTCCACGTATCTCGACACTTGTAAAACCATGTTTGCTGGCCTCGCTTGCCACGGTGTCGAACAGATTTCCCTTCGCCGTAAACTTGGTCCCATGTCTGACCGAAATGGTATTTCCAATCTTTCGGATAGGTTGTCACTTGACAGGAATTACGAGAGTCAAGTTTAGACATTTGAGCGTGACTCCAGTTGTTATCAGTCGAAGGAGTAGACTGTTCTTTCTGACCAGGCTTTGGCACATGTGGGGATATCCGTGGTCTTGCTTTGTCCTTGGAGGTGTCTTGCAATTCATGTTGAAACTCTGATGTTGCGGTCTCTCCTGTCTCCTTCTGTACAGAAGGCTCGTCGGTCATTCCCAAATCCGAGAGTGTATTCAAGTATAGATCTCTTAAGGACTTCATTGTCACCTAGCTGTGCCTTTTGCTTCTTGTAATGTGTCCCAACGTTTTGAGGTTCGTCGAAGCACCGAGTTTGATCAATATCGCGAACTTGACAAAGCTCCTTTGCTCGAGCACAGCCTTCATCAGATAAGACTTCTGGAAAGAGCTCCCGCTAAGGACTGCACCATAGTCGACCAGGATTTGCAAAGCCTCAGAATTGGTGTTTTCTAGGAGAACGATTTGAAAAGGAGGTGCGAGCAAACGGATCACCGGAGCAATCAAGGCTATTGAATATATCAAGACGCATGAAACACAGAGTGGGAGTCATTATTAAGATATGCTCTTGTAACTGCTGTGACGGGCTGCAAGCTTTGCACCACCTACTTCAAGAACGAAGGCCGTGAGCTGGAAGATGTACTGGACATTGATCGGATGAGGAACTCGACGATATATTTGAGGGGCCTGCTAGGGAAAGTTCAGCATAGAGAATCTCGTATCAAACATGAGTTGTATTTTACGTTTACTGGTGCTGCGTAGCGCAATCGTTCCCTCTCAGTCACTGGTCCCAGCAGCCAGGACGCACATTAAAGCAGAGTTGCCCCTAGCTTTGTCACGAAGTATAATGCACTGCCAGGATGTTGTTAGCTTAATACTTCGTTACAAGGATTAACTTATGATATTCCTATTTATTTTAATGCTGACAACTCTAAACCAAGATAAAAACGAAAGAATAGTGTTGAATCTGACATGCCTTAGTTTCTATGGATAGGGATATGGCTTTTAGTGAGGTAAAAAGAAAGGCATTACTGTCCGGCCTGTTCTACGCTATTAATCATGGAGGGTACTGATATCCCAGCAATGCTACCCTAGAGCTGAAAAGATAAAAACGAAAAAAAAAACTCCAAGCAGTTGTGAAATGAGAGAGACCATCCCAGTCTTCCTTGGCCTGTTGAAAGTCAACTTGTCAAGTCTTCCGAAAACGGTAATCCGCTTCGGCTGAATTCCTGTGATCGACACCCTTCGGCAGTTATCGCCAAGCAAGAAAAGCCTCAACACCAAACCAACATCTCGTGATATAGAATCAGAAGACTTTTCACGGCATTTTAGGTAAAGGGGCCCACTAAAATAGGCAGCGAAATAAAAGTTGTTACCCCGTGTCATTGAATCCACAAAGTCTCCGCTGAAGAGAAATCCCCATGGAGTAGAAGGCCGAGAATTTGGCCGATGGGAACGGAGAACGAGAATCATCGGATGAAGACAAATTCAAGTGCTCACGACAGCTGTAGGATATCCCTTAGGTTGGCATATCATAGCAGCTCTGGTCAAAGCAGATTAGAAACAGTATAGATCAATTATAGCCCTTAGACTAGAGCCTCGATGCATGCGACAGGCAATCATGTAATAAATAAATGCAACAATCATCCAGATGAAACGTTTCGTCGCCAAGGATTGACTTAATCTCCATACCCAGCGCAACATTTAATTCTTGTTCCAGAAAACAAACCGGTAATAAGGAACCATGGAAGAAAAACCCACGCCATAAACTCCCGGAATTAATATCGCGATGGAGGCTCTGCGGTCCGTCATGCACCATGCACTTGACTCCCAAACACCAGCTGAAGCAAAAAAATTTGCTGGTGGAGAATCACGAGTCGTCCCCAGCGGAGCCCCAAATTGGGTCTGTCGCGTGCCAGAGACCCAGCGAGCCAGTCCAGTTTGGGGTTTGCAGCATGCTTATTCCCCAACTCAGTGATGACATTATTCCAGCTGCTGTACTCCGTGAGTCTGTTAATTCCGAACCCGCCAAGAAAAAGCCGAGAATTCAGGTCAGCCCGCCCTGCCCAGACACAGAAACGCTCGATCGCCCAGGACGGCTTCTTCGGGATGTCTCCTTGGCCATCTTGGCCATCAGCAAGTTAAACCCTCCGACCTGTAAAAGTTACAGGGGGTTAATGGTAGAGGCTGCAGAATGACGCAATAAACGCGGGAAATAAGCAGGACCTAAACTAAAAATTTCGAGCCTCCTTCGATGAAGTCATGTCATTGTGGAGCACAAAGAGTTTATCAAGAATTGTGCTGCCTGGTTGTGGACTCTAACGGTAAAACCGATTGGAAGACCATAAACATTAGTTGGTTGGTTGAATCCTTTGAGCATTTGTTTGTCGACGTCATCGTAGGACCTGACTCGGCCGAGTTCAAGCAGACAAGTCTCAATGATGCACCCCAGCTCAATGACCAGCAAATTAGCTGCGTGATGAAATAACCACATTCACTAAGCTTGTCTCCTCTAGGAAACCTGAACACCTGTAATATGTGCAAACCTCACCCTTAACTGCTGATCTCTTTCTTTGTGTCGGCTACAACGGCACACATCGAAAACTCCACATGCTCTCTTCCCCACGTACGTCCTTGACACCACCATCTGGGGACCATCGGTGATGTCAAGAGTGGATTCCCTCAAGTTCTACTCTCTGTCGAGCTGGTGATCCCCCAGCTTTTAAATATGCACTGCTATCCCCAGTTGCAACAAGCTTAAACCGCAGCACCAAAACTCGGGTAGCTGTTCAACATGCCGACTCACTTCTCAGACGATCCTCCGCAGGTCATCGATGCAGATGATCTGCACGTCGCTAATTCGCGTCTTCAGCAGAACTTGGATGGTTCTACGGACCAGAGCGGCGATGAGAGAACGCACAATGCTAATGGTGCTGGACTAGAGAAGCTGGGTACATATGACAAGTACGAGATCACTGAGGATGACTGCTACGATGAGTTGGGTTATTCGTTTCCCAAGTGGAAGAAGTGGTACATTCTTACTGTTATCTTCTGGGTAAGTTGCTCAAGTCCTTGGTGTTTTGACTGCTCTCTAATAATTGATAGGTCCAAGTGTCCATGAACTTCAACACATCCCTCTACTCAAACGCCATCCCAGGCATCTCCGAAGAATTCAACGTCAGCGCCCAAGCCGCGCGCTGCGGTGCCATGATCTTCCTCGTCCTCTACGCCTTTGGCTGTGAGCTCTGGGCCCCTTGGTCAGAAGAATTCGGTCGATGGCCCATCATGCAGGCCTCTCTCTTCCTCGTAAACATCTGGCAACTCCCCGTCGCACTGGCTCCCAACTTCGCTACCATCATGGTCGGTCGTGCCCTCGGTGGTCTTTCCTCCGCTGGTGGTTCCGTCACGCTCGGTATGATTGCTGATATGTGGGAATCTGACCACCAACAATACGCTGTCGCCTATGTTGTCTTTTCTTCGGTCGGTGGTTCGGTTCTTGGGCCTATTGTTGGTGGTTTCTGTGAACAGTACCTTCATTGGCGGTGGTCAATCTGGATCCAGCTTATTCTTGGTGGATTCGTCCAGATTGTTCATTTCCTTACTGTTCCCGAGACACGAAGCACTATTCTCATGAACCGCATCGCCAAGAAGCGAAGAAAGGAGACAAACGCCAACTTCTGGGGGCCTGATGAACTCGTCCCTTTCCGCGAGCGTTTCTCCGCCAAAGAAATCCTCATCACTTGGACCCGTCCCTTCAAGATGTTCCTCACAGAGCCCATCGTCCTTGTCCTTTCACTCCTCTCAGGTTTCTCCGACGCTCTTATCTTCATGTTTATCCAGTCTTTTGCGCTGGTTTACAAACAGTGGGACTTTGATGCTGTTCAGATTGGCCTTACTTTCCTCGCTATTGGTGTTGGATATGTCATTGCGTGGTTGGCGTTCATTCCAGCGATCAAGAAGAACATCAAGGAGCGACGGGAGAAGCCGAATGATGAGCGTGCGCAGTATGAGTCGCGTCTGTGGTTCTTGCTCTACACTGCGCCTTGCTTGCCTATCGGCTTGATTGGCTTTGCTTGGACGATTCAGGGCCCCCCTATTCACTGGATTGGCTCTTTGATCTTTGCTGCGATCGTTGGTATCGCCAACTATGCTATCTACATGGCTACCATCGACTACATGATCTGTGCCTGTAAGTTCACTCGCCTTCAAGTGAGGAGTCCTCAACTGACAACATTTAGACGGTCCCTACTCTGCTTCAGCTACTGGAGGTAACGGTTGGGCTCGAGATTTCCTCGCTGGTGTCCTCACAGTCCCTGCTACACCATTTTTCAGCAACATCGGTGCTTCATCCGGCAAGAATCTTGAATACGCCTCGACGATTCTGTTCTGTATCTCATTCGTTCTCGTGGTCGCTGTGTACGTCATTTACTGGAAGGGTCCAGCCCTAAGAGCCCGATCACCTTTCGCTCAGCGTCTGGCCGGTGAGCGTCAAGAAAACGTTGAGCAGGGCCGTCGTGGAAGCGTTGCCTACGATGCTCGACGACGGAGTAAGTCACCTGAATCACCTGACTCAATTATACATGCTAACAATACCTCAGGCTCAACTGCAACTGGAGCTTCTGATGTTGAACGTCCACCTGTTGCAGCCCGTCCAAGCTACGGACGTCAGTACAGTAACTCCAACCGTTTCTTCGGTGAGAGTCGTGTTACGCCTCGGGGCACTCCTAGGGGTACTCCATCAGCGAGTCGACGCAACAGCAAGCACTACTAGAGGGGATTATGTGGTTGCAAAGCTGTGAAGAGTATGAGTTGATTTAAATGATACCCTGTTGAAAACGAGTTTCATGAATAGTTTGCTTTTTATCTATAGCATTGCATAGCCAATGATTGATGGTTGCTCATTTACTACAATGACTCCCAGTGATTGCTTTCCCCCTTGAATTCGGTACCGAAAAGGCCCAGTGCTCCAAATCATGTGTTGTTAACATAGTAAATAAACCTACGTCATTGCTTCCGTTAAAAATGCCAGGTCAGTTGGCGAGTCAGGTCTTTCTAAGCTCAGTATTTCGTTTCCAGAGATTACGTCAACATGATGTTTCTTTGACGTGAGGCCTTTTGAAGGATCAAAGTGGACTGTTTAGTCATCAGTAGAATTCCATTATGAGCAGGTTTCCTTATCATAAGGGATCTGATCAACACGAACTCCGACAAATCTCCGATTACATTGAACCCCAAATAGGTGAGATGCAATGTATGGCCCTGTCAACCTGTTGGTCAAGATCAACATTTACGGTACACTGTAACGTCAACGACAGAGAGGTCATCCTAGTATTCCATGGACAAGAAGAAATACATATTAATACAAAAAAGAATTGAAGCTTGTTACATCATGTTTATAGACACAAGTTGTCTCGCCATTTACCATAGTCCAAGCACGTTCTTACAGCGGACCGTTTAAAGTGAGGGCAACCCCGCTGCTTGTATCAATCTCAACGAAGGACTGATCAGGGATAGAGTCGGGTTGGTTGTAGGAGTATTGGGAGAAAGGCTGGCCATTTTGAAGACCAACAGTAGCGCTCGAACCACGCATGGAGGTCTTATAGTACTCAAACCTGACCAAGCCGGGATAGTCTTCGTAGAGACTGACAGAGAAGTGCTGACTGGACGTACCACCACCACCAACGCCACCAACATACCACTCGACAGTGAACGTCTGTCCTCGGGCAGTTTCATAGACATCATAGTAGATACCAACTTGACAAACGCTACCTGCGAGGATGTATAGATCGTCCCAGTAGGGTACGATGGAAACAGACGGGATAGAGCTGCTACGTAGTGGTTGATTCACGAAAGAGGATGAACCTGTGAATAGGGACAAATAGCCGTTCGTGGAGACATAGACGGTGTTTGAAGTATCATCATCATAGATCCCGACCTGGAAAGGTACAGTGACCGCCCTGTATGAATCATCGTATGAATCAGTGGCTTCGGAGATAAAAATCGGGGTGGGGTTGGCGAGGACTAGAGTCTGGGCACAGACAGGCTCTGCGGTGGTTGTAGTCGCTGCTTCTGTAGTGGTAGTCTCGGCCTCCGCGGTTGTTGTCTCAACCTCTGTGGTGGTTTTCTCACCAATTGTAGTGGTAGTCTCGTCACCCGTGGTTGTTTTGTCTTCAGTAGTGGTAGTATCAACTGAAGATGCGGCAGTAGTGGTGGTCAAAAGCGTAGTAGCAGTCTCAGTCTCTGCCTCGCTGGTTTCGGTGGCAGTGCTGGTCTCAATAGTTGCCAGGGTAGTATCCGTGGTGGAGGGCACAGAAAGGATAGTGGTCGTAGACTCGGACAGCGAAGTTGAGGCTATGGAAGCTAGAAAGCATCAGTGAGGGTCCCAACACTGGATCGCATTCGCTTGATGCTCAGGGACCTACAAGCAGCAGAGGTAGTTTTCGGTTTGCAGGGACTTGCGACTACCGATTCCACAGCGAACAGGCTCAAAGCCAAACACAAAAGCTTCTTCAAATGCATGATTCTGAATGAGTGACAGGTTTTGCAAAGACTGACGAGAATTTAATGAGCGACAGTCTCTCAAACAAGAGACGAGAGGGAACGAAGGGGTTGATGAAAAGTACGGGTAGTCTCTGCGACTATAAATACCAGATGAGATGGTCCTTGTTAATTCATTTCAATCTTGAAGAGATCGATAGTCTATCACTACTATGGCTAGTGTTTTACTACTACCCGTTAGTTTGAACATGCATAAAGATAAGCATAATAAAAGTCATAGATAGCCTTTGGTATAAAAGGAGTGGAACAACAGTTATAAATCCAACTTGTATAGTTTGAAAAATTGAGTATAACAAGAAGTAACTGGAAGAGCTTGCAACTCAAGATACAGATTTAATATAGCAAACTGCTGATCTGCTAATGTAATAAGCAAGTCCAGCTGAAGAGAAAATCGGCGCTATTTTCAACCGATCACTAGAACTAGGTGCACTAGCACAGCCACATGCAGCCACCATTGTGCGATTTGTAAAACCTGAACGGCAAACCCCCTTTTCAATTACAATAACAAAACATTCATCGCGCCTCTGGACCTGCAATACCACCGGTAGAGCAGTCGAGCTGACGGTGTCGCATACGGAAATTTGATTGTGGATAACAAGGGCAGCGAAGGGCTTTGTTCACCGGTGTTCGAAGCACCAAATGACCTCTATTTCTTTATTACATATTCCATTTAGAGGTCTTTGCAATTAAAGGCATGGTAGAATGCAGAGTGTTGCCGCTGATTGACTTATCTGATGGCAAGTCAGACTCTGATTCTGAGCCACTACAAACAGCAATCTAGTAAATGTTAGGCTTCACTTGGCTTCGCTATTTCTAGGCAGTCGTAGAATTCTACAGCGATAACAGATGGGATGGGGAAGCCATATGTGAACTTTGGGCCTTTGACAAACGAGCATGAGCTATCCAAGTCGAGTGAGATGTGTATTGTCATACTAAGATACTAGTACTTGATGCATCCCTCCCATTTTGGCCTTCACCTATCTCAACCTTCCATATTAACCAATAATGATATCAAGTTCAAGGTTGTTTCCGTCCTTAACACGATACTTGGTAGAAATGTTCCTACGATCAATGTTCAAAATCGTCTGCTCAGTTCTCTGACTCTCTCGGCTTCGAGTCCTCTCAGAAGCCTCACCGTAGTACTCAGGCAAGGCCTTGACACCAGTAACGTTATCAGCAAGACCGGTGATGGTGTCAACCCAGGGCTTGTAGTTGTGCACGCCGAGGGCCACGAAGAAACCTTCCTTGCCCTGCTCGGTCTTGAAGCGGAGCAGGCCGGAGGTGCCGCTGCCGCCCATGTAGAGTGACAGAACGCCGTTCTCCTCTTTCCACTCGGAGCCGTTGGCATAGTGCCAGCAGGCTTTTTCGACGATGTGGAAATAGGCGTTTTGGCTGGTTTGGTAGACGCGGACTTTGATGGTGTAGGACATTCTGGGGCTGTTAACTTAGATCAAGAGGGGGAGCGGAGAGGACGGACTTGGCTGATTGTCTTGATGGGAAGACTAGAGTGAAGTTGTTGTGTTTAATTGTTGAGCTGCTTAGTTGGTAGTGATGAGAGATTGTTCTGGTGGCAGCAGTTGGGGCTTTTATATTCGTCTTTGACCTATTTTCCCCCCGACCCATTTTCGAAAGCTCGCTCGTCCCCTCATCGGCACATCGATCTCAACCTTGCACATCTGAAGTTGGGATCTTGGCGTCTTGCGGTGAAGGTATCCGTAGACGCTCGAGTGCCTGACGGATGTGCCGTGTCTCAGTCTCAAATTTTGTATCGTTGGTCAACATAAACATGCATGGATGATTGGCTCTTAGACACGCACGGAAAGTTGCGATTTTGAACCACGATGCAACACGGCACATAGTTTGTGTATGAGTTGCAGTCGAAAGAGAGGGTGTGCTACGAGACGAGTTTTCGAAGTCGGTGAAGCCATTTGAGAACTCACATGGAGTCGAGCATCATTTCGAGCGGAGTCTGGTATCAAACTCGTCCAGTAAGAGTTATAAGCAGTATTCCTCCTGGTTCAGTTCAAGCACATATTGTCACAAGCCAATACGAAGCTAACCCAGAACCAGGTTACATCCACCATCGAAGATATGATGAGAAGGACAAAAGGGTTGGACTGCAGTCTGTGTAAGACATCCTACGTAGGACGAATCTGCTCAACGTCTGCCATAAGCACCATAAAGGGTTGATACTGCGGGGTAAGGCGTTCTGATGCTCCAATAGTTCTGACATTTTGAGGCCCGAAACACAGAAATGGAGTTTCACGGAGATCTGGAAGGTGACATTTACAGATAGTTACTTACACCGAATGCAAGGCCCTCTAAAAGGACTTTACACAGGGAAGAGAATCATCCAATATTAGTGTATACAACGATTGAATTGGCTTCATGCATGGGACTTTGGTCTCAGCGGTGAAGTTTGCTTCACCAGCCAGCCACCAGACGGCAGATAGATCAGCCAGCCACTGAAAGCTGATCATGAGTACATTCAATATATTGACTCACAATGAAGCTTTCAGCTTTGAAAGTTCATATGATCGACGCTTTATTTTCCTAAATGTTTGAGACAGCTTTCTTGCCCCTCTTTACCCCTCCGCTAATTGCTGACGTATATGCATGTCGTCTAAAGGAGGATGATATTGGAATGCGGCCCGTTCCTACCCGGGGCTTGAATTCTATAGCTTTCTATCGTGATGCGGAGGCATATGTATGTTTCTAGTTATTGGCCTTGGTCGAAAGTTGATCTTGGTCGGTCAATGCGATTTGAGTCAATTAATATCATGACTGCATTCTGTGTCTCGGACATTATTTACGCGTCATCTCGGGGTAAGCGACAAGTTGACTGCTGGGCTGAGTATCCCGATGTCGGATGAATTGTGTCCCTAGGTGTTACCAGAAATGGTCACACCGCTCTGACAGGTTTTTTGGGAGAATAAGTATATGCAATACATGTGATCAAGTGTAAGTTAGCGAGGTCTGATGTAGCCTGTGAGTTGGCTGTTCCTGCTAGATGAGACCCGTCGCTGAGAGCTTGCATTCATCAGAGGTTGATCAAGATCAAGCCCGAAGGGTTGAAATAAGCATGTTGAAGGCCCGCTAAATATTAAAGTAACAACTAATACAAAATGTACTCCTCAATGATCTTCAAGAATATCATCTCCAAAGTTCCCATACTAACAGTATAATGAGCAACCCCCATACTCCTCTTATGCTGCTCCAAAGACTCAATCACCTCCACAACCTGTCCTTTTCTATTCTGAGATGCCGCAAAAGCTTCATCGGCACTATTATTCGCCGGGATGCTGAACCGAAATTGTCCACCTAGGCTCAGCCCTCTGAAGTTGGCACCTGGAAATGTCTGGCGAATCCACGCTTCCACCTTTTGCATTTCAAGCTGGTCAGAGGATGGTGCTGATTCTAAGACCAAATGTACTTCGTAGGAGTTGCTGTGCCTGTTGCGGAGTTCTTGGATTGTGCCGGCGGCGAGGATGCGTTTGGAGAGGATTGCGACGCGGGTTGCTAGCATGTCTGCTTCTTCCATCGAGTGTGTCTAGATATCGTCAGTACATCATTGCAAAGTGGGATTATAAAGGGGGACTCTAGGTACTGACCGTCAAGAGAACTGAGCGACTTGATGAGATGGATGAGAGCATAGCCCACATGTCGCGCTTGGCTATAGGGTCCATTGCTGAACTTGGTTCATCAAGGATGAGAATCGGTGGGTTACCTGGACTAGTCAGCTATACTCGGCGGTGTACGACGATCCAACAAACCTAGTAGTGCAATAGCCAAGCTCAGCTTCCGCTTGTTACCACCAGATAGTCGAGACGTCAGCTTATCGGCATGAGGTCGAAGTCCAACCTTGGACATGACCAAGTTGACGTTCCTCTGTACATCTGGAATGCCCTTTACACGAGCGTAGAAAGCGAGCTGTTGGCGCACGGTGATCTGATCCAAGGCGTCGAACTGTGGGCAGTCTATAATGTTATCAGCAGGTGAAAGGATCAAGTAGATGTCGGTGCTTACAGCCGATGCTCTGACGACCTGCTCGAATATCCTTCTGCATGTCCACGCCTTTGATGTAGATGTTGCCGTAGTCGGGACGAACTTCGCATCGCATCATGTTGATGGTAGTCGTCTTACCAGCGCCGTTGGGTCCGAGAAGTGCTACTCAAGCGTCAGTGTCGGTGGAAGAGAAAAGGCAGAGAACAGGACTTACCAAGTAGCTCTCCCTTCGCCATCGTGAGAGATACACCATCAACAGCAACATTACCTCCAAAAGACTTATGAATATGATCAACATCGACCAAGTTCCCTGTCATACCTCGACACTCTTTCATCGGCGCCATCTCGATGTGAGCATCCTTCACGTTCATCCTCTTCCTCTGATACAACGACACGATATGCTCTGCCCACAGACTTCGAAGTGTCCATGTTCTTCTATCGAGCAATAGTAGAAGAGCAAACAGGTACGCGATTTGAATACAGAGAAGAAGAATCGGGCCACCATATGCGTGGATGTTACCTGGGTAGCTTATCACTGCATCACCACGACATCCTGCGGCCCAGACGTTGAGGCCGACAACCATAGCACGGAAGAGATTGGCGACTGGGAAGATGAGACCGAGGATGAATACCGCTGTGTCCATGGAGGAAGATCGGTTGCCGGGACTTTGGTTGACGGACGCAATCTCACAAGTTAGTATCCGCCAGAAGAGAGGTTGAACTGACATACCATTAGACCCGCGACGGAAATGCCAAACATCAAAAGTGATACACAAAAGGATATACCAAAAGAAGAGAGTTCAGATCGGGCAAAGAGGGAGATGATATAACACGAGAGCATCATCGCAAAGCCATACAGCAGCATGACAGGAAACAAATGCCAAACGCCGTACCACTTCAAAATGATCAAAGAGATAAACAATGTTGATAGGCAGGAAATAATGAGAACGAAAACAATATCGATGATGATATGTGATGTCCAAAGTGCAAGAGGTTGGATAGAATTGGAGTATTGTAGGGTTCGGATCTTGCGAAGTCGTTCGTACGCCGGGTATAGGGCAAAGAAGGCTGGGTATAGGACGTGCAAAACAGTGAGCAGCTATAAACAAGTGAGTAATCTCCACTACACGAGGTCGAAAGTGACTTACGATAGCGAGAAACATTCCTGGGCCAGGGTCAGACTATGAAACTGGTTAGCAGAGTCAACGAAGCAGTGTGAAGTACGGACTGGGATAGATGAACTGAAGTACGCAAACGACAGAGAAATTGGAGTTTCACTCTTTAGTTGACTCCACATATTCAACATCAACATTGATCCATCCGGTCCAAGCTCAGCGTTGTAAGCAAGCGTGTTTTTATCCTTCCCATTCATGTACAACGCTCCAGGGACAAGCTCCCTCGGCTTATCACGAACTTGTTTCAGGAAAGCATCATAGTCATGTTGGAACTTGAACTGATCCTGATAAGCCTTAATATCATACTCTTTCCCAACAGGAAACTTCGATAAAGAGCGGAACAGGGTCTTGTTGAGAGAGTTTGGACCGACGAGCATAGATATATTGTCGAAACCTGCGAGATCGTAGTAACTATCTGGACGAAGAGCAATGGGCCACGGTTCGTCGAGAATTGATGAGTCGGCTGATACGCAGGGTGTTGGTTGGAAGGGAGTAGGATCGTTGGCCATGGCGCTGAAGATGGGTGTGAAGATTAGTGGGATTGCTAGGGCGAGTATATACCACCAGAAGCCTCTCTTGAGAACTAGAAGGCGCTTTACGAGTAGAGCTGACAGTTGCTGGAGGAATGAGGCTTGTGTTCCTGAACTAAGCTGACTGTCTGGTGTCTCGTTACCTCCAAGGAAAGGACTCCGATCAGAAGTTCCATCGTCGTCATCGTCACCGTCATCAGCGACTTTGAGGAAAACATCTTCCATAGTTGGCCCACTTAGCGATGTATCTGAGTATCCTCCCGCTTGTAGAGACGTCAAAAGCTGTGCAGCAGATGTCGAATCAGGAGTGTTGAACACAGTCTGCCCTTGATGTACAGTCGTAACATATGGCGTCTCCGGTGGATTCTGAACACCAGGTAAATGTACGCGATAACCTCCTCCGTGGAGGTTCTTCAATGCTGCTGTTGAACCTTGACATTTGACGTGGCCGTGTGATACAATGACGACTTGATCGGCCAAAACTTCGCATTCGTCGAGGAAATGGGTTGTGAGGATAAGGCTTCGTTTTTGACGTTCGGCGAGGATGATGTTCCACATTGCTCTTCGAGACACAGGGTCCTATACCTGTTATTGAGTGTATTATGGGTTGAAGGGGTTACTTACCATGCCGGTGGTGACTTCGTCCATGAGACATATTGAACTACCGCCTGCTAACATACATAGCATTTGGACCTTTCTCATCTGGCCTCCGCTTAGAGTTCCGACGGGACTATGCTTCTTTAAGGAGAGATCACAGGATTCGACGAGGGTGTCTAATGATTGAGGGTCTGTTGACCCGCCTTTCATCATGGCCCATAGTCTACCGTGTTCGAGAACTGAAAGCTCGGGCCAGTGGATGTTGCGTTGAGGGCAGATGCCTTGAGAGTTAGTTGAAGAACCAAGTTGTAGAGATGGACTTACCAAGATTGGAACGAGGAGCATTGACACGTATCGAGCCACTGGTAAGCTTTTGTGTACCAGCGATCAAACCTAGTGTTGTGGTCTTGCCAGATCCATTGATACCGAGAAGACACAAGACTTGCTTCCTCTGCATGGAAAAGCTAAGCGAGTTGACAGCGATCGTCGGACGAGCTCTTCGGCAGCACCGTCTCCAGAGGGAAGGTTTGTAAGTTTTCGTAAGGTCGACGATCTCAAGGGCAGTTGGGGAATCGGTCGTTCCATTGGCGCTTGAGAATTCCCTTCCCTTGTTGCTAACCCCGTGAGAACACTTCTCTATAAGGATAGCTACCAAGGGATAGAAAACTATGGTAAGGGACAATAGTCCCCATAGCATAGATACTGTGACTTCGTATATGCGAGGTTGATGGGGAGCTGGTTTCGAGATGTTCGTTGCGAGACCTTGTGATTCGCTTCGGCATAGTTGGTTCAGGAAGAAGATGTAGCTCGAGCTCGGGAAGATAGCGGATAGGATCAGGACGATAAGTGCAGGAACGTTCTCAGGTTTCGAGTCGAGGATTTCGCAGAGCGTGGCGAGGAGCATGAGCACAATGACCATGGATATGGCGGTGTATCGGATGTTGATGGTGGCTGCGAAGACGCTCATGCTTGTGAGGGATAGGCCGGATAGGATCTGCCAGAGGATGACGATGCCGGCGTTCGAGGTCGGGACAAGGAGGGTTGCGTACACTTAACGCATTAGCAGACACGACAAACAAGGGCTGGTCGATGGCCTTACAGGCTCCAAAGATGATCCAACTTGGCAAGTAGATGATATCAAAAGCAATAAGATAACTCAACACTCTCGCCGAAGCAGCACCACCCGTCATGACATCAATCAACTGCGCCATCCCCGCCTCCCTCTCAGTCGATATCATCCCAATGATGTGAAACACGGAAGATATCATACTCAGAAAACACACGATTCCAAAACCACCGACGATAGTCGCCGCAAAGTTACGACGCCTCAACTCGGCAGCTTCATCTTGTGTTATCCTCGTAAACATGTAGTTATTCGGAGTCGTAGTCGAGTTCGTGATGGCATTTTCGACGGCGAGTTGTAATGGTGCGTAGTGGTTCTTCGAAGGCGTGGTGATGTCGAATTTGGTTGATGCTCGTGCGGAACTAACCCTGATGGTGTAACTCCATGTCTTATTCCCCGCCTTGCTCAACGGCGAATCGCTGAAGATAATAGCAGCGTAACAATTCGTTACCCCGCTCAGACTCGTGGGACATCGTTTTCGTAAATCAGCCTCAGTATCAGCAACTTCAACACTCCCCTTCAAACCACTCTTGATCTTGTCAATAACACCCTCAACATCAGGCCCTGCGTTCGAACCCTGCACGAAAACAAGTTTCGTCCCAGAGGGTAGAGTCTCAGCAAGGCTTGGAATGGGGGATGGCTCTCCAACGCCATACCTGCTTCCATCGCCGGTGAAGTTCTGGATTTGAAGGACTAGAACGAGAATCAGGACGGGGATGAGGAGAGCTCGGAGGAGTGTTGAGAGCCAGTGCTTGACGAGCGTGATTAGGAAGATTTTCCTTATCAGGGCGTGCAGTTGCCGGAACCATAGTCTTGTGGTTGAGAACATGATTCGAGGATGTGTGAAGTATGGGGATATTCATGATATGATTAGATTGAGGTGCTATATACAGATTCATGATGGCCTAAAGAACTGGGCTGCCTCTGGACGAATTGGAATTGATAGTATTCGGCGGAGCTTCCATGATTAGGGGGTGACAGAAAACACGACAGCTGAATAGGCATGTGACCAACCAATCTTGGCTCAAGGGAGTCTTGTGATTTTTTGTCACAACGAGACCAGATGCATTATCACATTAACTGCCTTCTCAAACGAGTTAGAGGACTTACGTGCGTCCAGTTTCAGAGAGGTTGTTTACAAAATGTCACCAGAGAGTCTATAATAAGAAGGTTAAGGGGAAATTAAGTTGTGGAGACAAGGCTGATTCTGAGTTTCTCAGTAGGCATATTTCAGTCAAGCTCAACTAGATACGGCACCAAGGAATAAGTTCCTGCAGCCCTAAAGGGATCGTGGTGGCGCCTTGTCCCCTGAAGCGATGAAAATTGATTCTCGTATTGAAGATGTGAAACGGTGGGTACGTGCACCTTTGTTGCTCAGCCACCACCTTGACGTTGCCTTGCGGTCCACTATCACAAGCTAAAACAAGAGGGCACTAAAACAAACTATTGAGAATTTGTTTTAGTTCATCAGATCATTATTTGTGTATTGATTGGAGGTAGTTCGGTGATTTACTCTATGGGTTTAGCTTGCGGCTCGGTAGGTGACGTTGCATTCAGGTACACCAAGCGGAGTTGATACCATTGGAGGAATTGGCATGGTTTCCACCTTGCATTTCATGGTTTAGAGACCTTATTGGTTGCCCTTTTACGAAGTAGGAATGTCAGTAGGGAGGATTCTCGGCAGTGGGATCCTGGTAGTACCTGGAAGATGCTGAGACAGGCCGGTATTGGGAATGACACGAATAATGGGAGGATGTGAAGGAATGAGGAATATAGGAGAAGATAATCACAATCAATGGCTATTTCTGACTCTTGAGTTTATGGTCAGAGATTGACCAAGACTGTGTCAATTCTGCGGTGTTGGTAGTCAACCTTGACCGAATCCTATTGGCTGGCTGTCACTTAAAGCGAAGTTGACCTCCCAAACAGAATGCACCATAATACACTCTATAACTGTCAGACGTTGTCTTTCCTTTCAGCATATCTTACAAGTAAGCTTTAGCCAATTACATTCTACATGCAGTTACATCTTGGCACAAGAATCTCACCAATAACCTCGCCTTACAAATCAACGATTAGAAATCACAATGACACCATCTCCAACATCAACAACATCATCTCAACATATAAAACCCCCCAAATCAACCCAAACCTTTCACCTGAAAAAAACTCTAATCTTAACTAAACCACGAACCCACCATGGCACCAATTCGCACAGCCATCGTCGGCCTCTCATCCTCCGCCAAAACATCATGGGCTTCCAACACCCATCTCCAATATCTAACCTCGCCCCTCGGCCGCTCAAAATACAAGATCGTCGCCCTCCAAAACTCTTCCACGCAAGCCGCTAAGAACGCTATATCTCACTACAATCTTCCCCCTGAGACTAAAGCCTATGGTACGCCGGAAGATTTAGCCGCTGATAAAGACGTCGAGTTAGTCGTTGTAGCTACGCGTGTTGATGTTCATCATTCAAGTGCTCTCCCGAGTGTTAAAGCTGGAAAGGATTTATATGTGGAGTGGCCGCTTGCACAAGATGTTAAGCATGCAAGAGAACTTGTTGATGCGGCGAGGGAGAAGGGGGTGAAGACGATTGTTGGATTGCAGGGACGGTATGCGCCGCCGATAAAGAAGTTGAGGGAGATTGTCAAAGAGGGAAGAATTGGGAGAGTTGTTAGTGCAGAGTTGTATGCATCTGGAGGAACGAATGATAGGGAGATACTGCCCGCGAGCTTGGAGTATTTCACTCAACGAGCTGTTGGGGGTAATATCTTTACCATTGGTCTTGGACACAGTAAGTTAAGAATACCTAAGAAGTGAGGCAAGAGCTAACAATTCAGTCTTTGATCAGTTCCAGTACATCATCGGAGATATCACCAACTTCAAAAGCACCCTTCACAACCAACGCCCCAACATCCGCATCCGCGATCCCAAAACCAACGAAATCATCCGCACAACAACCTCCAAGGTGCCGGACCTTATTCTCGCAACAGGTCGACTCTCCGAATCCCCCACCGCCCAAAAAGACGCCGCCGTCCTCGTCCGCTTCCGCCGCGGTCAACCCTTCCCCGGTTCGCCTCACCTCAGTATAACCATCACTGGTGAAAAGGGCGAGATCAGAGTGCAAGTCTTTACCGGTACAACACTCCATGGAGCTTCGGCGTATGAGAAACCTGTTGTTATTGAAGTTCATGATTTTGAGAAGGATGTTGTTGAGCATGTTGAGTGGAAGTGGGAGGAGTGGCAGCAGGATATTCCGCTGCTGGCGAGGGGTGTTGCAGCTGTTTATGAGGCGTTTGCGAAGGGGGAGGAGTACGGGTTAGTTAGTTTTGAGGAGGCGTTGAAGAGGCATGAGCAGCTTGAGGGGTTGCTTGGGCAGTGGGATGAGGACAGGGCTGAGTGATGAGGGCGATTGAGTTGTGACTTGTAAAGATGTCATCATTTCATTCAGCATTCATGCTGTAGCAATTGGTCAGGCATTGTGGTATAATGTCTAAGTTGTGAGCTAAATGTGTTATTTGCAGTTGAGACCTGTGGCTGAGAGCATATATTCACCACGCAGAACTTAGTCATCATTTCATGGCATAAAGGACTATTTTATTTAATCATCACTCATTATGTCATTACTATTGGCCACGCTCGCCATCCCATGGGTTTGTATGGGACAATCAGGTTCTACATGGCATGTGGCGGGCTAATATTGATAAAGTCTTAAATGCCCGACGTCACCAATAGCGCCGTGGGATGGTGTTAACGGGCCATTACCAGGTAGCCTTTGCATTTCCATTTCTACATTAACAAAATAGACCAACTTCTATAGAATAATCAAAATATTGCTTTATATCATCTAATATATCGTGAATTAGTTATTCAACTAATCTAAAATTTGGTAACCTTAGACCAGACCTGCCTTCCGTGTCGCAGCTATTACACGGCAGTAGCAATCATAATGAACCAAACCACCAAATCAGCCCGCTAAGGAAATGGAATACTTATCGCATACCACCCTCGTATATCCTTTCAAGCATCCGTCTCACAAGATCACCTTCACAAAAAATGCCACTATTCTGAAGCCCGAGAACAAGCGAGAGAAGTGGCCCGAGTCTTTGAAGCCTCAAACCTACCCATCGAAAGGCAGAGAGTCAAGCTCAGGTCAGCGGGGCAGAGCCTCTCCACGGCGTATATATCGGCAATACGCCCCAAAAGAACTGTATCGCAATGTCCGTCCTCTACATCTTCCCGATGCTGTTCTTCCTCCTCGGCCTTTCAGGGCTCCTTTCTCTCAGCAATGCAGCTGTCGTCACGACGGCTCCTCCCCAGACAGACTATGATGCCATCGTCGTTGGCGGCGGCCCAGCTGGTCTCTCTACCTTGAGCGGTCTTGCGAGGGTGCGGAGAAATGTTCTTCTCGTTGACTCTGGAGAGTACAGAAACGGACCTACGACACATATGCACGATGTCATCGGATGGGATGGTAGGCAATCTAACCCATCAACGCAGTCATGTTCAGGTACTGACCTCGCAAAATAGGTGTTCAGCCTGCCTGGTTCCGCTACGAAGCCCGTCGTCTCCTATCACACTACAAAACCGTCAAGATGGAAAACGGAACAGTTACCAACATAAAACCCCTGCCCGGTATCAACACACGGTTCTCCGTCTCAGTAAAATGTCCCGCCCAGCCCACCAAGGAAATCACAGCTCGCAAGATCGTCCTCGCTACTGGTCTAAAGGACATTCTCCCCTCTACGCCCGGCATTGCTGAAAATTGGGGCAGGGGCATTTACTCGTGCCCCTGGTGCGACGGCCACGAATACGCTGATCAACCACTCGGTCTCCTGTGCCCTCTCAGCAAAGTTGCAAGTTACGTTAGAAAAGTCCTTACGCTTGATACAGATATCATCGCTTTTGTCAATGGGACTGATAATGACGAGATGAGAATGGCGGCGGATGAGGATCTTCCTCATTGGGAGGAGTACCTCAAGCTTCACAACGTCACGATCGATAATCGCACCATAACAGCTGTCAGACGTCTCAAGGATGGTGAGGAAGTGGATAAAAACCCCTGGTTGCCCTCGGTCCCCAAGGACGATCTCTTCAGCGTTCAGTTCACCAAAGGCGAGCCCATTCAACGTGTTGCCTTTCTGTCAAGCTTTCCCAATAAACAGCGCTCCAACATTGGAGAAGAAGCGGGTGTCGAGTTGACTAAGAATGGAAAACTACGGGTTACCAGGGCTGGCATGACAAATGTACCGGGTATTTACGCCGTTGGCGATGCGAATTCTGATGGTGCACCTAACGTCCCGCATGCGATGTACACAGGGAAGCAAGCGGCTGTGTCCCTACACGGTAAGTTACCTTATTCTTACAAGGTGAGGTCCTGTTTGTTTATGTTAATCATGCGCAGTGGCACTCGAGCGCGAGAAACAGGCTGTTGAGCTTGCAGGCATAGCAAACCACTTTAGATAATTAACATAATCCATCGCTCTACCTAGATCCAATGAATAATTAATAACTCTTTTTATACTTAACATCCTTATTAAAGTAATAAAAAGAAATATTAAAACAATTTTTAATATTTTTAATATATTATATAGGTTTTATAAAAAATTTATAAAGACTTTAGGGTGGCTGATGCTGAGACGATTGATATCCCCTACACCAAACATGGACTTGTCGCCATTACCATCGGAGATTGAACAGACAATCTAGATTTAATCTCGCTTCATGCCAAGAATAAATAAATATGCTGATATGATTGGTATATCTCAATGCTACTAAAATCCCATGCTGAACACCAAACATAATGCTTCGTGAGTAATCTTGCTCTATGGCAGATCCTCCCTTCTACTGTCATTGCCTCCACTCTATCTATTTAATCCCAAAGAACCCAACCCGCCCTTGCAGCTGGTCCATTCGGTTCATCTACACTAACCGCCTTGTTGGGTGTACTCGACAATTGGTGCACTTCAATCGTCTCCGGATCGCTGACATCTGTGTCCTCTCGGCCGTCGCTGGAGTGAAATACTTCACTTGGTTCTGCCTCTGTTGCGGACGTGATGTTGTCTGGCTCTGGTGTCGCTGGTTTGGATGTGTCGGATGCAGCTTGCGACTCGCTTCCCTTTGGGCTCTTTAATGGTGGAGTAATTGGTTTGGAAAAGTTGAATGTTGGGTTGACCTCTTCAGTATCAACGACAGCTGAGAGGGTAGCTCGAGTGTGAATATGGATCTGTGATCGCGCTGCGCGCTTGAGGCGGGGTTTGCGCTGTGCGACGGGAGACCCAGCGCGACGACGAGACTCCATTTCGATACGCTCCTCTTGCTCCGTCTCATCATCGGTGATAGTGTTCGTGTCAAGTAATAACCACTGTCGAGGTGCGACGTGCAGACTGCTTCCAGACTTGCGGCGATGTCGCTTCTGGTTCTTAATCTCTGTTGGCGGCTCAACGACTGCTTGGCCCTGCTTTACTCTAACCGGCAGCTTAAGAGGAATGTTTCCAGCAGTGACGTTCAAATGTCGAAGATCGCGCTGACTTTGCGAAAAGACAACTCGAGCGCGAAGTCTGTGTACAGCTCGATCCAATGCCAGTTCAATTGCGCATCGGTCGCGAACTCGGCTCAATTTGGGCCATGTCGCTCGTTCGCCCATGAGGCATGCTCGCATCATGAACTCTGGGCTTGGATTGCTTAATAACCGAGGCAAGTCGTTTATACTCATCTCGGGAAGAATGTTGATGTCGCCGGAATATTTCTGGCTGAGGACACTCTGGAACTTGGTCGCAAGGTTGGGCATGATACCGATTTCAGCCAGGAAATGGAGTCGATGCAAGGCCTCGTCGCGCGCAAGCGATGTCATGGTGTAGACCCAATCGTAGTCTTCTCCGTTGGTCTGTTGACCGCGTTCTGGCTTTCGGAATGGTGACAAGTGGTCGTCTTTCGCAAGAAAGGGCACAACGTGAGGATTGACTTGCGAAACAATGAAATGGTTCACGTTGAACATTTCCGCAAGGCGTGTCATGGGTAGATCATTATCCACAGACCCATCAATCCATCTTTGTGGTGTCGGGTTCCAAGGTTGATGCTCTCCAGTAATCGGATCCTTGACAAGCAACGGCGCCGCGCTGAAGACGAGAGGAACAGAACATGAGGCAGCGACGGCGGACCAAATCATGACATTTGGTGCAGTGACATAGTTGAGCAGTCTCGGTAGTTCGTACATCGAAGCCGTTGAAACGCAAATGTTCAGAATGCGCCGTGTCCGGTTATACGCTTCTTGAAACGTCATGTCTCCCATCAGTCCTCTCATTACCCGGGTAAGATTCTTTATGTCAGACCAACTTCCCTCTGTCAACAGTCGTCGCAAATTACTCCAAACACCATCTTGACCGCTAGGATCCTCGAAAACCGCAAGATCCCCATACGGAAACTCTTCAATAAGCTTCGGGATCTCCTCGTCCGTCCTGGTACACATGGCAGCGCATACAATACTTCCAGCGCTTGCACCTGAGATAATTCGCGGTAATAGTTGCGCTTCGAAAAGAGCTTTGAGAACACCAATATGCGACATGCCAAAGGTGCCGCCGCCAGACAAGAGCAATGCGCTTCGGCCATAGCTCTGTCGAGCGAATAATATCCCTTCTAGTAAGTCTCTGTTCTCGATACTCTGATCAAGGCGACTTTGCGTAACAACAGCATCAATAGTTCTTATTGTAGATTCGACATATCGTTCTATAAGGTGTTTCGTTCCGGAGTAAGAATGTCGGTAAAGATCAACGTTATCCATACCGCCAAGGTCGCGCGACAAAGCTGTACGGATCAAGTGCATCATTGTATGTACGTCGCATTTCGTCCGTGCTTCGTCGAGATCGTGGAGTCGTTGTTGGATCAATTCGGGGTTATAGTCGCCTGACGAAGAGTCGCGCTTCCATTCATCGTTGCCTTCGAGGCTGTCGAGCTCTTTCGCAGCACTTTCCCATTGTGCGTGGGACTCGGCCTGGCTGGTCAGTTGAGGGTTTCAGTATGGACGGGATGACGCACATTCTGCATGGACAAGCATAGCATGTGCTTCCTCTCCTCCAACTGCATGATCTTCAAACGCTGATCTTCTGTCAAGCCATCTTTACACCACTGCCATGTATCATTCGCCGATTTGATCGCTTTTTGTAGCGTCCCAACAACAGGAACTGAAGATACCGGCGGCCGCTTCGCTTTAGTATTTGATTTAACTGGAGATTTCGTAGATTTATTGTATAGGCTAGGAACCGCGCGGGCAGGAAGAATAAGGTCGGCCATGGTGAAAGCCCGCGCCGCGGAAGCGCAGGTTCGGTCGTGTGCGAGGTCGGAGAACGAGGTTATAGCATGGCAGACGGTGTATTGTATGTGTAAGTTTCGAGATGTAGTGTCGCAAGGCGTCGGGGGTTAAAGATATTATATTCGAGCAGACAAGTCGGACAAGAAATCGTGGTCACAAGTCGAGAAGCATTTGTAGGTGCGGTACGGTCAACGGAAGTGGTGGGGGGTAATGGAGGGGGCGCTGAGACATGAACAATTGGAGGTAGATATGATAAGGGAACGAGAAGGATGATCTTGAGGTGGTGATTTTGAACGATGAGATTATTGTATCCTTGGATTTAGAGTTAAAAGTGAGGAATTTCTTGGTTTAGTTTGGAAGGGAAAGACGAAATGACCCTTTCCTTTTTGCTGCCATTCCCAAATTGAATCCACTTGCCGAGCTGAGGCCCCATTCCCCACCAATTTTGACGTGGAGAAGCAGGGACCACTAAATGCCCTGTATTCAATCTTCTCCAGGGTTCCTAACAGCAGATTATCCCCAGCTAGAATTACTTTTTACTCAACAAGTTTAGCAGGCCATCACTGTCTTGATTCTTCTGATAGAGGTTATTTCAGCAAAATATGAACATCTGACTCTTGTCGTCCAGCCGCACACCGCTTGGAAAGGGTTGTATGACAGTCCGTCCAATCATGCAGCAGATGTTGGAGGTGCACGTGGTACAGTGGCTGTAACTAAACCAGGATGCGTCATGAATCGGAGCTGGGTCCCGTTCACATGTCAACAGAAAGAGTCTGTCGTTATTGGACTCTCCAGGTTTTGGAAAAGCCGATGTTCGGCAGGTGATTACTTTTTGAGTCTGGGGAATTTGCGGGGGAGTATGATATGATGGCTTGTAAATGGGGTTACCGTTAATGAGATTCTGGCTGGGAGAGAAGAGAACAGAAGAGAATGCAAGACGGCGAATTGCATCATGGCTTACGATAATTCTCGCCGTGACCACTCTTTCTTATGCACTTTCCCGTTCAAAAGTCCCGACTTCCAACTGTGGACAGCTGAAATATGAGACACGGGCTGACGCTCGCGAGCTTCGAGTCACCTGCGTCTCCTCCCGAGGTCGATCTTCAACGATCGAGATTCATCTCCTCAGATCTGCACTGACAAAGAAGTCAACCGAAACAAGGCAGGGAACAAGTATTCTTCCGTCTGAGCAAAATACTCCGGCTTCGGGTATTTGTGGTCCACAAAGTTCTAGCTTGACATGGAAACGCAAGTCTGGATCTTTAACTAACCTTGTTTGATATGCTTGTGACGTCTGTTTTCGTTGGTGTTTTTGTTACACGCTGTGTCTGGAGAGCTTTGTACTACAGCCACTTCCAGCTACTAAAAATATAACAAAACTGCTACTGGCTGTAACATAAATACGCACAAGTTGTATCGTTATTGTCCCATCATATGACAAAACGCATGCCCCTCTCACGATTCGCTACACAAATTACGTATTAGTGACGCCTCACACACGATACCCTCGCGTAACCTGAACCGTTCATTCCCCCGCATCCGAAATACCTGCTTTCTCTGTGCAAACTCCCGCAGTCTACATGTCATTGATGACGTTTTGTTTTCTTTACGATACATCCAATCCAATCATTCACTTGTGGCCGGAAACGCCTCAGGCAGATGCGGCGTAAGCTCTCGCCTCTCTTTTTATAAGCTCCCCACCCCAGCTTCGAGCTTCTGTTTCTTAGCTTCTTCATCGCCTTTTGCACTTGAAGATCTTCAATTGAATAGCTTCACTGATTGCTGAAATGGAGGCCTACAAGACTCATGGAGGGGTTGCTCCCATTCCCACCGTCGTTCGTATGTTCATCTTACCCTTTGGTGTAGATCTTCACTGATGATGATTTATTAGCTGAACCGACTCACTACCAAACAATCGGCCACAATGGCGTCCGCGCTCTATGGGTTCTCTTCGTCGCAATGACAGTCGTCTCCGCCATCTTCGCCCTGCTATCATGGAACGTCGCCGTCCAGCGTCGCATCTTTTACTTCCTCACAACCCTCACCACCATCATCTCTGCCCTCGCCTACTTCGCCATGGCATCTGGTCAGACATCGTACTTTAACTGTACCAGCGTGAGAGATCATCATAAGCATATTCCCGACACGCATCATGATGTTTGTCGTCAGGTGTTTTGGGCGCGATATGTTGACTGGACGCTTTCGACGCCGCTGCTTGTCCTGGAGCTTTGTCTTCTCGCGGGTGTTGATGGTGCACATACCGTTTTTGCGGTTATTGCCAATGTGATCTTTGTGCTGGCGGGCGCTTTCTCGGCGGTTGGACATGCGAATACTGCGCAGAAGTGGGGATGGTATGCTATCAGCGTCATTGCCTTCGTCTTTACCATCTGGCACGTCGCTGTTCCCGGCTCCCGAACCTCTCGTGCTCGCGGTACCAAGATCGCCCGCCTCTTTGGCTCCGTCTCCGTCGCTGCTCTGATCCTCTGGATCGTCTACGTTGTGTAAGTTATCTCACCATTCTTCAATTGGCATAGCTAATGGCATCAGTGTCTGGGGTGCTGCCGGTGGCGCTTGGAAGGTCAAGGTCGGCACCGAGGTCGTCATCTACGCCGTCCTCGACGTCCTCACCAAGGCTGTTCTCGGCCTCTGGATCATCACTGCTACGCGACAGAACCGCGACACTACTCCCGAGATTGGAGGCTACTGGGCCAGCGGCGCTGGTGCTGAGGGTACCATCCGCGTTGGCGATGACGACGAGGGAGCTTAAATGCGCCTCCAAAAAAGCCATTCAAGTCCACGGAACAATTCCGCATTGGACGTGGATGTTTCGTCATCCACTTTACAAACTTTCCGCTCACGATTTGACGAGTGGTTCTAAGCCCGAGCCAGCCGGTATGGAATGAATGATCAAGATTGTATGTTTTGGAATGAGCTGGGAAAATGCAACGCACATGCTCGATTGAAGGGAAATGGGCGTTTGGGGCGTCAATACGAGACATGTACCATATGATTCAAGTAGCATTAATGTGATGGGACACGAATACGACAGACCCCTCTTGACAGTGACACCATTCTGAGTTCCTGCATGTGTTTTTTATGCATCTGCATCAATCATGCAATATTGACGACAGAGATGACATGATCTCTTTTGTGATGAGCAAGACCTTGCATGAACTGATCGGTTCTCCGAATGCATATGACAACATCCGCGAATGTCTCCCGAAAGGTCCCGGCTGCCGTCAACCTGCCGTCCTCAAGCATTTCACGGAGCCCGAACAAGGATACAACCCCATTGCAGCAACTGCTCCATCAAGGTCCCCAAACCATGGCATCTATCAATTGAAGCATGATACAAACGCATATCTAAACAAAGACTCCAGCGGTAACCTTAACTCCGTCCCTGTCATCAACATATTGACTCTACCTTCTGGATGCGCTTATCAGCCTACCACTGCCATGTTTCATCTTTGCCTTTGCGATGGAAGCGTAGAGTCCTGTATTAGAGCCATTCGACCGAGTCCCGTAAAGCAACCTTAGGGATAGGTTTTAATTTTAAACATGATGCCTTGAATGTGGATCTGTCCCGGGCTTGTATTTCAATTAATGCTTGACCTCTTGTATTCACAAACATGGTAAAATTTGGCTTCGTGATCGAATCTACCAGCATATTGGTATCAATACGGATCTCAACCAGGAGCAATCTTATCATACATCATTTCCTAGACAAACAATCCAAAACTTCCGAACCTCATCCAAACTAACCCTGCCACTTAACACGCTTATCCCTAAACAAAGTAACCATAGCAATAGGCAACAACTCCGTATTAACAATATTCAACCTCCCAAACCTCTCAACAACGTCGGGCCCATAAAACGTAGCAACCCACGTCCAATACGCATTCATGTTATTCCACCATCCTACAATACCCTGCAGATTCGACTCCCTGCGCAACTGCTCCATCGCAGATGACATGTTTCCATCATCGGTATCAACCTTGCTGTCTTTAGGCCTCTTCATGAGTGTGCGGAAGATGCGGTGCAGTCGGTTCGTGGCGGTGAAGTGGCCGAAGAAAAAGGCTTCGCGGTAGCGGGTGAATTCTTCGAAGGACATGAATGTGTCTTTCTCGCGTTGGGACTCAGGTTCCCAGTCGGGGTCGTCGAGGGCGTATCGTTCATGTCTGGTTTTGCCGCTGAGGAAGGCTTCTTTGTAGCCTTCGTATGCGTGGCGTTCATCTTCTTCAAAATCGATCATGGATTGAGAAGGCTTCTTCGAGACTTCGTCATGAATTTGCATGAGTGAAATGAACGGGGACTGTAGATCAAGTCCGCCAAGCTCCATGGGGAAGTAGAGATAGCCATCGGGAATGTCCTTGATACCAAATCTCTGACTGATTTCTCGTTTCAAGAACTCGACCACGCTTGTGACTTGACCGTTTGAGAGCTTTGTGAAGACTTGCTTCTCAATCTTATTGTGAGTTGATAGCATGTTGTCAACGTGTTCACGACCAAAGCAATTAGCTGCTTTACCAAAATTTGACGTGAAGAAGGTCGCAGCGTAAGTATTCCAAGCTTGGATGAACCCAAGAATGCTCTTACGTTTGTCAAGTAGCTGCTTGTGAAGTTCATTGATGTGAGAGTCGACCATTTTCTGGTCAATCTCAAACCGACCTGTCCTGGGTGACAACCGAAGGAAGCCCCAACGAATCTCACCTTCGGGAAGTGAATCATCGATGGGAAGAGTTACATTGCTATCCTTCGAGATGCGGACTGTGCCTGTCTTGGTAGGATTGACACTAACGCCAGTGACGATGGTGAACTCATCAACAGTGTCCCAAGCCTTCACAGCAACCTTGTGGTCAGGCGACCAGAACCAAAAGTTATCATACATTCTCCACAAGTTATTCGAGGTAGCTTGGTTGACCGCAAAGTCAAGGCAAAACAGTGTTGTCTCGCCAAACACGTCACTCAGCACATGGGCTGCTGGCGTACCACGACGTCTCTTTCGTGCAGACGAGTCATCATCGTCGATAAACTTGAGAGGTGCCTCGAGGAACTTCTTGAAGAACCCAAGCCAATTGTCAGAGACACCAAGGAATTTGAGGATCGTGAAGACGGTTTCATGAGGAAGCTTGGGGTTCCAATCATCAAAAACGGAGTGGAATGCCGTCATCTCACCGTAGAGATGAGTGTTGATGGTGATCTCTGTTGATAGCAGATGAAGCAAAGTCTGCTTGAGTGCCATTGGACTGCGAGACTTGTCGTCCTGGTAATCTTCGTCATCATCTTCATCATCCTCATCCTCGTCAACCTCCGCCTGATAGACACTTTCAGGCATGATCTTGCGATGTCTCATCGCACCACTAGTTCCAAGACCTCTGGCCGTCGGTGCTGACATTCGCGCTGCTTTGGAAGCAAGCTGCCTACGTGGTGCCTGCATAGGTGCCTGAACTACAAGCCTGCGTTTATTACTATCAGCGGCGAAACGTTCGTACTCAGCCTCCTCTTCACCGTCAGCCGTGCCGGTGATTTCACGTTCATGGTTCATAAGCTGAGCCATGAAATATCTCTCTTCATTGACCTTGACGCGTTCACGCTGCAGGCAGGGTGAGTCCGAGAGTGGGCCGAGATAGTAACCCAGTCTCCGTTGATCGTTCCGAGGAATATCTTGTCTCTCCGACTTCCAAGCTCCAGAATCACGGAAAGCCTTGAAGGCGCTCTTGAAGAAGACACTCCATTGGACACCAATGTACTGTAGGAAGATTGCCTGGAGTAGATCTTCATGCATGTGGATATTGAAGACTCCACTAATCTTCTTCTCCATAGAAACCGGGACAGGAGTCTCCGAGTTCCAAGTCCACGACTCAAGAGCATTGATGCGCATGTTGAGGACATCTGCAATCTCCTTGAGAATCATATCATTACTTTCAAAGTCTTTGAGTACTTCTCGCTTTTCGTTAGAGAGAAGGTCAGATGAGTGAAGACCGGAAATGATCCACGTGAGAGAGCTAATGGTGAACTGATCAGGTGTTGACATCGATGCTTCGTGATCAGCGACAGATTGTCGAAGGCTTTTAAGACTATTGGCCATGGTCTTCTTATTCTTGTTGCTAGAGCTGAAGAGATGGCTGAGATAACTGTTGAGGGCCTTGGTATCGACATTGGCTGCTTGGAAGACAGTGTTTTCCCAGTCCATCCTGGACTGAAGCTTCGCTTGATCACCGACGTCTTCGAATGCCTCGCCCATCTCAACATCTGCTTCCGGTTCTTTCTCCTTATCGCCGGACAGCCATTCAGTTACAAGCTCCCCGTAGAGCCAAGCGTACTGATACTGAAGAGCTTGCATGTCGAGCTGACGAACGAGTGACTCCTCCCAGGTAGCCAGGATCTTGGGCGACACAGAAGGATCTGTCTTGGCCTGGCCAAGAAAGCGGTCGAGGTTCCTGAGGTCGATCTCAAGGCGTTTGTGAGTGGTGCGACGCAGGATGACTTTGTTCTCCTTGGTGAGCTTGATAGAGAAGCACTTCTTGACTCCATCGCTCAAGATGACAAGACGTTTAACAGCATCCTTCTCTGCTTCAACAGAAGAGAGGATAGCCGCCTTGGCTTCTTCAAAGCGAGAGCGTCTCTTGGAGAGCTCCTGGAGTTTGGTGTTGGTGATCTCTTGAAGAGTCTCGGAGAAGACACTACCGGAGGAAGCCATGGTGTAAGTGGTTTGAGGCTTAGGGGTAGTAGCCTGTTGTATATGTGTTGATCGTCTTGCTGTCTGTTTGGTTCTGGCCATTAATGATGAAGGGCCAGGTTTGGAAGATAACGGGATGATGGAATGGATATAAAAGAAAGGAGGGGAGGGGAGTTGAGGAGGAGGGTAGTGTGTCGTATATATACCAGGTAGGAGGAGGATTTGGTGTCCTCAGGCCAAAAGTTGCAGGGAGCTATGCCGTCTGGGCCGTATAAGCCAACAGCTTTGGCCAATTATCAGATGTCAAGACTGAGCTCGTATAATACAAAACAGGATCAAAAAACCAGATAAGTCTTAGTGGGTGAATAATAGGCCAGTAACGCGCGGCCGCACGTGTATCGCCGACCACAGGAGTATGAGTTGTAAGTTGTAAATGAAGGTGAAGTGAAGTGAAAGCTGAAGCGAAGCCAAGGAGAAGCTAAAATTGGCTGACTGTCCCTGTCGACAAAATTGATTCGTCAGATATCAGAATACAGTGGGTCACCTTAGGCTACAGCCTCTCGTGTTACATCATTTTCAACTCCATAGTTAACTCTCATATGAGTCGGAGCCCGTCAACAAAGCGTTTGTGCCTTGTACACAAAGACAAAAAGATCACAGATTGGCCCGTGGCCACTCTCTTCACCTTATCGAAACAGTTGTTAAGGCGGGACTGGTCTTAGGCTATATCAAGCAAATAACCACGCATCTCTCTTCAAACGCGATGACTAACAAAGCATAGGTTCTCTTTTTCTCCAATATCCCAATCACCCTGGCTCAAGAACAAGAATGAAACGGGCGGCATAAATTTGTGCAATGGGATTTGCAACTGTCACCTACGATCAGCTCATCGCTCTATTGTATGTTGTCCTTCTCCAGTATGTGGCCACAAAATCCCTCGCAGTCCACATATAAGCCCGCAAGGTGGTTCGATTCATTCAATCATCTCTAGCTTCTCCATTAGTTCTTTGAATGGCATCCTGCGGCTCTCTTCATCATCCTTTCTAACTTCATATACCCTTTCAAAGACTTCTTCTTTCTTCTCTTCTTCAACCCACAGAGTAATTCCAAGGTCTTTCAAGGCCTCATGATCAGGATTCCATGTAGACGCTAAAATCTGCTCAAGATTCCCCATCATTGATGGCAAAATGCGGTCCCAGAAATCCAAAGCACGGTGCTGGTGATATGTCTTATATATGGTAGTGTCACCCCTTTTTTCTTCGCAGTATCTGACGTTCGCATCTTCAGGCATGAATTGTTTGAAGTCGACAATCAGATTATTGATGAAGGCCGCCTTATCAGCGTCATCTTCCATGGGGTAGATTTGATCGTCAAGTGACTCATCCGGGGATTTTGGCCTGGTGGAACATGTATGAATCATATCGAGGTTTGCAAAGGCTGCTTGCCTCAATATAGCGGTGTATTGATACATTGTTAATTCTTGACCAAAGTCTTCCACGAATGATCGTAGCACGTCGGTATTTGATGAATACTTCTTCAGAAGACATCTTATCCCGTGCGTAAAGGGCGTATAGCCTTCAGGTGAACACTGACAGGTACGGCTGTCTGTGTATTCAATGGTCAAAGGGACGCTGACAAGATATTTCCAGAGATACTTTCTGTTGATGATGATGATTTCGGATAGAACAAAGCTGGATTCTTCTACTCTGCTGTTTTCGCAAATTACAGTCCAGAAATTCGGGCAGTGGTGGTATAACCACATCGCATATTGTGGCGAGATACAGTGCAAGACCTGCGGTACGTCTGAGCCGAACCGGTCGAATGCCTGCTTGCTTAGCGATGGATGCGTCCAGGTGTCATCAATATCGGTGAAATCCCGGTTCCAAAAAATAGATGCATCTTAAGGACATGTGATATCCAACCATATGGGTCTAAAGATGTGCATTTTAGTCCCCACGCCACTGATGTGTCCTGGCGGTGCTTTTAATGAAGTTCTAAATTTGGCAGTAGCTTTGTTTTGGCGAAAGGTGTCGATTTCAATAGATCGGACGTCGAATTGAGTTGCTGACGAACGCAAGTTTTCTGACCACAGTAGCGTTCTTGGAGCAAACTCTTCTAAATCTCGCTGACGCATTTGTAACTCCTCTGCAAGTAGGACCTTACAATGTCTGGAGGCACCAATTAACAGATTAAAAAACACCAGCATTCCAAATATATTGCGCTTCGCAAAATCATAATATGGTCTGATGGGGCATTTCGCTTCCAAGAGAACTTCGACTGCCTCAGTGCAGAGACAAACAGACCCGTTGGCAGTTCCACGACTACTGCAGATATCTTTGCTTATCTGGATCGCCCTTCCTAGAGGACTGATCATGCCAGATGCTATTCGGCATGGTTGAAGAAGCTGTCCTGGAGTTGCTCGTTTGACCAACAGTCGTAATATTTCCGGTTTCTCTATAGCCACGAAACAAGGAGTCTCGCCATAAAAGCTCACTTCTCCTATGCATTCTGGACTCCTATCAATCAGAACTTCAACTTCCTTCACATCGTTGCGTAGGATCGCAAGGGTCAATGGCCCGAACAAAGCTGTTCAGGTTCATTGTCAGCATAAAACCCGGTAAGACCAGGCAGCTGTCACATCATACCTTCGGCGATTCTTCCACTCACGCTATCATGCTTGGCAATGTCAATGGGGCCAAAACTGCTGCACCTCAGTTCTGGTCGCCTAGGAGCGGGTATCTCAGCATCGTCGACGCACAGCTGGGCAAGAATCGACGATGGAAGCACAAAGTCATCGGCAGCTACGTGTATGGCCAGGCTAGTTTTTGTCAATATTACAATCGCAATAGCACACGGCAAACATACCGACCGTCTGACCCTACGGCCGACACTGGAGTACCTGCTGCGATAAGGAAATCGAACAATGACTTCAGACCCGGATGTGCACGCTGCTGCTGGGTTAAAATCCGGAAGTCACCAGAGTTCATCTGTTAGTGTTAGTAAGTAGGCGAGTTTGACCTCATGGACCATGAGAACTAACCGCAAAAGTCAACTGATGGAGTAAAGAATAGCCCCGCGAATTAATATCGGTAGGCCTAGCCTTCCCGGAGCGGAAGATCACCTGGAGTTTCCGAGTAAGCGACTCGAATAAGAGTCCTGGGTAACTTTCCATAGCCCAACGGGCTCCGAGGCGGCTTTCCAATAGCAAGTTAATGACTCTAAAGGCTGGAGATTTATCTTCATCGACCATAGCAAAGTAATTGAGAGAGGGGCTGATACTGAATCCGCCTGCCCCAATAGTCGTGCGTAATGTTAACTCAACAGCTCTTCCTATCAGTCTAGTGAGTCCAGTGAACCTCAAGATTCTTTGTCGCGAATAATCATTAGCAGTAATATAGAAATCGCAGTCTCTGAAGTGAGGACGATGGGAAACAATTTGAGCCCGCCCAGGTAGCTCACAAGACCGGAACAGGTTTTGAGGCCAATTGGAATGATCGCAAGGGCTAGCTCTGCCATATCATTGACTGTTATGCGGAATGGAGAATGAGAGAGACAATACTTCGATCAAGAAGAAATGGGATGTTGGGGGAAGTTGATGCGCAAATCAGGCTACCAGTAATATCTCACCACGTTCGAGTCGCACCTGCTGCGGAACATTCACAATTACAGACGACGTAAGAGGCTGAAAAACACAATACTATTGGCTGCCTGAGTCCCTGCGCCTGAAACGATAAAGATCAGTGTTCATGGCAGTTCAGTGCCATATCATGATGTGAAGTATTTAGACCGTAGACAGCCCATATGATTTATTGCCAATGCTGTCATCGTCTCACGCGGGACAAGGTTTCACTGTCCCTCAGGAGCGTTTATGAGCATTTCGGTTGCTCCGGCTGGCAGCAATGCGTTTCTTGCTGCACGGCACAACCAATATGTTGTTGGCCCTTCTGATCGACCAGTGGCTCCAAGCCAAAGCACAGGTCATGTTTCAGTAAAATAGTGCTTGAATCACGTATTTTAGGCCACCGGGCGCCAAAACCAAACCTCTAAAACCCTCATTCTTCTCACTCCATTGCCAACTTGAGTCATCACAATGAGAATTTCCGAGAGTCCTCTGACTGATCGAAGCGCATCCGAACCTCCTGAGATCCAACTCGATCTTGAGAAAGAATATGCCATCGAGCAACTCTCACTTCTTCCCACTCCTCCTCCTCGCTCTCGCAGCATTGCCCCATCAGGCTTTCAGGAAGTCGTTGCAGAAGAGCCTGAACTACCAAAGCCTCGATTCCAAGATTGCGCATACTATAAACTACCCCCTGAAATCAGAAGACTTATTCTGCGACTTTCTTTTGGTGGTCGGCGCCTTCACATAGACTTCGTGTACAATCATCCGGACATGTCCTCTGAACTCATCACATCATTGACTGAGAATCACTGCGGCATTGCCAACGCGGACTTCGAGGATGGTAGATCCAGGGTCATCGACGATAACAAGCCAAGATCCTGGCATTGGTGGGGATCTGTTTGCCATAGACTCCCGCCAAATCTCGAGACGGGGCAAACAGGTCCGATGACCCATGGAGGACCTGATGGACCTTGGGCTGATACTTGTCGCATCGGCGAAGCTAAACATTGTCAATCATGGCCGGGTTCAATGCCTTACAAATGCCACATTGGTGTTATGGGATGGCTTTTGTCTTGTCGCCAGAAGTAAGTTGTTCGTATCTGTTCAAGAAGAGTACTAGCTTACGAATCGTTCAGTTATGCCGAAGCTATCGACGTGCTTTATTCTACAAACACTATCATTATGGCCAGCGAAGTAATGATAATGTACCTGTCAAAACTTCTATTGGCGCAACGTCTCCTGACCATCACTTCACTGGAGATCAGTTCGATCTTGAAGATACAGCTAGTGGGCGAAACCAGAGATGCCGTTGACTCGCCTAGTCTAGCTGCAATGTTGGAAACTATTTCCACAAACTTTCCTCAATTACGCCGCTTCTATCTTTCCCTCGAGGAGCCAAAGCAGTGGTGTCATTGGATGCCGCGCATCTGTGTCACAATTTGTCCACTACCAGACAGTTTTGCCCAGCGTATGCAATCACTAAAAGAACATGCTGTTGCGTTGCCAAACAGACCATTCGACGACCTATTCAGAATGGTTGGAGGAAGTAAGATCTGCTGTGCTTGGAGGAGAAACGTTATCAAGTCGTACTACCAAATTTGGAGACCACTTTCGGGCGACATGGAGATTATTCGTCTCCCATATGTTGACAGCTACCCAGATAGTCCCTACCATATTGCTTCTGACAGTTCTGGTCCGCCGGGCTATTGGATTCTCAATGGAACCAATGGTTGGAAGGAGAAGATTGTATACGTCCGCCCGGTAGCACCTCCTGTGATGGATAACAGTACAAGCTTATCTCTGGAAGGCTGGGATAAAGATGAGATCGCGACATTATTTTCATGGCCAGACCCTTGTGATGATCAATATTTTAACGCCAATCTATTTTAAGATTATGGAACGGAACTCTTGCCAAATCATCCTTTAGCCTTACATTCCTTATCGTGGAATCTCATAAGGATAGAATTCCAAAGTTCTTACAGGGAGGCTTTACGCTATTTTGTTAATGCCTTGGCTCAGCCGTATTTGCTATAGCTAAGGTGGGCATTGCAAGCCGTAAGAATGGACTTGAAGCCACCAGCCGGACTAGAGATTGTGCGTCGGGCATAAATACGGAACATGTTTAATGGGATTTTGGGTCAAGCGATTGGTTTTCCTTCTTAATCACTCATGATGTATATTTTAAGCCATGGTGGGCCTAAGCCAGTTGTATCCTCTGTAGATTCGGTGACCAGCCATGATCGACAAGTCGCTGGAGAGGTGCTATAATGTAGTTGCGGGCTTGTTAGATTTCATTGGCAACTATTTTGGGATCATTAGTACCTATATGACTGTGACTTTGCTGTTAGGTTCCGAAATAGATCAGGCGGCGAAATAAAATAGGAATCAATGAGAGTGACAACAGTCTAGGCAGCAAGACACAAGGAACCTACAAATACCACGATTATCATTCCATATACGACAGGCCATCAAACTACCGATAAGTCCAATCCAACTGGGAATATTTTCACAATGACGGTAACCGAAGTTGGCTGCATGGGCGTGAAGCCCAAAATGAACATCATGGACCATACCACGCCAGAGGGCAAAATCCTGACTGACGCTTGGAAGACTGTCATCAGCAAACCTGGTGGTCCTCAAAGAGTTTACTGGGGCTTGGAATCAGTTGAACCATCCAAAGTCTGGTGCTTTTTCGACTTTGACTCGGTCGAGCAACATCGACAATTTGCTGAAGAGTAAGTTCTACATTAGGATCCGACGCTAGGGGACTAACTGTCATAGATACGGCGCAGATGCAGTCAAAGACATTCCGAAGATTTGCACGTATGGAGAGTTCTCAAAGCATATCGAGCTGGTTCCGTCTTCCGACGTTCTTGAGTCACCTCTGACACAGATTGTACTTGCTTACTTCCCTCAAGACATTTCGGATGAAAAGAAACAAGCTCTTTCGTTTCAGATACAGGGAATTTTGAAACAAGGTTTTTCTAATGAAGCCAGAGTAGTTCACGCTTGGGGCTTAGAGAACGACTTTCCAGCGAGAAGTGAAGACGGGCAGCCGAGATCAGTTCTTATGGGTTTCGTTGGATTGTCTCATTGTGAAGCTTGGGGGGATTATCGCCAGACAGATGGTTGGAAAGAGGCACTCTCGAGTATTGAAGGGTTGGAGGGTTGTACGAGTACTTATAGTTTTGCAATAAGCTGTCAGCATCTTGAGAGGTTTTGAGGAGGACAACCCTTTAGTTAATTGGTCAGAGTATCTAGTCGTCATTGTGACTCTTTAGTTTTCCTCGATTGGTCATCCTCAAAATCCAATTCGAGAAATAATGCATCTTCTGCAAAGCCATGTTTCGGACTTTCGGTCATTTCTCTCTGGATATTTGATAATCAACCCTCCAACTCTTCCCTTCCAACCATTCCAACATGTGGAGCCGTAAGAGTCACAACTCCATCTTTTCCAACCGAGTTTTCTTTCAGGCGGCAAAGATCTCCGCTTCTGTCCGTCTTATCTCCACGACACTACTCTCAACAAGGCAATCCACGCCTCTTGGTTTAAGCTTATTCGCTGGATCGTGGTGAACTACCACTTTGAGATTAGCTGAGTCCGAAAGTCCGAAGATCCGGTGGCTTTTGGTAATTCCTATTCTGGATTATCGAGGGACGTCAGAGGGGTTGAGTTTGAATTTTTAAACATTTTGATGATCTAAGATAGATCTCGATAGTAGATTATATGCAGATGGGTATTTAAGACTATCTTTCGGATCCTACTTGATAGGTTTTTGTTGTAACTTCATCATATCATCCTGAGATCTCGTCTTCCGACAACAACGGATCCAAAATCCACAACCCCACACCCAATACGGTATAACTTGACGAAACCCTCCCAAATCTTTCATCACCGCCGTCAGAACTCAACCCAAACATCCTCTTTATCAAGTTATGACTGAAAAAGTCAACACTCCAACCGGTGTTCTCGACCAAGAACACAATGCCTCCCGCGAACCTTCACTCTTTGACCAAAAAGAACTCGATCGTCTAGGTCGAGAGCGTCCAGCATGTTTCTCAAATCTCTTATCAGAGCTTGGCTTTATCTTTGCGGTCGTGGGTTCGATGATGGTTAGCGAGTATTTTGTCTCTGGGTTTAATATTATCTTGCCTTCGTTGGCGGTTACGCTGGAGATTCCGGATCAAGTTAGGACTTGGCCTGCTGCTGTTATTAATCTTACTACGGCTGTTTTACTCCTTCCATTCGCGAGACTCTCTGAGATTCATGGTGGGAGGTTTATCTTTTTGGGTGGTCATGTTTGGTTGATTGTTTGGTCTATCATTGCTGGTTTCAGTCAGAATCCAACGATGCTTATCGCCTGTCGAGCGATGCAAGGTTTGGGACCTTCAGCTTTCTTGCCATCAAGTGTGGCGATCATGTCACGCATTTATCGCCCAGGTCCTCGAAAGAATCTCGTTTTCAGCATGTTCGGCGCTTTTTCATGCATTGGCTTCTACTCTGGAATTTTCTTTGGGGCTTTATCTGCCCAAGTCCTTGGCTGGAAGTGGTATTTCTTCATTGGTGCTTTCTTTTGTGCCAGTATCTTCATAACAGGTCTTTTGACTATTCCAAAGAGCCATGGGGATCCACTACCTGATTTGAAGATGGACTGGCTGGGTACGGCTACTGTTGTACCGGGTCTGGCATTGGTGGTGTATGCGCTGACTGACGGAGGAAATGCGCCTCAGGGCTGGAAAACACCTTATGTCTATGTTACCTTGATCTTGGGTATCATCTGTCTCGTGCTGTTTGTGTACATCGAGGGGTGGAGGGCCAGTCAGCCTCTTATGCCGGCAGAGGTTTTCAGGACGAAGTACATGAGTCGGTTGGTCTTTGCACTGTTCATGTCCTATGGCTCGTTCGGTCTGTTTCTTTTCTACGCTAGTTTCTAGTAAGTCCCGACTCATCAGGCCGCTTTCCTTCTTAGCTAACGTGTTCCTCAGCATTGAATCAGTCCTGCATATTGGACCTTTACTGACCGCCGCTTGGTTCATCCCTCTTGCGGCTGGCGGTTTCATTTTGGCTGTCGTTGGCGGCTTCGTTCTTCATATCCTCAGCGGACGACTGCTCCTGATCATTTCCGGCCTTGGTTTCCTCGGCTCAACAGTCCTTTTCGCCCTTATTCCTGACAGTGGAAGGTCCAGCACATTCCTTTACTGGGCATTCGTCTTCCCCGCCATGATTCTCGCAACAGTTGGAGTAGACATCGCCTTCAACGTCACCAACGTCTTCATCACAACATCTCTTCCTAATCATCTTCAAGCAGTCGCAGGTGCACTGATCACAAGTCTTCTCTACCTCGGTATGGCGTTTTGGTTGGGCGTTGGTGAGATGGCTGTATCTGCACAAAAGGATATCAAAGGTGCTGAGAATGTTGATGCACGAAGCCAGTATCAGATCGGATTCTGGACTGGTGCTGGACTTGCTGTAGCGTCACTGTTGATTTTTATCACGGTTAAGATGGAGTCGGCCAAGGCTGATTTGACAGCTGATGAGAAGGCACAGAGAGAAAGAGAGAGAGCTGTTGAGCAGAGTTTCGGGTAGTCAGCCTGAAGTTTGGCATAGGGATACTTATGACTGAATTTGGAGTTTCAAAAGTTGATTTACGGATCTGTAAAGGGAATAGAATACACTAGAATAATAATATAGAGGTTGTCGGATTTTGAGTACATTCCCATGATACGTGCTGAAGTTAAAGAGTTACAAGTCTTTTGATGACAGAGTAGCTCAAGATTTGGATATACTTCTATATGCTAAGACACAAGAGATGCATCTTTCGAGGATCATAAGTTCTTCTCATCACCGAAACCTGAGCACAACTCTGGGGTATCCGTTCTAGCAACATTGTGTGGTAGCATGAAATTGAGAAGAATATGTCCTCAAGCTCTGATTTCACTAATATGAATACATCTAAGCGTTTGTCGATAGTCCATCTCGCGCCGCACCTGTACATGATTTAATTAACTCTATCTCCAGTTGAACTCTAGACCAGTCTTTTGCAGTCTCGCATGATGTCCGTCCGTAGATAAGTCGGTCCTACCAGGGTCACATCTAAAGTTCTTATCCTCAAGTTTAATTACAGCTCTGAAACCACGACAGGGAACACCCAGCCGCACAAGCATCCAGACCGCCAGCACCCCAAAATCACGAACCCTTACAACAAACCTAATCCTTGAATTAAAAAATGTCATCCCTTCTCAAACAGTCGATCCGGCACCGTCGCCCCCTCGAATTTAATGTTGGGGTTTGCGGGGGAATTACCTTCCCAGCGTCGATGGGGGCGGGGTGATCTACCGCTAAGAATGGGGAAATACAGCTCCACGGGAACTCTGAGCCGCGGATAATTTACCGTCCACGAATGAGAGGCTGCCGCTGGGAACAAGCTTATTCAGAGGGCCACTGCAGACGTTGCTTTGTTAGCGAAAACAACACTTCTATCTGGGGTTTGTTAACTTTTGACATGAGACGAGGGCTATTAAACTATGCATTTTTGGGACCCGCTTGAGATACTGGGGGTCATGTATTCGGGAGTACCTCCGAAATGATCATCCACTCTTGTATATAAAACCTCTAAACATCCCTATGATTTTTTCTTCTGATCCTCAAGCAACTCATCTTCTGCACTGTCAATCCTTTCACAATGAAGATCACAAGCTTCTTCTCAACCCTCTCCCTCTTCGCAGGCGTTCTCGCCGAGGCCATCGACCTCCCTGCTGGTGTTCCTCGCAGCATTGAAGAGTTCCGCGCCAAGCATCCCTATGAACTTCCTGTCAAGAGAAGTCATCGTAAGGTTTTTACTATCAGACATAGTAAGAATGATAACGATGATGTATCCTCGGAGTTTTACAAGGGCTTGAAGAAGGCGAACAAGGGAGGTACTCTGTATCTTCCCAAGGGTCAGACTTTTGTCATTGGAAAGCCCCTTGATCTTACCTTTTTGAATGATATTCATGTTCATCTTGAGGGTGAGATTAAGTTTACCAATGATACAGAGTATTGGCAGAAGAATGCTTATAAGCATCCTTTCCAGGTATGTCACTGTTACTTCATGATGAATGAGTTGAGATGAGACTAATGTTTATAGAACTCCATCATGTTCTGGAAGTGGGGTGGCAAGAACATCAAGCTTTACGGAAAGGGTGTTCTGAACGGTAACGGTCAGCGATGGTGGAACGGTATGACTCCTCTCAACGTCTTTCAGATTGTATACTAACAATTTTCAGAGTTTGCCGGTAAGGAGATTCTCGACACGACCAACGCCTACCTCCGACCTATTCTGTTCTATGCTCAGAACGCCACCAACCTGGACATCCAGGGTGTTCACTTCAAGGACTCTCCCTGCTGGACTAACTTTGTCGTCACTTGTAAGTAATCCTTACCAAAATCTCGATAACCATGTACTGATATCCGTTTAGCCAAGGACATCTCCTTCAAGGACGTCATCTGCACTGCTCGCTCCACCAACGCCACTGCTCTTCCCAAGAACACTGACTTCTTTGACTCTCTGAACGTTGAGAACCTCAATGTTGAGCGTGCCTGGGTTGACATTGGTGATGATTGCTTCTCCCCCAAGAGCAACGCTACCAACGTCCACGTTGACACCATGTACTGCAACGGTACGTTTTCTCACCTTGATCAACATATACATCACACTAACAGCTTCAGGCACCCACGGCCAGTCCATTGGCTCTCTCGGTCAGTACAAGGGCGAGATGTCCTTCGTCAAGGATGTCGTCATCGAAAACGTCTGGATGCTCAACGGCCAGCACGGCGCCCGTCTCAAGACCTGGGCCGGCCCCGACATCGGCTACGGCTTCATCGACAACGTCACCTTCCGTAACTTCTGGGGCGGCAACAACGAGTACACCGCCTTCATCGACTCATGCTACTTCAACATCAACGCTACAACCTGCGCCCAGTACCCCTCTCGCATGAACATCACAAACGTTCTCTTCGACAACTTCACCGGTTACAGCTCCGGCAAGTACGGCAACGCTGTTGCACGATTGACTTGCTCGACTAGCAAGGATGCTGTTTGTGAGAATATCAAGTTTAAGGACTTTAACATCAAGACTCCTTGTGGTGGAGATCCTGTGTTCTTGTGTGATGGTGTTAAGGATATTGGGGTGGATTGTGTTAGTGCTACTAGTGCGGCGGGTAAGGCTGCTTTGGCGAACAAGTGCGTTGCGCCTCAGGCTTCTGCGAGCCCTTTCAAGGTTCGAAAGTTCAACGGTTAAAGAGTTGAGGGGGGTTTGGGGTAATTAGTGTTGTACGATGAATGAGATATCGACGTGGCTTTGGCCATTGACTTTGAAATGAGTACTATGATAACCAACTGTGATATCGTCTGTGACACAAGCTCGAAAAAAGACAGAGAAATTCATTATGAGAAGAATAGAATCGTGCAAGAATCTGATCAAGGTTGAAGGGGTTGAATCGAGAATTGAGGTTGCTCTCGTGATAGATATTCAACAGATAACGGAAATCCGTGGACGAGCTGAATTTAGCAACTATACTTACGATGTTACAGCACTGGGAGACGCAAATTAGCTGTTGAATCATTCTATGACACATAGTTATCGACTTTCTGTCGGGTGATGCTGTCAAAGTATCAAAGATTATTTTTCAAGTTACCAAGGTGATGGGAAGCTTTGAGGGTTCTACGAACTTGTTGTCCATTTGGGGTCATGAGATTTTACACGGCGAGAACTTACGTGCTTGAACATGAATGAAACACTGTAAACACCTTGAGCTGACAGCAGATCAGTGATAGGAATCAGTTTAAAGCACCAAGGAGTCTATCACTGTATCGACTACTCTTTAACTCAGTGGTCTCTGTCGTCATCATTGTTCACGGTGCGATGAGTGGACGATCCAGGGTAAGTCGAAGGAGCAATTTTGGCCTGGATCACAATGGAAATGATGATTGGGTCGTGGTAAGAACTGCCGGGAAGTGGGGCCTCTCAACGCTCCCCGCGTACCGACCGCGCTTGCCCAGTGCGAGAGACTCGCTAGACTCGGTTGCTGGGTTGTCACTTTCCAACTAACGCGTGAGGACGCGTGCACCCTGTACCCTATTAAATTACCTGGACGCGACTCCCGAGTCAATCAAAGAAAGTCATGGCCCTCCCAATTTGAAGCTCCCATCCACCATCCTCAACTTCTTTCAATCACCAACTTATTCTTTTTCGTCCAGACTTTTGCTGTTTTTGTCAATTGTTACTGATTGTTTGCCTACTGACACATAATCGTCGTCGAATACTGTCCATTGTCTCTTTTACCTGATTCACGTCTGTCGAGTCCCCTGCCTAGCACCTTTAATCGCTACATTCTGCTGAAGCCATTCACCATCATGGCGAGCGAACGATCAACTGTGGCCCGAACGCCCGCTAAAGCGACCAAACCGGCCGCCACTACTTCTTCAGCCAAACAACGTTCAATCGTTTCCTTCTTCCAAAAAGCGCCGCCCTCATCCCCCGCTGCCGCATCATCACCGCTGGCAAAGGCTTCGCCCGCAAACAAGCAGTCCTCGTGCTTGAAAGAAACAACCAAGGCAAACTCTTTACCAAAGACAACTCCGCTCTCCAAGGCCAAGGCCAAGCCAACTGTCGCCGTAAAGCAAACAACCCCCGTGCCTGATAGTGATGCTATTGAGCCTCCGAGCTCCCAGGAGAATATTGATTCGACCATGAAGGTAAAGAACGCCCCGAGAATGCGTAGCGACGCGAGCTGATACGGAATGACAGAAGTCTTCAACCAAAATGAACCACGACGCTCTCCCAAGCAGTCCGACTCGAAAGGTGAGACATTCGCAACGCACGATAATAGCAAGATCAGCCACTGATGCTCCGAAGGTCAAAAAGGTTGTTAGTTACGCCGAGTCCTCAGAGGAGGACGAGCCATTTCAATTTGGCGGGCCTGCAAGCTCGCGCCGAAGATCAAGAGCTCGACCGGTTGTTAGGGATGAGGACGATTACGAAGAACAAGAGGATGAAGCCGCAGAGGAAAACGATAGTGGTACGCCTCCCCGTGTCTGATTCACTGTTCAACTCTAACGATTGCAGATACTATGGATGACTTTATCGCATCAGACTCAGACGAAGATACCTCTCGGTCCAAGAAGCGAAAGCGAGCCTCAAAGCCCGCTGCTCCCCGGAAACGGTCGAACAAGTCATCGCCCATACCTGAACCCGATATAGATATCAAGGATAGCATTCTTGAAGAGGATGAGCTGATGGATGATGTGGGAGGCTCTACGGCCTCTCAGTGGAGCTATGATGCCACCTCTACCGATAGGCAACCGGTCGTGAAGCCCGCTGAAAGAGTGGCTATGAGGGACCCCAAATATAAGGAGAAGGCACACACCAAAGACCCCGATCAAAGGTATCCTTGGCTTGCCAATATTATGGATAAAGACAAGCGAAAGCCCGACCATCCTGAGTACGACAAGCGAACAATTTACATTCCTCCTGCTGCTTGGCAGAAGTTCTCTCCTTTCGAGACTCAGTACTGGAAGATCAAGCAGAACCTTTGGGACACAATTGTCTTCTTCAAGAAGGGCAAATTTTACGAATTATACGAGAACGATGCGACTGTAGGGCATCAGGAGTTCGACTTCAAGATGACAGACCGTGTCAACATGCGTATGGTTGGAGTGCCTGAGAGTTCGCTCGATCACTGGGTAAACCAGTTTATCGCCAAACAATATAAGGTTGCTCGTGTCGATCAGATGGAGACAAACTTGGGTAAAGAGATGCGCGAGCGACAGGATAAGAGCAAGAAGGCCGACAAGGTCATCACCCGCGAGCTTGCGTGCATCCTTACAGCCGGAACACTTGTCGACGGTAGCATGTTGCAAGACGACATGGCCTCCTACTGTGTTGCTATCAAGGAATCTCTCGTTGACGATCTCCCTGCTTTTGGTATCGCCTTTGCCGACACTGCTACTGGACGCTTCTACCTTTCTACTTTTGTGGACGATGTGGACTTGACCAAGTTTGAGACTCTTATTGCTCAAACCGGCCCACGTGAACTACTTCTCGAGAAGTCCCACCTGTCTACCAAGGCACTCCGTATCCTGAAGAACAATACTAGCCCAACCACCATCTGGACACACCTCAAGCCGGGTGCCGAGTTCTGGGAGGCGGATAAGACCCGTCGCGAACTCGACTGTGGAGGCTACTTCAAGGCAGAAGATGCTGATGAGGAGGTTTGGCCCGAGATTCTTCAGTCGCTACGAGACGATGACTTGGCCATGTCGGCAACCGGTGCATTGATCTCATACTTGCGCTTCCTCAAGCTTGAGAGACCTTTGTTGTCGCAGGGCAATTTCGAGCTCTACAACCCCATCCAAAAGAATGGAACACTGATCCTGGATGGGCAGACGCTTATCAACCTCGAAATCTTCTCCAACTCGGTTAATGGCGGTTCCGAGGGTACGTTGTTCAGCTTACTTAACAAGTGCGTCACGCCCTTTGGAAAACGTCTCTTCCGATCATGGGTCGCGCACCCGCTTTGCAACATTGATCGTATCAATGAACGTCTCGATGCTGTCGAGATGCTCAATGCCGATCAGACAGTCCGTGAACAATTCGCCTCACAGCTTGTCAAGATGCCCGACTTGGAGCGACTCATCTCCCGAATCCACGCTGGGGCTTGCAAACCCGAGGACTTTGTCAAGGTCCTAGAAGGCTTTGAGCAGATAGAGTACACCATGAGCCTTTTGGGAGCTTACAAGGGCGGCAATGGCCTTGTCGACCGCCTGATTTCGTCGATGCCGAACCTCGACGAGCCATTGAGCTATTGGAGATCAGCATTCGATCGCAGCAAGGCACGCGACGAGAAGCTTCTCATACCTGAGCGTGGTATTGAAGAGGATTTCGACCAGAGTTCCGATCGCATTGAGGAGATTAAGCAGCAACTTGAAGATCTCTTGGCCGAGAAGAAGAAGGAGTTCAAGTGCAAGCTCCTCAAGTTTACAGACGTTGGTAAAGAGATCTACCAGCTGGAAGCTCCCAAGAGTGTCAAGGTCCCTTCAACTTTCCGTCAAATGTCAGCGACAAAGGACGTCAAGCGATGGTACTTCCCCGAACTCTCCCAACTTGTGCGAGAGCTTCAAGAAGCGGAAGAAACCCACTCACAACTTGTACGCGAAGTTGCGTCGCGATTCTTCCAAAAGTTCGATGTTGACTACGAGACCTGGCTGCAAGCCATCAAGATTATCTCGCAGCTGGATTGTCTTGTCAGCTTAGCCAAGGCATCCGCGTCTCTTGGCCAGCCAAGTTGCCGCCCAGAGTTCGTGGACGAGGAGCGCAGCACTGTTGACTTCCAAGAACTGCGACATCCTTGTATGATGAACACAGTGGACGACTTCATCCCTAATGATATCAAGCTTGGTGGTGACCAGGCTAAGATCAACTTATTGACTGGAGCCAACGCTGCCGGTAAATCTACCGTCCTTCGCATGGTAAGTTCTGTCTTGTCTCCCTATTATTTTCCAATGCTAACATCTACAGTCTTGCGTTGCCGTCATCATGGCTCAGATCGGCTGCTATGTCCCTGCCACTTTCGCACGCCTCACTCCCGTCGATCGTATCATGTCTCGTCTAGGCGCCAACGACAACATCTTCGCCGCTCAATCGACCTTCTTTGTTGAGCTGTCCGAGACCAAGAAGATTCTCTCTGAAGCCACACCCCGATCGCTGGTCATTCTGGATGAACTTGGTCGTGGAACCAGCTCTTACGATGGTGTCGCCGTCGCCCAAGCTGTTCTTCACCACGTCGCTACTCACATCGGCTGTGTCGGCTACTTCGCTACGCACTACCACTCTCTTGCGACAGAGTTTGAGAACCATCCCGAGATCCGAGCACGAAGGATGCAGATCCACGTTGATGATGAGGAGCGTCGCGTTACCTTCTTGTACAAGCTGGAAGATGGTGTCGCCGAGGGTAGTTTCGGTATGCACTGCGCCGCTATGTGCGGTATCTCTTCTCGCGTCATCGACCGCGCAGAAGTCGCCGCCAAGGAATGGGAACACACCAGTCGACTCAAGGATAGTCTTGAGAAGGCAAAGACAGGGTGTTACATCCCGTTGGGTATTCTTAGCGACATCGGTGCACTACTCGGCGATAAGGGCGAGATGGGAGATGCAGGAGTGGATGTTCTTCTTAATGCTATCGAGGCATTATAATATGACACAACTAAGGCCTGGAACAAGGAGGAACGGACAGGGTTCTAGAGGAATTGGTGATATCTTGCAAGGCGTGTATGGCGTCGACTTCACATGTATTCGGACTGATGACCTCTGATAGAGTTGTCACAAAGGGATAAATAGGCGTTGCAATGGAGTTCTATTTGAGACAGAATTGCGAGATCAATGTGCTTTGGGGTGTTACAGACAGTACAATGAGAGGCGATTGCGATGGCGGTAAAGATATCTAGATACATAGCAAAAGATACAGGTTTCCAAAAGACCAGTACCCACCCATTCGTCCAACTCACCGAACAAACTCAATATAACATGACGCCATTCCCAAATCTTAACCAAACAAGAAAGTTGATACTTAATCAATCAGTTCAACATACAAATCACCCATCCCCATCTCAACCAAGAGTGGCCAATCCAACTCGTACACCATGCCGTCAAACAAATCACCTATCGGGATCACTGCTATCATAGTCAGGCTCTGGAGCCAGAGTCGCAGTCGTTGAAGCAGCTGCTTTTGAAGAAGCAGGTTTCAAAGCAGGTGCCGCTGCTGCCGCTGTTGAAGGAGCAGTCGACGGCGCAGGCGAAGCAGTAGCAGTTTTCTGCATTCGAATTCGACTCGAAGCACGCGAAGGTTGAGTGCTGGCTTTACCCGCCTTCTTACTACGCTTGACAGTATTAGTCCCTGTAACAACATCAGTATCCATTCACAACAACGAAATAAAGAGTAGGAGGGAATGGCGAGGAGAGTGTTGGGGCTTACCAGTCCTGGCCTTCTTCGCAGCAGGTTCCTCAGTCGCCTCCTCAATCGAAGTAATCGCACTCTCAGGCCTCTTCAGTGCCGGATTAGCATCAATGTTCAGATTACTAATATCCTCCGGAACAGCCGCCTGCATCGACCCATCAGTGTCAGAGTCGCTCTGGTACCTATACAGAGGATCATGAACCTGTACTCCGGTATACATCTCGCGTCGCCTTCGTCCAGCTGAGGTATCGTCCCATGGCAGATCGGGTGCCTCCCACGATCCAGGGAAGGGAGGATCTCCTTCGTAAGGAGGCCAGGGAATGTCCCACCATTCTTTGTTTTCTTCGTTATTGGGATCGGAGCGCCAGACTGATGCGAACTGGTCGTTTGAGTTGGTGGGATAGACCGTGCGTGCGTATGTTGGGTAGCGGCGGCGGAATGATTTCTTGATTTTGCCGAGTGTCTTGGGGATATCGGAGCCTTTGATCCAGCCGCTGCGGTTGGGGAGATGTTCGATAGAGCCTGGAGCGTTGCGGATACCACAGCATCGATGCTTGTCGGTATGAGCCTGTGATGCTTTAGTATGCATGCCTGTGAGTATGGTAGGGATAGATACAAACCTCGACTTCTGCATCGCGACCGATGGGCGAGTGGTTGGGACTCTTGCTTCGCTTCTTAGGTACCTTGCGGAGACATTTGGAGCAATACATGTCATCATCGGGATCAAAGTCGGGATCTTCAGGACCGAGTCTCTTCACCCAGTCTGGAGACTTGGCTCGACGACGAAAGGGCTTTCCTCCTTGCTCATTCGGTTCCTCGTCGTAGTCATCCGTCTCGTACCCATCATCTTCATACTCGCCATCCTTTTCTCCCGTACCGAGAGTCTTCTTGGCCTTCTTGGTCCGGGCTCGTCCTCCGGCGGCAGGGCTCGGAGCCTCGCTGCTTTGTGCTTCAGTGGAGGAAGTCGCTGTCTCAGGTGGTTCGGCTTGAGCTTTCTTGGCATATCGCCGTCGACCACGAGAAACTGTAGAAGCGGCTTCACTGTGACTCTCAATTGTCGATTCAATCTCCTGTGTTGGGGCCTTGCGTTTCTTGCCCCCTTTCTTCGCAGGGGGTTTCTTGGGGGCAGGCTTCTTGGTTACCACCACAGCACCAGCTGACTGGTTGGACTCATCCACAACCTCATCGTCTGAAGAGACCTCAGTCACCCGCGGAGTCGGAGATTTGCTCATCGAGGCATTTCTAGCGGGAGAAGGATTTCCACGAGCAGGTTTAAGAACAGAAGACTGTCGCTTGCTAGAATCGCTATGATCACCGCGATCTGCCTCGTCATCGTTGCTCTTACCCTCGTCATCTGATGGGAGCAAGTGCACCTGTTCCTCTTCATGCCATTCCCTAATATGACGACGATACTCCTTTACATCCATATCCCCAATGACAATACCGCACTTCCCGAAGTAGGCACACTTCTTGACAGGCGGAGGTCTGCACTGTCGAGCTTGAACTAGATCTTCAACTCGAGCGGCGGCTTCCTGTTCGGCCTTCTTCCTGGCTTCCTTTTCAGTCTTTTTTCTAGCCGCCTCTTGAGCTCTCGCTTCTATCTCTTCAGCCGCCGTTTCTTTGATCCTCCGGACAGTTTCCACCTCTCCCCTCACTGGGCTCTGGGTGTTCTGAGGATAGACCATATACGGACGTTCGTGGACTGGCTGTAGATGATGCCAGAGCTCATAGATATGACAGTCCATGTGCTTGATACACTCGTCTTCCTTTCGCGTACTGCCTATTTCTTTGCCTTCCCCATCTGTGCCCTGGACTTCGAAGAACGGAAGATCGCAGAATGGACACTTACTAAGCGTATGAAACCAATGGTCTTGCTTAAGGTGTTGCCATAAGCCCCAAGAGCCGAGGTTGCTGATATCAGGCATAGAGACGCACTTTTTCATGGGACAAAATTGTGGAGGATCGATGACAGCTGTCGGTCCAGTCATATCATACCAGGCAAGGGGGTTTGAGAGACTTCGTGGAGCCTGAGGGAGTTTATATTTATCCCCCGTCTTTTTCGGCGGTTGCCGCCAAGCCCTGGTGATACGATCCGGAAGCTGGAGCTTTTCCATTGCCTCTACCGGCGGTCGCCTAGGCATCAAACCAGGGCCAGAGATGTTTGGTATCACTGTACCAGCTGCCGGAGCCGGGGCTGTACGAGGTTCCATAGGAGCTACAGGAGCTGGGCGGCGAGCGGGGGCTGAACGAGGTGCAGTAAAAGGATTGGGAACCTGTCCCAGAGAGAACGGTTGAGCAGATTGGGATTGAACCACTGGCTGAGGGTAACCCGGAGGTTGCTGAGGAGGTTGGGCTGGGCGCGGCACTGCAGCCGTCGTCCTAGGAATAGGTTTATCCACAATACCCAAGACATTCTTCAAGTCCCTGGTATGCTTCTCCCGCATATGCTTCATCCTCTGAGGCTTATCCCACCATTCAAACATAGGCTCGGCGCACCAGGGACACGATCGTGACTTATGAGCTTCCATAGTATGTTTCTTCCTGGCCTCATGATCGTCAACCCGGCAGGTGAAGTCGCAGTCCTCGAAGATGCACTGCATGGTGCGCTTGAGGAGCAGGTTACGAGTGTCCCAGAGGGCGCGCTGAAGCTCAGCCTGCTCGGTAGGTGTGAGGATGGCTTTGGAGATCATTGGGACATTGCCGGAGTTAGAGGTGCGAAGCATCTTCTCCGCAGGCGCAGCAGTCACCGGAATGCCAATTTCAGCTAACGAAGACCCGGCTCTGAAGTTACCGAAGATACTGGGTTGAGTGGCCCATGTACGTTCTCGGGCCTCTCGTGGCGCGTATTCATCAAAATTCCAGGGTGATCTGTTGGAAGGACCAGGTTGAGAGGCAGCGATGTGTTCGGTTCCATTGCCATCTTCATTGTCATCGCCATTATCATCATCCATGCCCCCGTCATCGTCCCCTCTGCTTGATTCATCACTGCTGTGATCACTGGAGATTTGTATCTCAATCCTTGGGTTAGGGACGTCTCCCGACAATGAACCATCTCCCGAAGACGAATCATCCCCCGTCAATGAACACCCATAAGCTTCCGAATCCGAATCTGAATCTACCAGCCTGTTAACCCGAGGAAGGCGTGCAGGATAAGGCCTGTTAGCCCAGTCAGGTCGACTGGTTGCCAAGACACCAACATCATACTCCTGCTCCTCCTCAGCTTCAAACTGGCCATGAAGTACCGGGGCCTTGGGCAAAATGAGTTTCGGAGCTGGAGGCTCTCGAATTTCAACATGAGGTAGCGTAGGGCTCAGGAACGCCTCAGCTCTGTAGGATGAGCGTGCTCGGTCAATCTTCTCGTTATCCCCAGGTGTTTTGGGTGGGAGACGTTGAGGTTCTGAAGGGTAATTGACGACAGGGTCGGCTATTTCATCTTTGAGGTTCCTGATTTCAAGAACATCGTCGCCTAGCCGAGGGCGCACGACATAAAATTCGGGGTTGAAATCACGAATACCCCAGATGTTGTTCTCCGATATACATGTGTCCCAGTCGACATCCGATTTCTTGACAAATGACACTGTAATTTCTGGAGACGTGATGGATTCTCTCACACGATACCATTCAACTTCAGATGAGTCAGGGCTGATAAGATACGATGGTGTGTCTCTAGCTCCAAGGCTGTCGGCACAAGGAGTCTCTTTGAGCAATATATGATCCCGGCGCATGTCTCTCTCGTACTTGGTCTTGGATACCAGCTGATTTATCGCCTCAAAGAGCTGTCTGATTGAGGATGTCAGAGGTGGCAACTCTACAGAGACTTTTTGTCCATCGTGCCAAGCGGGGAACAGACGACAGTGCCCAGGACGAAAATGAGGGTGAACGGTAAAGAACCAGGTCGACAGAGTTTCGATCTTCTCACCAACGTCGCGTCCGCAGGAATCATTGTTCCCACCGCGATAACCACGTTTCGGAAGAATCTCCAAGCCCTTGATACCATCCCCATAGCTATTTGTGGGGTCGCCCTCAAGCACATACACTGTCTCAAGCTTTGTGCTCGACTCGTCGTCAAAAGCCTCCGTAGCAATCTCACAAATCGGGTGAAAGGCATCATGAAACTCATCTCCAGAATTACTGTCGCGTGCCAACAAGTGAGGGTTAGGCTTTGGGTAATAGTTGGGAAAGATAAGAGGTTTCACACCGGGGTCGAGCCAGGTGCAATCAATCATCCAGCAAGCACCTGGGTTATTCAACGGGTGAAGAAGCTCCCAGGCCGATTGCGGCAGACCCATGGCACCGTAAACGACAGGTACGGTCAATGAAGCGTCTGGCTTGTTCTTGTCATAGAGTCGGAACAAGGCATGGTTGTACTCGGAGCATCCTGCATCATAGTAGCCCATAGGTCGACCAAAGAGGATATCCGTGGCGGCCCTGAAGTAGACATTGTACTGCTGAGACCCGTAGTTGCTAGCGACGAAGCTTGGGGTATTGGTTTCAGGGAATGGGATATAAGCATAACTGATGGCATCCTTCTCAGGTCCATTGGGGAAAGACCCAAGAGAGCGCCCAATTCTGAGAGTGTCTGTCTCCAGTTGTTGCTGGGAAGGCTCCCAGTGCTCAACTCTGTTGTCGGGCTCCCTCCGAATTTGATCAATAAAGAGAGTACAGCAATCCTTGTGTGACTTATCTGGGCCATTGGCAAAGTGTTCCTGCAGGAAGGTCATTGCTTCACTATCCCTGGATAAGGGCAGTTTGTCACGAATGGTCTTCCGGTCGCCGGTCTTCTTGTCAAAGACATGGAGGTCGTATTTGTACTCCCTCTCCCTAATGTCGTCAGGGTGACCATGCAACAGTTGTCGTAGGACGAGTGCAAATGATCGCCACTTGCCAGTGCGAAATGGTATGCGCCCATAGAGGCTATAAAGATAAGTCCATCCATCCTGAGGGATGGCGGGAGTCTCGTTCTCGGGACGTAGTCACAAGCGATGCGATCATCGCATGTGGGTTGAGATGAGCGGGGTCCTTCGCCTCCACGAAGACTCAAAATCGGTTCGCTTGTCCTTGGAACCGGGACGGGCCAACTGAAGGCTTCCTTGGCTTGATGTTGTTAGTGGTGTATTGGAAGATATGAAGAGAGAATAATAGTCGGCTTACCTTTGAGGCTATCCTTTCCCAAGTTGCGACGATCGTGAGCTGTAAGAAAATGCAGTGGTGGTTTGATGTTGTACAATGGGACTTCCTCCTCCAGACCAACGGCCATGGAGAGCTCTTTGAGAATGTCCTCCATTGGCGCAATTGGCAGCCCAAAGTACATCATCGTGAGCTTTGTTTCCAAAGAGTCCCCGACGCCCTTAAAACGATCCTCCAGAAGGGCCTCGTAGCGCTTTGTGTTGGCAGCTTGCAATTCCTTCACGTCTGCGCGATCAGATGGCATCAACATGCGACTCTCATGGTATGTAAAGTTTTCTCGAATTATGTCTTTGATGGGAGTATCCGACTTCAACCTGTCGGAGAAAAACTTGAGCTTCTGCACCCATTGTGAATCGCTTGGGCCGATTAGAAGGTCGAGGCGCGTCGCGGCAATGTCAGGCGGTACGTAATCGAGGGAGGATTCATCCTGACCCGCGTAGGAGAGGATATCCGTCATTTCCTCCATTTGTGTGAAAAACCATATACTATCGCAAGATGAGATGCTCGTCAAAGGCGGATTGCGTTGAGGGTTGCGGTCTATGGGTATAATGAAAGGTCAAGTAAAGACACAGAGATAAAGGGTATCAACCAATGAGTGTATGTGTAAGTATTCTGGGAGCTCAGTTGGTGTGGAAAGAACAAGGGAAAGGACGATAAAGAGAAAGAGGTCATACTGGTCATACTGGTCAAAAAGTCTGGAGGGTCACGGAGGATGTTAAATCGCACACCTGGTGCAAGAAGGCCCTTTGAGGTGAACCTCGCCCGGTGGCCGTATTGGCCTGGGTGCAATACCATTGTTCTCAGACTAGCATCGCCGCACGTACCAGAAGTGGTTTGCCGTGGTGTTGGCAACAAAGAGAGGTGCCCTTTGACAAGTTGATGGGTGGTCTGTGACGAAGATCGCCCTTCCTCGGCGTTACCGTTCATCCTTTGGGCTTAGTTGGTCTTGTCTTCGAGGGTTAACTCAAAGGTCTAAAATCTTGCGCTGCATGTCGACTGCTGTACTAAAGCATAATTCAGTTTCTATGAGCGTTTTGTCTGTCGCAACCCGTGTTGATGCTTTGAGACAGAGAAAAAGACCGTTGGAAGCAAAAACGGTTGGTGACCTGACGGCCAATCACCCAGCCACACAAAACGTCAACCCCAAAAAGGTCGACAATAACACCTATTGATACAAAATTAGCAACAGACAGGCCAAAGCTTCAAGCACTCCTTGATGAGGGTGCAATCAAGCCTTCTCAAACAGAGAGGTGTGCCTGTTCTTTGTCTCCATCCGGGCTTGATAGGTCCGAAAAGAGGGGAAGCTCAGTCAATGTAAACAAAGAAGCTGGAAACACACGGCTGCATGAAAATAGCAACTGGCAATCTGTTGTTTTGGCTTCTTTGTTCATTCGCAAATAACGAGGAATCACGAGAAGGCGATGGAGGGTTGTAAATGAAGTCGTTCATTATCGTATTGTAAGGTGCTTCCTTTGTCCCAATTCGGTCTGGGTACCGGATGTTGCAGCACCAGCTTGACAGACCGATGCATCCGGAATCATTCAGCATGCTGCTTCACAAGTTCCTCGAGCTTGTCTTGGAAGTCGGCGAAGTAGTTGATGGCCTGGATGATCTTGCCTTCACTTGAGCCAAAGCCACTTCTGGTGAAAGCCATTCTCCATGAGCTTTCATCCTTAACCAGGGCATTGTAGTCTTTCGTTTCCCAGCTCTTGTTTGCAGGACCTTGCGCGAAGCATTCGCCTAGTTTGCCATTCCAGGCCGACAACTCAGTAGAAACGAGTCCATGGAGCAGGTTCGGTGAAATTGTGACATGTTGAATCCCGGCAAGCTGCATCACTTCATCCACAGATGTGAGCGACGCTGCCAAAACCTGTGTGCGGAATGAATGGCCAATGTAGTAGGCTTGCGCTTCTCGGCAAAAGTCAAAGGCTTTGTTTTCATCAACGTATCTACGCTTGTCAGATAACTGAGGGTCGCATGGCAAGTCGAACTTACCCAGCTTCGAAATGAACCTTGAGCTCATTGACATACGGTGCGATGTAGGTACACTGAGCCTCGGCAGCTAAGGCCGCTTGTTCCATGCAAAACATGGTGGTCGCAAGGGTCGCGATGCCTTTCATCTCAAGTGTCCGACACGCCTGGAGACCTTCCCAAGTGGCAGGGATCTTAATGCACACTCTCTTCTCATCAAAGTCAGGTGCCAGTTGTTTGAAGATACTCACAATGCCTTGGGATCTAGTGAGCATGGACAACAGAGACGGGCAAGGGGAAGCTTACGATAGGCATCGTCAATGGTACCAGCGGTTGAGTAGGACAGCTTTGGGTTGGTCTGAATATGCACGTAGCCTGTAACGTTAGATACGATCAATAGTTGAAGTTTTACCATCTTGTTGAATCAGTAAAGTTCCATCGCATCGGGTTTGCTACTGCCATACCAAGATCTGTACAACAAACTCTTCAAACGTCGCGGATCCTTGCAACTCCTTCAGCGCTGCACGAGCGCTTTGGATGGCCTCTTTTATGAGCGCATCATGATGCAAAAGGGGTTCTCCGGCGAGTGGTCTCGAGATCTCCGAGAATGCAATTGCCTGAACGAGGTTAATGCTACCATCGAGCTCGGGAATGGGAAGCTTGCTAACCTGGTTAGAAGTGCAATCGGCAAAGGGACCTAATTCATGAGCGACTGGATTGCAGTCAGTAAAACTGAGGCCTCAGACATGCTTGTGGCCCGTACCATTGGAATCAAGAGTATCGCAGTCCACCTGACTGGTCTGGCGAAGAGCGTCCAATAATGTCGTCATGTCAGCGATGTGTCAATTGCGACTGAGCTACTTCCTTTGAATATATTTGAAGAAATAGCGATTCAATTGTGGTATAAATAATATTCTCGTCAGTCTCGGCAATATTTGGCTTTATCATCAAACTCGTCGATGGAGTCGTTCTGCTCAAGTCAAGTCACCAAGCCGAACTGACCCCCACCAGATTTAGAGCACGACGGAAACTTTGGCGGCCATTCGCTCGGCTTGGCTACCCGAAACGCTTGTTTCTCTCCTGTCATTCGGCTGCAATTGCCACGATGAGAATGACGAGGCAAGAGGGGTTTCCTTTCTCCAGGCAGCCGTATTTCCAGATCCCAATTCACTTGAATTGATGGGGTAGAAAACTTTCTACGCCAATGTAGAGACGATGCTGTGATCATGTGGTGGAAACGCGTGGGTCGAAGTGGTTCTCTGATTGTGAGCTTGCTGTGGAGGGAGGCGATTGAGTTGTATCGGCACTTGTCGGTTCTTCCACTCAGAACTATCCCAAGAATTCCGCGAGGCTTGAGATTGATCTTCATAAGATCAGAGTTTGGTAAGATAATGAGAATCGTTGATGAGTTTGATTGGGTTTAGCGGCGTTCAATAAGATTTCATGGATTTCGAATGACAGCAACAAGAGGTCGCGGGGCCTTCTCCAACTGTTCCTGCACGTGATAAATCACGTTTCTTTCCCCAGGAATTCCCCAATCGGGCTATCCACCATTGCATCAAGAATCTGCTGCAGCATCACCAGCCCAGTCGAACCACCTCCAATCTCACTCCCTCACGCCCTGTCACCGTTGAACCCGGCGTGTCCAGCACCGCCATGAACCCAATCGCAACCTCCACGCCATAATGCGACCACCACGATGTCTCCTCCCCGCAGCGGAGATCCTCCTCAAAGCATCTGCACCCACCAGCCGACGGTGCATGTCCTCCGCCGCAGCCTTCCAACCGCCTAGAATAGTCGCTGCCACTCCATGGAAGGGGTCTTCGTTTTTCCTCTCGAATAGATTGTTTGATAGATCGACATGTCTCGATTTTGTAATACTACGGCGTGCCAATGGCATTAGATCCACGTCGGCTTCGGCGGCTACGATATCTTCTACGAATACTGCGCAGGCGGAACCAGAACAGGAATTAGCACCTCATCGAAGACGGCAGGCTCAACGGAGAGAGAAAGCAGCGGCTGAAGCTGCGGCCGCTGCAGCTCGAGGCGAAAAACCACTACCTCCCGATGCTTCATCACTCCTCGCTTCCCACGCCGCCTCGCAAACGAGTTCTTTCCGCCGCTACCTCTCCGCATGTCTCTCCCTCTCGAAACCCCGATTAACAATGCTCGTCGTCCTTACAGCCATGGCTACATACGCTTTATACCCTGTTCCCGAAATGCTCTCGCCGAGTACGACCGAGACACCGAGTTTGAGTCCTTTAACATTATTATTCCTTACGATCGGCACGACGCTATGTTCCTCTAGCGCTAATGCTCTAAATATGCTTTATGAGCCTTCGACGGACGCTAAGATGACTCGAACTCGAAACCGACCGCTCGTGCGAAAGCTCATTTCTCAAAGAGCTGCAGTTTTGTTCGCCGTCTTGTCTGGAGTTTTGGGTACAGGCGCCTTGTACTTTGGTGTCAATCCCACTGTGTCTGGACTCGGATTTGCCAATATTGTCATCTACGCTGGAATGTACACACCTCTCAAGGCTGTGACGGCTTTTAATACCTGGATCGGTGCGGTGGTCGGCGGTATTCCTCCTCTGATGGGCTGGGCTGCAGCTGCTGGTGAGACTGCCACAAAGGACGGTTCATGGCGTGAGCTTCTATTCTCTCCCGACGGTTCATCTATTGGTGGTTGGGTCATGGCTGGTCTACTATTCGCATGGCAATTCCCCCACTTTATGGCGCTCAGCTGGCCTATCCGCGAAGAATACAAAAAGGCCGGGCTTCGAATGCTGGCATGGACAAATCCCGCACGAAACGGCCGAGTCGCTCTTCGGTACAGCTTCGTCTTCATTCCTCTCTGCGTTTCTCTATGCGCCGCAGGAGTAACAGAGTGGTCCTTCGCAGTAACGAGCTTGCCAATAAATGCCTGGCTTATCAAAGAAGCCGTGCGCTTCTGGCGGTACGAGGGTCACCAAGGCAGCGCGAGAAGCCTCTTCTGGGCGAGTGTATGGCATCTCCCTGGGATTATGATCCTGGCTTTATTACACAAGAAGGGCATGTGGAGTAGAGTTTGGAGGAGTGTTTTTGGCGAGGAGGAGGGAGAGTGGGAGGAGGAAGAACTGGATGAGATGATGAGCATGGCCGCGGAGAGTGCCAATAGCCAGTTGCAGCGCGAGAGGCCTGTACGGTGACGTGTAGGATAACGAATGAATATGTAACACCAATTGTACTCGTGATGGAAAATAGATTTGTAGCATTTGGCTACTGTGTCAACTGTATGAAGCTCATATATCACCACTGTAGATTCTGTTAATAGCAAGACATCAACGACGAAACACTTCTTCATAGCGAATGCGTAAATAGATTGCAAAGACAATGCGCTGCTAGATCCTCATGCACCTCATGTCGTGGTATCTCTATCTCTAGTTATACAAAGGAAATGTGCCATGATCATTCCCACTCCTTCTGACCACCATTTTAACAAACAGACAAAGAAAGAATACTAATAAAAACATTAAGCAATTAACGCCTATAGAGCAAAATATCCTGCGTTATCGTCGTTATAACTGCCCAAAGCGCCAAACACCGCGTGAACCCTGCTGCTCGCCATGCAGTATGATGGATTAAAGGATTGACAAAAAGATTGGACGGCGAGGGTGGGTAGAACCTCCGATGAGGTTATGTTGAAAATTCGTGAAACAAACGTGTGAAAGAGAGAATGGAGCAAGGTTAAACACCTCTTCCTGGACGGTTAATAAGATTCCCAATCCCCATATCCGAACTCTGCGGTCGCTGCGTCATGTACTGCGGACTGTTCCCCTGACTATGACCATGATGGCCATACGCATGACCCGCACTCGCTTGGGAGCTCACGCTTGAAGAGTATCCGTGACCGCCGTAGCCTGGCGCATAGGCTCCGAGGCTGTACTGGACGGCAGCGGCCATGTGGTGAGGCTGGAGCTGCTGGAAGGACGTGTTGGCCGAGGCCACGACGGACGAGGCGGTGGTCTCGGGGCTGCTATAGGATGCGTCTAGTTCGTCAACCGGTGTCAGGCCCATGCCGGAGATGCCGCTGTCGTCGTCATACCCTGAGAGAGCGCCGGACTCGAGACGGTCGCGGCGGGCTGCGGCGCGGGCTGCGCTTTGCAGATTCTTGAGGCCATTCGACATGCACTGCACAATACATTAGCAGATGTTCTCACATGAAGAGTAAAGACGATTACGTACCTTGGCTTCGACTACGTTCCACTTCTCGCCCGTTCGAGCTGCAAGACCACTCCAAATCTCCTTTCTCATAGTCATGTACTCCTTAGCCAGACGCTGAAGCTTGAGGTTATCCCAATCATCAGCACCCTTGCGTTCCAACAATCGCTCATGGCGCTTGCGGCAGGCATTGGGAGTCTTGGAGGGAAAGTAATTCGATTGGATCTGTTGCCAGTTGAGACCCTGCATCCTCGCAGTGAGAAGTTGCTGGTCATCTTGAGGTTGCCAAGCACCGGAACTAGCTCTGTGTTGGACAGGCGCAGGTACGGAAACAGGTGGTGCGGAGGTTGTAGCGTAGGATTCGTATGTAGGTTGTTGAGCTTGTGATTGAAGGGGCATAGAAGAAGAGGCAGTGGTTTCCATGCCGTAGTAGTTCGGCATGGTCATGCGCTGCTGGTTGTATAGAGGAGAGGGGGCGAGAGAAACTGGGATACCCGCATTATAGCGGTTCTGAGATGAGCTTGTAGCTCGAGAGTGTTTCGGCATCATGGAGAAAGAGTAGTGGGGGTGTAGAAACGAGAAGTGAGGGGATTCACAAGTGACTCCTGTAACAAGATTACAGATTAAGCGTAAAAGAGGAATAGGTCCGGGTCAACCGGCCTGGTATGCTTGATCGGTCTTTAAGATGACGGCCCAAAAAGAAAACGGATCCTCGTCCAAGCGAGAAGTCCAAGTGTAGTAGTAGCGAGAGGGTCAAGGAAAAATAAAGCACAATGGGTCAAGAAGCGACAGATGGGATAGCGCCAAGATAGAACCACAACGAGAGAAGAAAGGAAAAATGAACCTAGGAAAGATGTAAAAGTGATGTTTTGTCTGAAGAATGGAGAACAGGTCCTTAGAAGGCCGGATATGAAGCAGCTTTAAGGCCTTGAGGAGAGGACAAAGACCAATCTCGAGGTGGGCGGCTCTGGCACTGAAACAAGGTCCAGAGACAATGAAACAGCACACTCGTGTCTGAAAGAAGCAGTTCCTCATGAATGGGTTGCTGATATTGGCTCAGGGAAGCGGCTGTTTGAAGAATGATGGGCGGTTAAGAGAGTGGGCGGTTACAGTCAAGATGGATATATCTTGGTGGAGAGAGGTTCATCCGTACTACCAAGTTTGAGCAAGCGCCCTATGTCCGGGGCGTGTATGTGTACAAGCAAGATATTGTTTAAACTAGAAAGCTAAAGCAGGAACACAGATCTCGAGAACCACCCGATTTGCATATGTGGATGATCCATGAGGGCGCCTGGGGAAATTACAACGGGGTTATTGCATGGTGTGAGTGAACACAAGCGCGGGAAAGAAGACTAAAAGCGGAAAAAGGATGCGCATCATAGTTGCACCGGCAGATGAAACAAAGACACAAGCGTCATGGCAGCTGAGCAAAACAGAGAGAGAGGGACGATACAAAGGGCTTGGTGTTGAGAAGACTCCAGAAATAAGGTAGTGTGGATTTGGAGGGGTCGTGTAATTGGCCACGGGTGTTGGAGGCGCGCGTTTAAAGTATTAGGCGACGCCTGAAGTGGTTTAGTGTGTCTATTTTGGGAGTTCTGGGGATGTCTGATTGGGAGATGTACTGACGCTTGGAGATTGGGAGAGGAAGTACAAGATGGAACTCTGGGAAGAGCGCTTGGAAGGGTCTTGAAAGAGGTCGCTGGGCGTGGAGAGAGGTAGATGGCATGTTTCAGGTTGTTCTACAACGGATGACATTGTTTTTTCTGCGGCTTTATTAGGTGTTAAAGAATGATAAGATAAAATGTTATTCTAACCCTAGTAAAAGGTTTGTCCAGGATTGACCACTTCACTTCATCCGTGTTAGTCGTTACCCATCATTAGCACCGTAGATTCCACTAAGGCAAACGGCGCTAGCTCTGGACTGCACGCCTAACACCATTAAAAGCATTTATCTGATATCGAGGTGAATTTACAAACCGATATAGATCCGCAAACCATGATCTGATGGTTTCTTTACCTGTTTTAACTTGATTGAAAGTATTCGATATTGTCAGGTTGCTGGGGAAATAAAATTGGTGGCTGATTTAGAGGGGCAGAATGCTGAAAGTTGTCTCACTCAGTAGGTACCATAGGCAGACTCCAGCCAAGCAGGCTTAATAAGGAAACTTCCATCTATCAACTTAACTCTTCTCCAAAAAGCTCGTCAGCACAATCGCGAGCGCGGAATGACTTTCGCAACGCGCCGGAGTCTTCGCCGCTCGCAAACCATCGACCATGATGAACTCGCCGATACTAAAATTGGGTTTATCTCGATGCTTCCTTCCACTCAGCCAAAGCGTCGGGGACGACCCCCAAAGTCTTCAACATCGGAAAGCTTCCCGGCTCCAAGCCTCGTGGAAGGCCTCGCAATACTGCTCATCGCATAATGTCTGACAAGCAAATCGCATTCAAGTTGGGTTGGCGAATGCGGAAATCCACAATGGGAAGCGAGTAGGCGATGCCGCTCGAACTGTATTCCGTCTTTCGCGCCAGTGGCCATGGGAGTTCCTCGCAGGCTTCGTACCGAAGAACTGGGTCATCGAGATTCTGGAGAGTTTGAGGAGGCTCTTGAGAATTATCCATCGAAACTTCGCAATGCATGATCATCGGAACGACTTTCAGTTTGTCAAAGATTATCTGCGCGAATGTGCATGAAGCGCGATCGACGGCGTCCACATTTGAAGAACTGCGATATCCAGGACGCATGCGCTTATTTCACTGATGATAATCATACGAAACGCGATGTTATGCACACAACAATGACGCGACTGAAGTGCTCAATCAGAACGGTCGTGCCAGAAGACGAAGATGGATGGCAAGACTATAGAGGCTATGACCATTTCGACGACGACGACGATGATGATGATGATGATGAATATGTCGACATTGCTACTCCTACAAAGCGACCAAGGACACCCTCCTCACCCTCACAGAGCCCGAAGCGAGCACGAACGGCCGAGTCTACTGAGCCACGCACACAAACCATCACAGACATCACCAAATCCTTACAATCATTGCAGGCCCAAAAGCAAAAGGAGCTCGAAGCGGTAACCAATTCACTGGGCGAGATTGCAGCTTCAATCCAAGCAAATGAAGCAACTCAATCAAATCGCGTCAACGCAAAAATTGACAGACTATGCTCCGACGTGAAGGCCTACGAATCAGAACGCGAAGAGATCCTCAAAATTCGGCAATTCGTGGAACAGCACCACGAAGTTATGAGGATGGGAGCAGATGATCTCGCCAAGACACTACAACAATATACGTCACGACTTGAAGAATGCGATGAATTAATTGCGCAGGCAAACGCCGATGTTTTAGAAGAGCGGGATCAGATTGCGCAGAAGGATTTTGACCTCAAAGATGAGGAGGAGAGGTTGGAAGGACGTGAGAAGGAAGTTCTGGAGGAGGTTAGACATTGCAGTGTTATCGGGACGTTGATGAGGTTGGGCCCTGGGGGGATGGCGAAGTTATTGGGGAGGCTGGAGGGGAATGGTGTTGAGTTGGTTGAGATGGCGGAGAGTATAATGGATAATAAGACCGAGGGATAATGCTGTGCATCCGATGTTAAGGTTGGTGATCATGAGTCTGCGCTTATCGCGGCATCACCAAAATTGTAGCACTCACGGATTCACTCTGCATTGTATCATAAGCACTGTATCGGACATTCAATACCACGAAGCCATCTCAAGTCCCCCACAAAATACTCCATCACGACACCTACGTCTCTCTTTTCTCCCCCTATTTTCTCCATAGTTGGGCATAGTCAGGCTCCTTTCCTTATCATCTCTTTTCTTTTTATCAGACCGCCATTCACTCATCAACTGATCATCATCCAATTCCTCCAATAGATAGAAAAGTTGATGTCTCACACTGTACAGCTTCTCAGTCTCGACCGCGGTGATCAAATTCACGATGTGACACATCGTTAGTGAATACGGCTGGGCATGTCTCGGGAAGCAAATAAAACGCGGACACCAACGCGTTAGTTGATACCAAATTTGTAGTGTAAGTCAGTTGCGTGTATTTTATCAAAACAACTGAGACAAGTTATGCCAATCTCGCAATATAGCGGGCAATCAAACTCACCGTATCGTCATTTTTGAAACTCAATTACCCTCTCCAATGCACTGTGCAAAATGTCCAAATTCGACGTGAGATATTACCTCTTTGGGTAATACTTTTAATGATCTCTGATTTTTTTATTCGTTGATTCGTCGATTAACCAACATGCGTCAAGACATTTGTTCGAGACGAACTGGGCAGCATTTTTCTACACTGTTAGAGCAATAGACCTAGTCATATATCTCAAGCCCCAGCGCCATGGAAGAATGCCATTGGTAAATAGGAAGACTGGAATTTTATATTGATGTCATAGTTAGCTGATCAACTAGGATGTGAGGGTTGTCGAAGTTATCACATCTTTGACTGACCTCCTTTTTGACACATCTTCGAAAATGGTGGACTTTTAAAGAAGACGGTATGACCCGTGCAAAAGGAATGAGTATAAATACTTCAACACCTCGCGATCCAAAATGTCCATTCAGAGCTGGTCATCTGGTGTTTCATCCCTTCCGTCACTTGCTGCACAATGTCCAATGTAATGGCTAGTGATTCTTGCTGCCGTGGTCGTCGAGGCAGACCCTACGGCAGTAAGGATTCATATGCACCACGCATCAAGAGAGGATTAGCATCTGGCGACTCTTTTTCAGTATCCAAAAACAGAGCACCTCGGGCACCCGAGGCTCTATCAGACGACCAGATCAAACTGAAGCTAGACAAGAAACTCCCTCCTCCAGATCCTCGCATGTCCCTTGCAAGAGACGTCTTGAACATCACCAAGCAGTGGCCATGGGACTGGGCTGAAAACTTCGAGCCCGAGAAGTGGACCGTTGTCATGATGAGGGACCTGCGGGATCTGATCAAGGGGTTTCAGGGCAAGAAAAATCTTTACGGTGATGGGTGTCATGATCTCAAAGTCCTTCTCATTCGCTCCGCGAGGGAGAGGGATAAGCATAATCCAAAGCTGAACAGAGATGATTTGAGTAATGCCTTCAAGTATCATGATCTCGAGACCAAGGGAGAAAAGAAGCAGAAGCAAGTGTCTGTGCCCTGTGAGAATACCACAGCGATAGTCATTGTGGTTGAGGATACGCCGCCGCCAGAGACACCGCGCGTTGTCTCATTGGCTTCTCCGGCGCCCTCTTCCCCATCGGTTGTGTCCGAGTACGCGTCGGCGTCCTCTCCTGTTTCGAGGGCGTCGAGTGTCACGACGGCTACGCCGGATTCTCCAGGGGCTACACGTGCGGAGTCATCATGTCCGACCGTCCACGAAGATCAAATGGACGAGACGATGGACGAAGACTCTATGCTTGTGGAAACAGTATCAGATTTCCCTGAATACAGGAGCTCCAGCGCCGATAGGGGAGAGGACTCCAAGTCGACTAAATCAAACCCACCGCCGCAGCCCGAAAGCATGGATTCTGGACCCGAGGAGCAATCTAGACCTGAGGATCCCTCTGAAACTGCTGAGCGGCCTGAAACTCACATCAGAGAGTCAGTAGAATCAGAGATGCAAATTGATACTGAAGTGCCTGTCCACGAAGCTGTTGCTGAAAACGCTACAGAATCAAATTTGAACTCGGTAAGTGTAAACGTCTTCGAAAACTTAAAGTCAACACGTGCTCACTCGTCGTCATAGTCACAACCAACCTCTTCACTTCCTTCAACTCCTGAAGACATCATCAAAAGTCTAGAACTCCTAGAACTACAAGAAAGATCAGAAGGAGAAAAACTCATACCCTTTCTCACAACCACAAAAACCAAAGTGCAAGCCACAGAGTCCGCCATGGCAGCTACCCAAGGCCCCAACAAAAAACTCCAAGCGCTCTGTCAAAACCTTCAAATCTTCCAAGCAAGAAAGGCAGAGATCGTCGACGGCTTGTCATTTCTCAAAGAAAATCTTGAACGACGAAACGTTCATCCAGATTCAGACGAATACAGAAGAACGCTTCTGCATCACAATTCAAGGCTGCAGCACTGCGAGACTACGATACGTAATGTGCAGAAAGAAGTCGAGGAGGAATTTCAAAAGGCGACGCATAGGGAGATTGAGATCAGGGGACAGCTTGAGAAGGGGTAATGCGGAGTTTGAGCAGCTGCAGAATCAGGAGAGGGCGATTTGTCGGAATGTGCAGTATTACAGCTTTATAGCCTCGTTGTTGAGGCTGGGTCCTTTGGGGCTGGATACCTTGTTGTATAAACTGAGGTACAGTGGTATTGATATGGTTGGAGAAGCCAAGGTAAGTTCTCTTGTTCCGTCAAGGGATGGATGGTTTGACTAACTGAGATTATAGAACTCTTCGAGTGCCGTGCTGGATCACGGGGCCATGATGAACTGAGTGTATTTTAGTCAGAGGGTCTGACAATTATGAAAGACGTGTATTGGAGTATTGTGGCGTGTATTGGAACATTCTCTTCTATATGGTTATGGTTAAGGGTTTATGTATGTTTGGGTTATGTTATGGAATGGAGCGAGCGTTGCAAGACCTCATGGCTGAAAAGCCTGCGATGTCACACAGGTTTGGGACAATACCATTCTTGATTTCTCTTTCTCTTTATACTACTGAGCGCCTGCGTGTTGAGCTGTGGAGTGAAATCTGTGTGCTGGTGTTATCATGAGTTAGGACAAGGACCAAGCTCGGGGCATCTTGTGAGATTGGCGATGTTTCATGGTGGTTAGAAAAGAAATGACGTAGCGACGTTTAGTTAACTTCGGGTTGAAACGTGTTTCAGACAGCTTGAGAGAATTGCGGGTCAACCGCTACCAATTCTTGACGGCGCTTCGCCTCAAGTGTTCAAAGAATAAGTGTAGAATGCTTGAAAAGTCATAATATCATGGTATTACTCCAGATTTCATATGAGCAATACTTCCACTTCTTATGACTCCATCATCTAAAGGCTCCACCATTATGCTGCTTCGTTAAAGGCCTAGTTGGGTCTGGTTCGCCAACTGCCCCAGGGTAGGCATCAACGCAGATGACTCCGCCAAGACAACAAAACACCATCTTTAAAGCAAACCAATTAATCCCATCGCATCCCAGTCTTCTTCAACTGCGATGATAAGGCTGACCAAATACGTCGACACCCCTCATCTGCCTAGACTCCACTTACAGGCAGCTTGTGATGTTGTGAAGTGGGGTAACCATAGCAAAATACCCCTTCTGCTGCAAGGATGTAATGCAAAGTTGCCGGAATGGCTTTGGTTTTGATGGTACTGTACGAAGAGGCAAACCACTCCCCACTATTGAAGGGACAGTTAGTGGTGAGGCACAGTGGCTTCTGCGGTATTGATGCGTTAAATGGTTGCCTCTTTGGATGCAACGGCAAAGGGTGACAGAAAGTCTAGAGGATTTTTAAAACATTTTGTATTTATTTAGAGAAATATTATATTAAATGAGTAAAATTAGGTAGAGGTGAACTAAAAGAAGGAAATGTCGTGCAAATATTTTTTTTATTCTTAAATATCTTTAACACTTTACAATATATCCTCCTAATTTTATGATAAGTTTGACAAGTCTTAGGGTAGACCAGTCATTTCTTTTGTCACCTCAGGGGGCAGTTCGCTTGTGATGCATTGCCTTATGCAGGTGAGATTGTTGGTCTACGTCTACGTCAAAAGAGGCAGTGAATAAATGCGCTGAGCAGTAAGTGAATGACGAAAAAAGGCAGCCAGCGAAATATATAATCTTCCTCTTTTCCTCTCTTCATCTCAATCACTCATCATCATCCTCCATCATGGACTCAAACACCACGTCCACAAGCACAAAGAGCATCCTCGCACTGGGCTCAATCAGCAGCCTAGTGGAATCCTTCTTCCCCGGCGGCACAAGCCTCCCGTCGGTCGCATTCCTTCTTTACCTCACACCCTATCTCTTCCAAGCTGTTGGCAGCGCCGCAAAGTCACAATTTATCTCGAGTGTCGAGATTAAAGCGCATGATGAGATCTTTAACTATGTCATGAGCTGGGTTGCTCGTCATAAGCTCTCGCGCAATAACCATCGTCTTTTGGCGTCGAGCACCCTGGACCATGAGCCGTTTTCGTTGATCCCGGCGCCGAGTAATCAGACTGATGGGGATGGGGATGATGTGGATGATGTTGATCCGACTGCTAGCCTCGATGAGTTGAGATCCAAGATTTCGCTTTATAATGCGCGGCCTCTGCACTGGACTCCCTCTGTGGGCACGCACTTCTTCATGTATGAGAATCGTCTGATCTCATTCACAAGATCTGTCGAGAGTCAGGAATCGTCCCCGTTTTCGCGGCGCCCGGAGAAGATTGAGCTTTCATGCCTCGGTAGGAATGCCGACGTGCTCAAGCGCATCATTTACAATGCGCGCATCGAATACCTCGAGAAACAACGAGGCCGTACAAGCATCTATCGAGCCGTGAAGACGTATGGAGACGAACTCTCTTGGACGAAGTGTATGTCCAAGCCGACACGACCTATGTCCACCATTGCACTTGACGAGGTGATCAAGCAGAGTCTCATCAAGGATCTTTCGCGATACTTGAACCCTCGTACTAAGAATTGGTACGCCACGAGGGGTATTCCCTACCGACGAGGCTACCTCTTCTCAGGCCCGCCCGGGACTGGAAAGACGAGTCTGACACTTGCCGCTGCTGGTCTCATGGGCCTCAACATCTACATGATCAGTCTCAGCTCGCCTAACCTCTCGGAAGATAGTCTCGCAACGCTCTTCCGCGATTTACCTCGGACCTGCCTTGTTTTGCTAGAGGATATCGATGCAGCGGGCCTGACCAACAAGCGCAAGAAGCAGGAGACCCAAACAGACGGGCCGCCGAAGCCCATGCGCGAACCTATTTCTTTGTCAGGCTTACTCAATGTTATTGACGGCGTAGGCGCACAGGAAGGTCGCGTCCTAGTCATGACGTCTAACCACACCGAAAACATCGACCCGGCCTTGTTGCGCCCTGGAAGGGTCGACTTTTCTGTTGAATTCGGCCTAGCATCTTCTGATACTATCACCCAACTATTCCGACTGATGTACGGGACCTCCCACGACGAGGTTGGATCGATTGAACATGCGACGGAAGCTTCAGAGAAGGTGGCCACAACAAGGTCTGTAGCTGCTTTGGCGGAGGAATTCACAAGGTTAGTTCCGTCACTGGTGTTCAGTCCTGCGGCTATCCAGGGGTATCTACTTATGCATGAGGATCCGATTGGGGCTGTTGATGCCGTCGGGAAGTGGGTTGAGGAGCAGCAGAGGTTGATGGAGAAGGGTAGGGATGATGTTATCGAGGCCGGGGATGAGGGAGAAAAGAAGGAGACACTTGTGAATGGCACAGAGGAGACCAAGGAAGGGGAGAAATAGGCAAGCCTCTGACCTACATAACTTCCATAAAGTTTAATAAATTAGGTAGAGTTATCACATATGAGCTAAATACTTTAAGAGTTGCTACAATCTCCTCTAAAAGCTGGTTATCTTTATGGTGATATTGACTAATTTTATAGAAGCGGGCAAAGGGGTATCGGGCATGGCAAACGGAGCCCATGAGGAGGATGAAGTCAGGATCGAAGTAAAAACTGGTACTTCAAATTTAATATTATAAGGATCATAGTATAACCATCCTAGGCCTTGTCTTGACCAAAAGATCATAAATTGACATCTATTGTTCTATATCCAAGCCGTTTGATCTGTCCAAGTCTACAGCTTCCAGCGCAGCAGAGTAAACGAGTGCTTAGGGAACGTAAACAAGCCCTCGCCATTCCACTTGGACTCCTTAATGCCAACCTCCTCCTTCTCAGCAGTGTTGACAACCTTGACGTCCTTTCCACTGACAGTATGAACCTCAACCTCCTTACCCCCAGTCAAACCCCTCAGCTCCGTCTCAAAGTCCTTCTCTTCATGGATGTTCACAACAGCAAGGTTGACAACACCATCCTTATCCAGCGCAGCACTAACATCCAACCAAGGCGTCTCAATAGCACCGCGAATCCACTCAGGATGTGTAGGGCCCTGGTATTCACCGGCGCGAACATTAACAGCAATGGTAGAACCACGCATGTACTTGCTGTAGAGAAGTAAAGACCACCATGTTGGTTGCTTGAGGAGTCCGTCCTTTGTGGTCATCAAGGGAGAAATGACGTTTACGCTTTGGGCGATGTTGGCCATGCCCATGTGCTTGGATTGGCGGACGAAGACGTTGAGCCAGATTGCGACGGCGAGGGCATCGGAGAGGTTGTATTTCTCTTCGGCGCCTTCTTCGCCGGGGGCGCGGACGGGATCCCATACGTTCCACTCGTCAAAGCAGATCTTTTGACGGCGGACGGAGGGGGGGACTTTGTTCTCGATGCGAGCGAGATCAATAAGACCGGCTGTGATCTCGATAGCACGCTCAGCAGAACGAGGGGCTACACTTTGTCAATACCTCCATCACTTAAACCCTGAAGATGAGAACTTACCAGTAGCGTTCTTGTAGTGATCCTCACTAGCAGTGTAAATATGAATGCTATGCTGATCAATAAGACTAGCAGTCGTACTTCCACCCAGCCCGTGAATGTCAAACTTGATACACTCCTTGATAACATACGCGTCCCAAGAGCTGTGGCCTGTTTCTCCGCAGAGAATGAGCTCAACATTGGGATCGAGGAGCTTAATGGCTTTGGCCCATTGGTAGGCTTTCTTGGCGTAGTCTTCCTTTGTCATTTGGCCGACTTGCCAGGGGCCGTACATTTCGTTTCCGAGGGCCCAGTATTTTACCTGAGAATGTTAGTGGTGAGCGTAAGAGGACAGGAGGAGGGGGTGAGGGTACGTTGTAGGGCTTTTCGCGGCCGTTTTGACGACGCAGGTTGGCGTAGTATGTTGGTCTGTCGGAGTTGCAGTACTCGACCCATGCGAGGGCTAAGAAGTCAGTATTTGGTGTTAAGAGGGTGATGGTGAGACCGACCTTCATCAAGAGTACCTAAACTCAGTTAGTATATGTTTCTTTTATGGGGGATATGAGACTTACCAGTTCCAAAGTTTAGGGCAAAGTAAGGCTCAGTGCCAACGACCTCACACCACTTGAGAAACTCATCTGTTCCAAACTCATTCGTCTCTGTACCAATCCACGCAAGTTCAGGTCTACCTGGTCAGTCCTTTCTCACTCAATTGACTCAAGAGGCACTCACCTAGCAGGTCTCTTCTCCTTAGGCCCAACACCATCAAGCCAATGATACGTAGCAACAAAGTTACCACCAGGATATCTCACAACAGGACAGTTGAGCTCCTTGAAGGCCTCAATAACATCCTTTCGGAAACCGTTCTCATCGGACAGGGGGTTTCCGGGGTCATAGATGCCACCATAGATGCAGCGACCCATGTGTCTATATACGTCAGGGTGTGATCAAGCTGAAGGCGAGGCTGGACATACTCTGTGAAACCTCCATAGATGTTATCCTCAATCTTGGAGATGATAGCACTAGGGTCTACCGAGATGGAAGGACGCTCATCATCTGCAATGCGAGTGAACGTAGCCATTTTGAACTTTCTTTACGAAATAAACTCAACAATCTTCACAAAAATAAAAGAGAGAAGTCACCAATTTATGCCTGATTCTACCATCTCCATACTAACGGTCAAGTACGGCGAACCCCTCATCTTCCACAATCCATCAGGCGCAACATGTCACTGCGCTTGTTTAAACCCTGTATAAGGCGTTTCTTAACCCACCTTTTACCTCCTCTAATTGGCGCGCTTGTCTTCTCCGCAACACGAGACCTTCACTGCTCTCGGCCGGGAGATCCAAGTCCGGAAGCGTCTCCACTGAAGAGTCTTCGCCTAACCCGTGCAAGTCAGTCAAAACTTTGCGCACCAGTCATAGAGTCAACAGGTACGCGTAGAGGCTGAGCAGCGGTACAGAGCCGCACTTTTTGTGCGCTCCAATCGGAAGGGATCGCATGGTTTATAATCTCCGTGTTGACAGGTGAAAGTCGTCAACATCCACAGGAAGCCTTTGTAAACTCCACCAAAAGTTCTCCCCATGGGCAATTTCTCCCGCAATGACCCGCTGTATTCCACCTCCAGACCCCAGTTTCTGAACTAAAGTTATCTCACCCCATGGGAAAAACACGTTCGATGTCTAACTCAAACTTGCTTTGGGCGTCGATGATCCTTTCTAAAGTTCCTCACAACGTTCGGGTACTCGGAACGACCCTTGCAATGATACCTTACTCTACAACATGTATAAATACACCAGTAGATCGCCTCATACTTACTCACTTCAGTAAATAAACATCATCGACATCATGGCTCTTCCACCAAAGTGGTATCAATTCCTCGTTTCCGTCTTTGCCTCTCTCGGCTCTCTTCTCTATGGTTATGATCTTGGTGTAATTGCCGAGGTCATTGCCTCTGGGAACTTCAAGAGCAAGTTTGGCGATGACCCCAATGCTACGTACGTTACCTCCCTTCAGTCATTTGAGTTAAGCTAATGGGTGCAGTGGCGCCGTTGTGTCTATCTTTACAGGCGGTGCTTTCTTTGGTGCCATGTTCGCTGGTTATGCTGGTGATCGCCTTGGAAGAAAATGGACAATCATGATCGGTGCTTTGATCTTTATTCTTGGTGGTAGTTTGCAGACTGCCGCTGATCACATCAATTACCTCTACGCGGGCCGCTGTCTCGCTGGTCTTGGGTATGTCCTCTCAGAACCCCCCATATGATACACAACTAACACAATCAGTGTCGGGTTTCTCGTCATGATTGTCCCTGTCTACCAGGGAGAACTCTGCCATCCTGACATTCGTGGCCGTGTAACAGCCCTCCAGCAATTCATGCTCGGTATCGGCGCTCTCGTCGCTGCAGCCATCGGCTATGGAACATACACTGGCATCGGCGACGATAACTCAGGCCAATGGCGTATCCCACTTGGTATCCAGAACCTCCCTGCTGTGTTCCTCGCCGCTCTTATTCTCTTCTTCCCCGAATCCCCTCGTTGGTTGATTGACCACGGCCGTGAAGAGGAGGGACTTCAAACACTTGCCAAACTTCACGCGCATGGTGATGTCAACGATACTTGGGTGCGCGCTGAGTTTGATCAGATTCAAGAGCGTCTTGCTATGGAGCATGAAGCCTCTGCCAAGAGCTACAGTGAGCTCTTCACTGATAAGTCATGCTTTCGCCGTCTGTGGCTTGCTATCTCTGTTCAAGTCGCTGCGCAAATGACTGGTGTCAGCGCTATTCAGTACTACTCTGTTGAAATCTACGCCAAGATCGGTATCAAAGGTGACGAGACTCTTCGATACCAGATGATTTCGTCCGTCATCGCCCTGGTCGCTCAGTTCATCTGCATGCTCGTCATTGACAGAACCGGACGTCGCTGGCCTTTGATCGGCGGTAACATTCTCAACTGCATCACTTTCATCATCGCGACCGTTCTTCTCGCCAGTTTCCCTCCTGGATCTGAGAGCACTGGAGGTGGTGCAGCTGGATGGGGCTTCATCGTCGTCACATGGCTCTACAACTTCTCTTTCAGCGCTACATGTGGTCCTTTGTCTTGGATCATTCCCGCTGAGATCTTCGATATGAAGACTCGTGCGAAGGGTGTGTCGCTGGCTACTATGATGTCTTTTGCTTTCAACACCATGATCGGCCAGACTACATCTGTTGCTCTTGATGACAAGAACGGCATTGGCTGGAGATGGTACATCCTCTTCATTGTAAGCTCCCCTTCTCACTTTAGCTCGTAGCATATACTGACAATTTAGGTCTGCAACTTTACCAACGCCCTTTACTTCTGGGCTATTCTCCCCGAGACTGCCAACAGGCCCCTCGAGGAGATGCGCTATCTCTTCACTGAGGCTCCTTTGTTCGTTCCTCTGATGGATCAGGCCAAGTTTGCCGCTGGTCAGGATCTTGAGCGTCGCGTTGAGAGGGTTGAGCAGAAGCAGGAGCTCGAGCACCAAGAGTAGATGAGTCATCGGAATCTTGTTGTATCCGGCTGTTGCATATAATTGCGATATATAAATTCATGGATCAACTCACCATATTGACTTGCCTATCATTGTGTTCATCAGCGATCTCTCCAGGAACCAGCTCCAAGTGAAATATTTTCTCTGCATTCATTACTCGTTTCTGGCCCATCCTTTGCCATATACCAGCCATCAATTCAACCTATCCGTGAAGTCCAGTAACACATTACTCCATCATCCCAAGAAAACGCCCATATAAACCTCCTATCCCGCAAGTAACTCATCAGCAAACCCCCCAACCCTCTCCCTCAACTGTTCCAAAACCCCCTCCTCCACCCAAAAATGTCCCGCCGTCTCAATCTCTGTCCCTCGAAATTGCGATCCCATCTTCCCTTCCATTTTCGCCTTCCAACTCCTAAATCTCCCCACAGGCGCAAACCCATCTTCATCTCCGTAAATCACAAGTGACGGATTTCGCAACAGCTTTTCCTCCGCTGCTACATCCTGTGGATCTTTGTTCTTCACCAATGCTGAAGGGAGGAGAGACATAGTCGCCAGATGTGTGACCACGCCTTGGGGAGGTGAGATCATGAGGTAAGCAGGTCTCGGCATAGTGAGATCCGTAATCCTGGGGAGATGTTCTCCCGGCTCAGGCGGTATGACCGTTGTAGGTGGATTCTGATTCTGCGAAACATTCCGTGAATGTCTTCCCGCTCTCGCCTTGGCAATAAAATCGTGAACACCTCGTCTAAACCTCTCATCATCCAAAGAAAAGCTCCTCCTTGCACTAGAATGACTTCGTCGTGGACTCCCACCCTCATCACCTCCGATTCTTACACCTCGCTTACTCCTCCCCCGCGCTGACCCCTCCATCATTGCGGCGCGGGCACTCGCAAGCACAATATTCTGCTGTTCAGCAAGATGTGCAGCTCGTAGTCGAACTTCTGCGGCGTCAGAGCCTGCGATGGGTGATATGAATGGTTGGAGAATTGCATCGAGGGGGGGTATTTGCGTTACGATCATTGCGCCATAGGAGTAGCCGCCCATGAGTAAAACGGGTCGTGGCCGAGGAGCTGAAGTGACAGCTGCGTCTAAACTAATCGGCGCTTCTAACATTGTCGGCGTCGAGGGTTCGCTGTGGAGAGTATTATCGATATGCTCTCGGAAGGGATCGAGGTCGTGGACGTAGTGTAGAACAAAAGCGACAACGGTGGCATAATCGTCTCGTTCAGGTTTCGCAGTCCATGAAGTCCGTCCCGCAGATCCATGCGCACCTCTACACAATCAGCTTCAACCCCCCAATACCAACAAAATACCTACCGAAAGTTAAAAGTCCCTACCAAAAACCCCTTCCGTAGTAACTGCGCAGCTGCTTCTCCAACCACAGGATCATCATAGCATCCTCCCATGGGCGCATAAGGATGAGCCACGACAGCAGCATGTTTCAGCCATGTTGGAGCTTTCGGGTTCGCGGACAGTGAGAGCGGGTGATAGATTCGACAGTCGAGGGTGATGCCATCGTGGATGCTGGGGAGGGTTAGTGTGAGTGTTGGTTCTGGAAGCATTTTGGTCGTGTCATGACATGTTGAGAGGGTTCAATTGGGTTTGGATAAGCAGGAACAGGGAGAGATCAGGATGGCATGGGATTGTGGAGGGAATATGGGTTACGTCAAGAGCTGGCGCACAGACGGGGAAAAAGAGCCGAGATCCGGGATAATCACAAGTAAAAATAGATCACCTCAACCACGTGGCTTACATTTACACATCATAATGACAAGCAATTGGGAATACAAAACGGAAACATACTACTAATGCTCATATATATCTTCTATATCAAATCTAATCTCATTGGGCCTTCTTCTCCCCCGCATCCTTTGCCCTCTGTCTCCTCCTCTTAATCCATCCTCTAAGCTCATTAATAAGTCCCATAACCAATGGAACACCCACTGGTCCAAGCAACGGTAAATACACCGCAATCTTATGTTCATCAGGGAAGTATAACTGCCCAACCATACTCTTCTCAAAGAACGCTCGCTCTGCCTCTTCCTCTGCGATTCTAGCGTGCAGAAGGCCAGAGGGAGCGCCCAAGCTGGCGCACGCTTGTTGAAGATGCTCCATCGTTGATGCGACTCCGTCGGCGACGCTGTGAGGAATTGAGATCGAGGGGAGGGCGAGAGATAGGCGGGCGAGAGAACCGAGAGTTGAGGAGGCGCGGAGGAGGAGATCTGCTGAGCGGATGCGAGAGAGGGTAGATAGTCGCAAGGGGAGGGAACCTGATTGAGGTGTACCCAGGAGTGACAACAAGTGTCCAGTGAATGTGAGCATTGGCTGCTTGAGTGTTTCACTGGATACATGTGTCGTTGTCTCGGGGAGCGAAAGCAGGTATACACTGCCCCATTGAGGAAACATCCACGATTGTGACGTCTCTGCCTCCGAATCGAGGCCAATCTTCTGGTCGCCAATGTAGATAACAAAGTTGACAGTCGGAGCGCCAGCAATTGAAGGAGACAATGGCCATTCGGCAGCATTGATAAAAGATGCAAGATCTTCCTTGCTCAAAACTTGCGATTGAGCACCAGGTGTCGCATAAAGCTGTACCTGAGTATCAATCGTAAAATTATGGATTGGACCTAGCACATCAAGCATGGGCTTCATGTACTCCTCGATCGCCTTTTCGATATCCCATGTACTCGGTGCGGCGCCAGCTGTGAAAAGGGAGAATGTAAGATGGTACGTCGGCGAGTATCGTAGGGATCGTGTAGTTCGCTTTGACAACATGTCGACAACCTCGGGGGTCAATCCCTGTGGCTTAGCATCGGGGGCCGAAGACGTCGATAGGAGGTATGAAATGATGGACTGTTCTTCGGAGAATGTAGACTGGAGCTCATTTGCGATATATGTTGCGAGGGCGGAGGACGATGAAGATGCGGAAGGAATTGCGTTGGAGGGATACGCGATGTTGAGAACAGCCGAGTCAGGATCTAACGTAGCAGAGTTGCTTTCGCCAGGCGCAAGTTGGATCGTTAGGGCGACGTGCGAATCATCGTCGGCAGCGGGTGAAGGTGAAGCGCCCCCCTTAGGGGCAAGTTGAAGACGCAGATGATGCCCAGAGAAGTCGTTGTGATCGTCTAGAGCATGCTGCGTCAATCGCACAAGATTCTGCGCTTCATTCTCCTGAAGCGCATCTGCTTTAACAGAAATCTGAAGAGGAAACACAGGACGACAAGCCTACCCCTTCATTAGCAACCACATACCAACCCCATATTACCACCCCAGGTCCCTGCTCACCTTTCCCTCAGCCCATTGCATCATCCCATCAAGCGGAAGATTCGCTCGGTAAATCGTAGTAGTCTTCCACCATATCGGCACACCCAAACACAGCACGATCAACCAAAAGGAGATGACGATGCGGGTTCTCCTGTAAATGTCAGATGGTTTCTCAGGAGGCGGTGCGGACGGCGCCGCGGAAGTGTCTTTGACGTCGCCGGGCGCCATTATGCCGTTTTGATTGAAAGGTTGAGGCGGGGATGTTGAAGAGGCTCTTATCAGAGCTCCCTGTCGATTTGAGCGATGCGTGGAGGGATGGGGAGCTTAGCTACACGACATCACGATATCACGTGAGATCGGGGAGTCTAAGGTCCGATGCCGATAGCGATTTACCAACTCAATGGTAATGCTAACTTTGGTCAATTGTATATGTTCCTGGTTCCTTGCAATTATATGCATATTATAATATAAAATTCTCTTTTTCTTGTAGTAGTGAGGTAAAAATCCAGTTAATTCGTCAAACTCAGCGTTTGCGCCAAACGCTCTACCTTGCAACGCCAACCTTTCCAACGCTTTAAGCCCCTAACACTGTTTTGTGTTTGTAACCCTACCTACCAATCGAACGAAGTTTAGCTTAAACAGAAGAACAAACTCTATTCTTCTCATAACCGTTCTAGCCGTTCTGTTCACTGTTATCGATCAACTGCCTTCAGCGCCGGTCCATCGCATCAACCCCTGCAAAGGCCGTGCTGACTGCATCTAACAACGGGCGCTATCGTTAACAGATCGCCAGGAACCATCAATAGATCCATAATATTCCATTTCCATATTTTACTACATCCTTTATAGATCCTCCAATATCTCAACTTCCCCAGATTCTCCCCGCATCAATTCTGCTACGCCTCATTTTCAGCCGAGGCATCACAATCACCTGTTCAAAGCATACAACATCAATTATAACAAGGTTGCAGAAATCTAGTTCAAATGGGGCAATTGTCTCGTCGTGGAGTGCCAGCTGAGCTGCTTGGTACCCTTGGCGAAAAACTGTAGCATTCATGAACCAACAAACTCGTTTCTTGACAATGCCAAGCAGTTTATAGTGTTTATAACGTTTATATAAACTCTCGGTCGTCGGTGCTTTAGTGGAGTTGCGCTGTCGTCACCGTCTTATCGCTATCAGACCATCGACCCACGTCAACGACTTTGACCCTTTCTTCCTCATCAACTCTTTCTTTCGCATTAACAACAATGCCTCGTAAGTAAATCTACCAAATTGAGAGGAAATGACAATCTAATTCGTTAGTCCCTCTTTCGATATCCGCCCCCGCAATCGCGGCCTCGCTAGCATACTTCAACGCCCGATCGTCAACATGGTACGACCTCTTCCTCCTTCGCTGCGTAACCATCGCCGCATCACGAATGTACTATCGCGAATGGACCGATCGTCTCAACCTATACTACCTCCTCGAAAACATAGCTACCAATTCTTCAACATCCGATCGCGCATTACTTATATTCGAGGGAAAGCGGCTTTCGTATAAAGATGTTTACGATCAGGTATTGAAGTATGGACAGTGGCTTAAGAACGAGGGTGTCAAGAAAGGTGATATCGTTGCGCTCGACTTTCAAAACTCTGATACGTATATCTTTGTTTGGTTGGGACTTTGGAGTATTGGAGCGAAGCCGGCGTTTTTGAACTATAACCTCTCAGGAGCTTCGTTGGTTCATTGTTTGAAGGCTGCTACGACGAAATTGTGTATCGTGGATCCTAATGTTGAGGAGAATGTTGGACAAGATGTTCGTGATGAGCTTAAGGATATTCGCTTCATTGTTCATACTCCTGAGGTTGAAGCTCAGATCGCTGCAACAGAAGGTGTTCGCGCGCCGGACTCCGATCGATCCGAGAAGAGTCTTTCGAGTATGGCTATTCTCATTTACACCTCTGGTACAACTGGCATGCCCAAAGCAGCCATTGTATCATGGGGAAAGTTGATCGTTGCTGGATCAATGGCCGAGCAACTCCTTGACCGATCAAAAGGCGACATTATGTACTCTGTAAGTCCTCATCCTCCTTTTCTCAAACCATGCTAACCATTCAGTCAATGCCTCTATATCACTCCTCCGCAACAATCTTCTCCTTCAGCGCAACCCTCCTCTCAGGAAGCACTCAAGCCCTCGGTCGCAAATTCTCAACCAAGACTTTCTGGAATGAAGTCCGCGACTCGGGCGCAACATCAATCCTCTACGTCGGCGAGACTCTTCGGTACTTACTCGCCGCACCACCACAGCACGATCCTGAAACAGGTGAATGTCTCGACAAGAAGCATAACGTCAAAGTAGCTTTCGGAAACGGGTTAAGGCCAGATATCTGGAATGAGTTCAAAGAACGTTTCGGCGTCGAAGGAATCTGCGAGTTCTACGCTGCAACAGAAGGAACTTTCGCAACGTTCAACCTCAGTAAAAACGACTACGCCGCCGGCGCAATCGGTCGCAATGGCTGGGTCTACAACCTCATCATGAGTTTCTCCGTCGCTTTGGTAGAAGTAGATTGGGAAACTGATCTCCCAAAGCGCAATCCCAGTACAGGACGCTGCTACAAGGCTCGTACCGGTGAACCAGGCGAAATGCTCTTCCGTCTACCGTCAGGAAATCCATTTGGTCGCTTCCAAGGTTACTACAACAATCGCGCCGCTACAGAAGCAAAAGTCCTTCGCGATGTGTTTAGTAAAGGCGACACATGGTTTCGAACAGGCGATGTCGTGAGATGGGATAGCGATGGACGAATTTATTTTCATGATCGTATCGGTGATACATTCCGCTGGAAAGGCGAGAACGTATCTACCGCTGAAGTAAGCGATGCATTGTGTAAACACCCCTCCGTCAAAGAAGCAAACGTCTACGGCGTATCGCTCCCCCATCACGATGGAAGAGCAGGTTGTGCAGCGGTCCATTTATCCTCCGATCCCACGGGAGAAACAATGCAGGATATAGCTACCCACGTGCGCGCTGAGTTACCCAAGTTCGCGAGACCGTTGTTCTTGAGAATTATGAGTGAACTCGGCGGTGGACAGATCACGGGGACTATGAAGCAGCAGAAACATACGCTGCGAGAGGCAGGTGTTGATCCGACGGGTGATAAGAGTCTTGGAGAGATTTATTGGCTTAAGGGTGAGAGCTATGTGCCGTTTACGGAGAAGGATTGGAGGGAGCTGCAGGGTGGAAAGGTGAAGTTGTAGAGGGAGTTGCATATAGATTGGATACCCATTGTATTGTTCATTAGCATGATTTAAAGTATGTGTATAGAACGGATCCTATGAATGAGGATCGAAGTTTGGTGAAATGTTTAACAAATGAACTCATCAGACGTGATGATATGCTATTTACTATGAAGTGCTATGTCCATCAATGCTTCATATACGCTCCTACAAAATCCACCTCTTCTACAGATCGTGACTGGGTTCATTACATGTCACAATATTTTCGCCGAGTCCATCCCTAACCCACTTCATAAATTGCCCTGATCAGCTTATGATCCTGCTATTCCTAGACCAACACGCTGTTGGCCCTGTCCACCTGTGTAGCTTGGTCCCATGCCGTTTCCACCAGCTGCTGTGCCTGTTCGTTCCCTCATCCTCCTGCCCTCCATCAAGCCTCGAAGACCTCGCTTCTGTAGGCCAATTACACTGCTTAGTTCACCGTTCCATACAAAGTTGTCGCGTTCACTACCACCGATCTCTGATGAACTCCATTCTGATCCGCTCTGACTTGTTGTAGCAGACAGCTCATCGCTGGAGGGTCGACTCAATTGTTGCACATTGGTGTTGAGAGTGAGACCCTCAGTTCGAGTCTGTATATCTGATGAGAAGCTGTCACCAGGCGTGTGTCCCAGAGAAAAGTCAGAGGTGGCAGTAGGCGAGCCAACAGGATCTAAATTTCCAACAAAGAAATTAGGGTTGAGAGATCCATCAATGCCTCGGCCACCGCCAGCTGCCATGGCTGTAGCGTTGAAAACAGCCGCAGCGTTGCGACTGTCGAGCAAGGCGTGAAGTCGCTCAACTACAGCCTCCAAGAGTCCATCTATGCGGTATGGCCGGGCGATCTGGAGTAGCGAGCAAAGAATCTGTGGGGTGCAAAGAGGAGATGTCGGAGGGGGTAGAGAGCTGGTGTAGAGGAAATGAAGCAGCGCCTGGATCGTAAGGTATGTGTGTGGGAGGTAAAGACATCTCGGTCGTGAGTTTGGTGGTAGTGAGTGAGGTGTAGGCGCCGCGTTGATGTTCGTCGGATTGGCCTCATGGCCCATGGCGCCTGTGGTAATGCTTGATGCTGCGGTGCTTGAAGGGGCACCAGAAGAGCTCAGTGATGAGCCAACAGTGCTGACCATAGAAGATGAGCTATCTGCCACCCTCGAGTTTGGTGTGATTGTAATAGCCGACGCGCGTAGAGGGTTGCTAGATAGACCAGATCTAAGGGTAATGGCATCGCTTCCATCCTGTGTCGCCGTTCCTTCGCGAAGAAGCTGCACAAAGTAAGGTCCCCATCGCCGTCCGACAATTCTCGAGTTGACTGGAATGCGCTCGCCACCAATGCATAGAATATCCATATCGGCAAGCTCGCGCATGGCGAATGACTTCTCACCAAGCTCCTCGCTCGCCCTTGAGTGATATCGTCCACCCGCTGTGTATCCAGCTTTGCGCGCCAAACTCAGACCAGGCCCAGCATAAGGGCTGCTGGCTGAGATGAAACCTGAAAGCGGACTTGTCTTGCGGGGATTGTCGTAAAAGCCGAATGCTTCCAACTCGACCATACACACGTTGGAAAAGTTGATACGTCGATGATTATAGTCATCGACGAGGCTCCTTTTCCTGTTGCCCAAGATCACAAATGTGTTTCGGCGGTTCCATAAAACTCCACGATTCCAACTGCCCTGGCTGAACACGCTTCCTCCGGCGTCGATACGGCTCCATGTCAAGGTGCGCAGATCCAGAGCCCAGAGCGCATACTCTTGTCGAGACGAGGTAAGGTACGTGCCGCTGACGACGAAATGGGTATCGATAACTCCGCCGTTCGGGAATCGCAATCCTGGGGGTGAATAGTTGCCCGACATCGGTCTCTCCGTGAGCGTACCGTCTGGTGCCCGGATTTGTAGCTCGAGCTTGACGTCCAAGAAGTTGTAATTGCAGTAAATCAACATCGAAGCGCCTGGTTCCCGAGCTTCTTGACTGATACCTCCATCATGGCGATGTATGCCGTTCGATTGTCGTCGGCCAAGCTTGGAAGCCACTGAAGGTGGAAGAGGGGCGGTCACACTCCTATACGCACCCCAGCTTCTGTCCAAAGGCTGTGTGGAGGTCCATTTCAGGCTTCGCAAGTTGAAGACACTGATCTGCTCAATGTAGTTGTTCCTGCCATCCTGTCCACCAACAATGACCATTTCTGCACCACCTGAACCATCAATATTAATGCCGATTCGGCCCTCGTTAGGGTTGCTAGTCGAAGGATTATGTTGCAGAGCAGAAAGAGGAGCGCGGTGCGAAGAAAAGGTGGCGGATGAAGGGAGGATACAGGCGCAATGGGCGTAACGGCCCTGAGGAGGGTCTTGTGTCGGAATAAAGGTCCAGGCTCTGGTATTGACGTCGTAGATATAGATATCAGACATGACAGTGATTTCGGGTTGCTGTTGGTCGCCACCAGGAGGTTGATTAGGGGCGGGTGACATGCCACCGTAACAAACCATCTTGGTGTCACCCAAAGCGCACATGGAGTGAAAGTATCGAGGTGGTGGAACGTCGCCTGTTGTTTCCAGCTTGGTCCAGTGTCGACGAATGAGATCCAACTCGTACATATCCGATGTCAGAGGAGCAGGTCGACTTCTAGACAAGATCCGGCCTCCAAACACATAGAGCTTGTCGCCCAGAATGGTAGTTGTAGCTCCGACTAGGGCATGGGGCTCACGGCCAGTCGTTCGGTGAACATTGCACATGAGGCCAGATAGATGTGTTGAAGGACCATTGGAAGGCCCGCCTACGGGGTTTGACCGTCCCTGAGCGACATTAGGCGATGGCCCAGCAGAAGCTGATCCAGTACCTCTGGGTTTCAGACCATCGCTTTGCTCTTGCGAGTCATATCTGGAGGCACTCGACACACTGCTCATGCTATTATTGGCTTCGTGGGCGCCATATGGGTGCTGCGGTGGCGCAGAGGTCGACTCCATGGTGCTTGATCGGCTAGCAAAGAAACTCTCTGTCTTCGGGGGCGGTGTCGGTAGTGGTGAAGTCGATGGTGACGGATCGAAGAATTTCGGTGAAGGAATCTCCCCCTCTGGCACACTAGGTAGATTGGGGGAGGTCGAATCTTGGAGATGTATAGATTCTTGGTACGGCGGCGACCGTGGTAGAGGTTTCGACAGACTATACTGAAGGGTCAAGTTTCGAGCATGCTGAGGAGGTGCTTCGCTTGCGGGGGGTGCACTCGAGGTGGAGGAATGAGCGGAGTGTAGACTACCAGATGAGCTCTTTAAGTGCAACCGTGAAGGACTTCTCGAGAGCTTGACTGAAGGTAGCTTTCGAATTCCTCGATAAACGCCAGCAAGAAGATCGGGTGTGTATCGGCCGGTAGGTTTTTCGTCGTTAACGAGATCGGGGAAACGAGAAGGTTCGTCGCCTGCTGAATCCTGACGGATTGTTAGTTCCGGAGAATCAACCATGATGCTTTGCTTGAGGATCGTGAATAGCGAAACATGAGGCGATTGAAGTGCAGCAGTTTGCGACGGAGGGGAGGAGTAAAGGAGCTTGAACAAGGGGCTGACCAAATAGGAAGCAGAAGCAGCAGCAGCAGTCGAGGACCCAGGCTGCAGAAGACGGGAGCCAAGGCAATGGAAACGCCCGAGACGTCGCGCTGGAGATCGTGAGTTCGATCCGGTGAGAAGAGGACAGGGGCGTCACCGCCAAAGACTGGGTCCCAAGGCCACTTCACGACAGGGCCAGGCCAGATGGACAGGGCCAGGGGATCGCGAGGAGCCGGATGCTGATCAGAAAACGTGGAAGGACTGAAGCGTTTGTCAAGGTCACGTCAACGAGATACAAGGAGTGCTAAACGAGGAGAGTAGCGGGCGGGCGGATAGAGTCGTGGCGGTTGTTGGTCGCGGGGGAAGAGGCTCCGTCTGGAGACAGGACCGAGATGGTCAACCAAAGGAGGATAAGAACGACAGGGACGGGGCGGGACGGACAAGACAAGACAAGGGCAGGGCCACGCGGTGGAGGCAGGGAAGACGAAAAGGCCAAGGGATAGAGGAGGAGATGATGAAGACGAGATGGCGTACGTACTGTAGATGCTGGAAAGCTAAGGCTAGGTCGTTAATTTCGTGTGAGTCGCAAGGAGAGAGGAAATCTGGTGATGTACGGTGCGGTACGTACGGATAAGGAAGGGTAGGGTTCAGGAGGTTGGAGAAACAGAACAGTCCAGTCCAGAATCAGATGCCGTAAACGTAACCGTAACCGTAATCAAGTCACCTGCAGATATGCAATGCAAGGCGAGCAGTATGTGGCACGCACCACGCACGGCACGGCACAGTATGGTCTTTTTTTTCCTTCGTGACTGGACCGACATATGCCAGGGACAAAGGCCCTGAAGTCGTGATGAAGGGATTGAACCAATACAGTGTCAAGGTCAAGGTGGAAAGAATGGAGGTGACAAGGGGACATTTGGCAGCTGAGTGCACGGACACCAAAAGTTAAGGAGAGGGTTCAAAAGATAGTGGCCTATAAAGTGATTGATGTGACGCTGCGAATAGAGCACAGCATATAATACTTGGCAGATATACATATTCTGTTTCGTATCTTTTAATTGTATACACGTATTGTTTCTATGTTTGTTTGATATTCAATTTCTGCATCTGCAGCCTTTAGAACGTCTCCTCATCTCGTAATAGTCCCCTACAAAAAGGAAGCGGATCCATGGATGGACTGTCGACAGTTGTCAACTTGGGCCAAAGTTTATTAGCTCCTGGCACAGGCTTGGTTTCGGATACAGGGGACACGACAAAGCTTCTGGAACCGAATCCTTGAGAACGAGATCGACTATGACGACAAAGGGGTTTCGATGGGGATGTTTCAGATAGACATGATAAAATTTCCGCGGAGATGTTTTATTTTTCCTTGGGGAGAATCCGTCTCTTCTCCGTCGATAGATATTCAGGAGTCGAGGTAACATGACATTCTGTTCAAGCGCTTCGAGTTGGGACGAACCAACCAATAACATCCTCCACTCAAGCGACTGCATAATCGACCCAACTGCGGCACATTTGCAAGCGAATCGCCCAACACAACCCTCCTCCACTGTCCTAGGCCCTGCTGACTGAGAACTACTCCGTAATGGAGACACAAACACAAACACGGCTCAGGGGAAGAACTAGGATCGACATAATATGCCTGGTAATAATAACAAGCACTTGTTATTACTATAGGTCCGGGTCTTATAGAAACGGCTTGTCATCGCTTCGTCCTTAATGTTAAATCATCATAAAGGAGAATTATCGTCAAGGGGTTTCTGAACCATTTCCTCGGTCCCGTCTAATCCACGTTAGTTGACGGGGCCCCCTAAAGGAAAAACTGACAGCGCCTAGAAGGCTAGTGGAAGCAGTTGGGCTTTTTAGCGACAAGGGGGCCCCTGTTTTGTACCCAGAGAGCTGGGTTCGTGAATGTCATCACTAACATGAGGGAGGAGATAACTTGTTCATAACTTTGTCAATTGCGCATAAAACCAATAGATGGATTGTTATTATTTGTATTGCCAAAGTCCAACGACAGGGAGATTTGCTGCCTACGATCCATCCATCCAGGATTGGGTTTCCTCTAACGTTAGATGGGGCGAAGCAAAAACCACCCTGGTAGAATCCTTCAAAGCTGAGTTTATCGTCGACATGTATCCGAAGCTTTCTCAATTTTTATACCCTCCTGGTTTTCCTTGCTGGTACTATAGTTGGAATTCAATTCATCCCTGACGGTTTCTTTCCCCCTCGCTGAACGTCAAGGAGAGCAATTCGTGCCATGCATTAGTGCTCAACTCAATCGTTTTGAGGCGAGATATCCGTATTACGGACGCCAGTGAATGACAACATGAGGAGCCACAATTGGTACGGTTGAGATTAATCGACGTTCTCGGGCCGTAGATTCAGATAGAGTTGAATGCGGGGACACAAGAGCGCGACATTCCAACGGCGCCTGTTGAGGGTATTCTAGGCTGGTGATTAGTGGTCCACCAGCCGTGAAGTCGTTCAGAGTCGTCGTGAAACTCGTCTTTCTGTACTAACATATCACTAGGGGCTATGTCTTAGTCCATCATTTCCTCGCAATATTACCCCTTTGGACGACTGCGCCCTTATCTTCAGTGATATAGCAACCACTTTCCTTTTAGTGATGGAGATGACGATACCAATGGTAGACACGACGGAACGGCATGTCACCAGCGGGCCCTTGACTCGAAGGCTTTGAGTCTTTCCATAGATCATATCACGCTCCCGCCATGGCGGATCTGCCCCATTTCCAAAATTCGTTTTCTAAGTCTAGTCCGAGGCACCAGATCTGAATGTGTGGAGACATTGGTCCGGTCAGTGGCTGTATAGTCTAAGGGGTGCCTTTACAAACTTGTAACCACACACTTTCGACAAGAGAAAACAAGCGTACTATTGTTTGCTATAATAGTTAGTTTCAGTCTGCTGCATCCTAGATCGATAATGTGCGTTATGTGACTTGAAGGAGATAGTTGTGGCTGCTTATGCTGCGCTACTATGATCAAGCAAGATGACAAGGATACAATACGAACTGACTCTCACATATGTCTATACACATGGTACAAAATCTTTAGCGAAACTTGAAGACTATACATCGTGGAAAAAGGTAACGTAGAAGCGGATGTTTTCGCCTGTTAATGGCTTGAGCTTCAGTGCTCTGAGCTGTCTCTTGGAGATGGCCCAAGGGTTTCGCCTTGCATTCTTCAATGAATAGATTTGCTGGCCAAATCTGAACAGCTCTTCCTGGTTGTGACTAGATTCCAGACAGTCAACAAGTTATTACGGAGCAGTTCGACCAACATCCTTATACCAACACGTTATAGCCACGAATAGCAAGTAACTAAGGTCGGACTGCGTTGGGCCTTACCAGTTATTAAATACAGTGATATATGGCATGGATCTGCTATGGTCCTTATATTCCAATCATACACTTAAATACTCGTTCTCTTTGTATGGTTGTTGATGCATACTGTTACTTGGATGATCGACGATCTCCATACTTATGAGCGATGCTCAACAGCGGCACAGAGAAACTCCGAGTCAGCTGTGGCTTTCTCAGCTTTGAAGTTTCATATTTGTAGATCACTCTCCGGCTATATTTCATACTAATATCGGTGCCTCATACCAGGATGCGATATGATTTAGCAAACAAGACTTGCTCAAGTTGTTGCAGCAAACATGATATCTGACAGCTCCAGGTTAGCTCAGTCCACACTTAGCAATTGAGCAAACAAGTTCACGAGACAACCGGATTGGATCCCATACTCCTACTTAGAAGAAGATGCACAAGTTTTACTATGGCGTGGCCGTGATGTCGTTCAGTTTCTCCACACAATGGTGAGCCTCGCAGTTGCTGCGTTATCAAAGTGCATGTTGTCCCACCTTCCAATTGGCTCCCGTATAATGTGGTCTCACTCACTTCCTCCAACCCCGCACTCATCACCACCAACACCATCATCAAACAAAATGCCCGTGTCAAAGGAAATAGTCCAAGATATCCTAAAGACAACCCCAGCCCGCATCCGCGGTCCAGGCGGTGCCGTCGCCGTTCTCTCAGATGGAGCCCTCGTTGATCAGCGCGTCTGGGGATACGCAGACTTCAACCGCAGAATCCCCATGAAGGATGATACGCTGATTCCTATATGCTCAATCTCGAAGCAGATGCTCTGTGGATTGGTTGCGGATCTGGAAAAGAATCCTACGCCGAAGTTGGCGGAGAAGGGTGACGTGAAGGAGCAGTTTGAGGAGAAGTTGAAGGAGCTTCTTCCAGAGCTTGCCAAGACTGGGGAGTTGAAGATTGATCATTTGTGCAACAATCGATCTGGGATTCGCGACTATTGGGCTATTACTTTACTTTGGGGTGCGAAGCCGGAGGATCCTTACTCAATTGCTGAGCACAATGAGAAGGTGTTGAAGACGATCAAGTCGACGCATTTCACACCTGGAACGGAGTACTCTTACTGCAACACCAACTTCAACATCGTAGCCCGAATCGTCGAAGCTACTACTGGAGAGTCACTTTCAGATCTACTCAATGAGCGCATCTTTGGACCGGCTGGTATGAAGACTGCTCAGCTTGGCGCTGACACGGCGAAACTTCCCCCGCCTTGCGTTGGATATGAAGGTGATGAGGACCGAGGTTATATCCCTGCTGAGAACCGCATCGAATGGGCTGGCGATGCAGGTATTATTGCCTCGCTCAGCGACATGATTGCTTACGAGTCCTTCTTGGATCGCAGTGTGTTCGATCCTACAAGCTGGTACCGCGCAATCTTCAAGCCAACGTCTTTCACAGACGGTGTTCCTTCGATATACTCCCAAGGTTTGGGTCACAGCCAATATGGCAGCGTATCCGGAATTGGCCATGGAGGCGCTCTTCGCGGTTTCAGACTTTATCGGGCTCATGTACCAGAAGAGCGTCTTTCAGTTGTTGCCATGTTCAATCACGAAGCTGATGCTGCTACACTCGTCGAACATATTATCCAGAGTACTCTGGCTCTTCAGAAACCTCCGCCGCCGACGCTTGTAGATGCTTCGCCTGCTTGGCCTGGCATCTATCTCGATGAAGGAACTCAGTTGGCTGTGACGATCAAGAATGGCAAAAAGGGACAGATCGTGGTTAACTATGCTAACTACGCTGAACCTGTTAATCTGACAGACCCTGAACGTGCTGAATCTCGCGCAATGGTAGCTGTCATCAACGGCGATGATCTTCGAATTCACCGTCTGAAGGAGAACAGAACTCTCAATGCGAAGCGTCTCAAGATCGGCGATACACCCGTCGATAACTCAACTTTCACAGGAGACTTTTACTCCGAAGAGATCGGCTCAACGTTCCATTGCGTGGACCAAGGTGGACTCATGTTTGGCACGTTTGAGGGGTTCTTGGGTCATAGTCCAGCTCAGTTCATGAGATATCTTGGAGGGGATGTCTGGGCGCTTGCGAACCCGAGAGGTATGGATGCAAAGCCGCCTGGGGACTGGACGCTTGTGTTTCATCGGGATGAGAACGGTGGTATTGTTGGAGTGACGATTGGATGTTGGTTGGCGAGGAAGATTGAGTTTGTGAAGAAGTGATTGAGAAGGCCCTGGGCAGACTACGAGGCACTGGTTCTTGTACAAAGAATCCCTCGAAATGTTGAAGCAGCGCGATCATTTATGATAGAAACGGGCTCATAAACATAAATTACAATTTTACGAAGTCAAGTTGAGCAACAGACTCGTGTTTGCACGTTAGTTGCTGTAACATGATCACTGTGGCTTTGGTGCGCGGGGTAATTAGAGACCACGTTCTCAAAGCTGGAGATCTCAAGCCTGGACAACTTCTGAAGACATATACGTATTGAAGAATCGCTTTCGTGATTATCATACTCAATCCGGCTTTGTTTCTCCACCGAGGTTATGATGAATTCACAAGCTTGTGTGGACCCTGAAAGCTTAACGCCGGTATCGGTGACCGATGGCCCGAAACCCCGCGATCAGAAATGACCTCGTCGCATGAGGGACGTGTCAACAATAAGAGGGAGTTCTCATGGTTTCACGCTCATAGAGTCAGAAAGTTTGATCATTTCTTCATTTATTTCATCTCAGAGCTATCACAAATGGCTCAAATCTAGACTAATCTATTCCGGACCGGTCGTTCCATCACAAGACCTCAATCTCATGGCGTACTAATCCCCGTCCTTTGCGCTCATCTGCAAAGGTATCATAATATTAAACCGCTTTTTGTAACTTTGTTTACTGAGGGGGAAGAACCTTCTCCTTGGGGAGAGGGGTGAATCGGAGGTAAGGCTTGACGATGCGGAACTCGGGGAACAGGGTCTTGGCCTCCTCGTTCTTGACGGAGGGGTGGACGATGACGTCCTCACCGGGGACCCAGTTGATAGGGGTGGTGATGCGGTACTTGTCACCGGTCTGGAGGGAGTCGATGACGCGGAGAACCTCGGCGGCGTTGCGGCCGGTGGAGGCGGGGTAGGAGAAGATGGTGCGGATGGTCTTCTTGGGGTCGATGATGAAGACGGATCGGATGGTAAAGGCGATGCCCTTCTCATCGACGTTGGTAGCATCCTGCTGGTCGATCCTAAACACCATTAGCTTAATCCAATCATGATCTGTGTAAAGAAGACTCACATGTCGTAGAGGAGAGAAACCTGGCGCTGCTTATCGCCAATGATGGGGAACTCGACGTTGCCGCCGGTAACCTCACCAATGTCCTTGATCCATCCCTCGTGGGACTCAATAGTGTTGGCGGAGAGACCAATCAGCTTGACACCGCGCTTGGTGAACTCAGGCTGAAGCTTTGCGAAAGCACCGAGCTCAGTGGTGCAGACGGGAGTGTAGTCCTCGGGGTGAGAGAAGAGAATGACCCAGTTGTCGCCGATGAACTCGTGGAAGTCAATCTTGCCCTTTGTGGTCTCGGCCTGGAAGTTGGGGGCGGTAGAGCCCAGACGAAGGGGAGCGGGAGCAGACATTTTGTGTAGATTTTTGTGTTGATGAAAGAAATATGAAGAGAAGAAGGTGTTAGTTTGGAGGGAGGGGTGGAGAGGGGGGATTATATAGGGAGATGTGGTTTCTCGGGGAGGGAGCTTGGCTTAGCTTGCACCTTGTTGGAGCAAAGGTGTTAGGGGCAGATTGGAAGAGGCTTGCGTTATTATGCTAAGATGACGATCTGGGTTGTTTGGCCGGGCAATTTGAATACGCCACGAGGGTAGTGATATTGGTGATTGGAAAGCCAAGCTTGGGGGGGCTCGGATGTTGGCGTTGGCGTTGTAACGGTAACCCCTCAGACCTTGAATAAACCATCCCTCATACGAATGCATCCTATTTTCGAGTAACTAACACATGTTTACCTATATTATTTTTATTGTCACTTATTTACTCAAGCTATCCCAGTCATAATATCTCTATCCCTCATAATGAAGTTCTACAAGGTCTAAAGGTCCATCATGACAACCCCGCCAAAAAAAGAAGCATCGCGATACAGCACCCCTCACTAAAAAGGGTGTGCCCCCACCATAATCAGCCCCTCACTTGACCCCAGAGGGGCAAGGCTCACAATTGCGTGCTGTGGGTGTGTGGTGATTGGTTGGGTCTGGCACATTGTGCCATCGGGCACGGCAATGCTGCCATCGAGCTGTTCCTGACGCAATTGCTCTCCATGAAGAGGCGATGGGCCGGGGGGACTTGTGGAGGTTGAGGTTCGGAAGTCGGGGTTCCTTTGAAGGATCAGTGAAGCTGTTGTTAATCAAGACCAGAGGAAAGTGAGTTGTGTAAGTTGAAGTATTATGGGAGACGTTGGGTTTTACATACTATGTAGTATCTTGAGGCGAAACTACTCTCTTGATTGAACAGATGAAATGGTGGTGTTGCGGTTCATCGCTGATGGAACAAACCCCGCCTGTCAACCAACCCATCTTCACAAGACGCCATGACAGCCAAGCCTGTCACACAACTATCTCATCACATCGCGTTACAGCTCAGTATGAAGATGCAATCGCAATCACAGACACCTACCGATATCCAAGACAATCCATACCGCCCGAGCCGACCGGTGCTGCTGTAGCGCTGACATTTTTGAATTCAGTTCAGGGTAATCGGCGAGCCTAGAAACATTTAGAGCATGAAGGGCATGCGAAGGTGAGGCTGGGATCGTATTGAGGATCAGGATGCTGCAAATGGAACATTCAGTTTTAGTGCTTCTTTATGCATGTAATAATTATAGCAATGCTTACTTCCCATTGAGTTCAAGTACCAGCATCGTCCAAGCTCGTTGAGTCGAGGCATGTCAAACAAGCAAGGTGCTCGAGAAACTTACTTCACAGCCACGTCAATATAAAGCCGATGCGCGCAAGACCTTTGATCCAGTCTCGCGACAGCCTTGGAAGTCTGCAACGCATCAACAACCTAACCACGACCCAAGCGCACGGTTGAATGAGGCGGATCTCAACCAAGAAATGGATGTCAGCTCCATTCATGGATACGGCTGACACCCTAGTCCTTCAACAAACAAGATCGGGCCGCGTGGCCTAATGGCTAAGGCGCTAGATTTCGGCTTTCGAGCAAATCGAGAAATCTCTAGAGATTCCAGGTTCGACTCCTGGCGTGGTCGATTTTTTGCACTTTCCCACAATTTTACTTCCATCCTTTTTTATCCCATGTTTTAATTAATTCGATGTTTCAGTTTATCTGGAGATGACGTCTGCAAGGGATATTATTTTTCAGCTCCTCCTGTCACCAAGTGTCTGGCTTGGCTGTTTGATTTGACTGTGACAGAAAGTTAGAGTTGCCAAGCTCATCTTGGCAGTGGCGTTGTTTTTATGCATCATTCTAGAACCGAGGCGTTTTAAAGATCGGTAAGCTTAAATTTGCTTCTTAACTCAATCACTCTTTCAATAACGCATCACTCAATAACATCAACCCATAAACATCATCTCATAGAATAATCTCGCATGACTATCATCTTCGATCGATCATCACTTTAAATGAATCATTCTCAGCCACAGTGACATCTTCATCATCCAGTGGAACCTCACTCATTGCGATCGCCTCAGGCTTATTCGCATCTGATACGTGCAAACCCACACTCCGAAACCAAGGGACCCACGATCTAGTGTCAGAAGTTAAATAATCCCGTGCAATAACTGCCGCTTCTGTTACGCGTCGGACCCTATTCCTTGTTTCTTATACACTCCGACATCAAATCATGTAGCAGGTAATTAAGGGGTAGTGGAGAATGATCAACACTGTGGTTTTTTTCTGGAGCGATGTAATCGCAGGACGGAGTGTTTGGGATCAGGAGCTTGAGTTTTATAGAGTGTTGCCCCAGGTTGTTCAATTGATGCTGTTTTTTCCCTTTTTCTTGTGTTCTGTTGTGTTGTGTTGTCTTAGCCACTCTTTTGTATTTTCCTTTGAAACGTCGTCTTGATGATGATGTCTACAATGTCGCGTTCTCCATTGATGACGTGCGTTACCATCGCAGCCATTCTCTCTTTTTTCATCCTTGTTTTCACATTTTTCCAAGAATCATTAGAAGTTCCGTGGGTTTACGCACATAACAAAGCTGAAGAGTATTGGGATAATGCTTTCTCGTATCCGTACGTCAACATTCCTTAGTCTCTTCGACCGTTGGGTTCCCCCGGAATTGATGACAGCACGCGAAAAACCTTGGCATTGTTCTTGGCTTGCGCTAACGATTGTTTAACTTTACTACAGATCACCACAGAACAATACCGCCTCCAACAATTCTACACCCGAGATTCCAGAGTTAAACTGCGAAGATCCGTATCGAAGACCTGGCTATCTTTATATTCCAGCTGATATAAACGGTACCGATCAGTACAAAAAGACACAATGGATTCCTTTTACAGATGATCTGCTTGAGGCGGATGCGCCCGATTATGCAGTCTATCCTGCGGCTGGCGAGGTTATCTTTAATGCGACGGAACCTGAAGATGCATTCGTCAAACTTGCTTCTACACCGCGACAATGGCTTGCTGAGGCAATTGCTGAGAGTACCCGACGAAAGAAGGCGATAAACGCCAATGGCGAGGCGAGCGTCCAGGCGTTTGCTGAAATGAAGGATGACGGCGGCTTTGGCTGGCTCTGGGGTCGTCGCATCATTCTCTTCAGCGATTCAGTCGATCGATTCATGATGCAATTCTTCTGCGGCGAGTTCAAGCGCGGCATGAAGCAACCTAAGCCACACACCATCGCCTCCTGCGATATTCCCGAGTTCAACTTGACGTTCCACCATTGGCACTTCGCTGGTAGTATGACATACCGTCCCGATTGGTGGTGGATGGATGACATGGAGGAAATCGCCCTCGAAGAACGATGGGATAAATACTGGACTCCTCTCCACGATCAAGTCCGCGGTCCAAACGGACACCCAGATCTAATCCTCTGGCAAAACGGCCTCTGGGACCAACGAGCATTCTGGGAAGCTGGTGAAGCTAACCATGAGAAAGATGTATATCCCATGGGAACGCGCGTTCGTCAATTAGTCTGGCAAGAAATCCGTTTCGTCGCTGCTCGAATCCGCACGTTTGTTGAGAGAATACACACTGAATTCGGGGACGCACCTGTTATGTTCCGCGCTATGACTATGCATCGAGAGAGCGATGCTAGAGATGCGAGTATTTATGATCTTGAACGACTTGCGCGTGCGACGGCGGAGAAGGCGGGCCATGAAGTGTTTGAGTGGGGACGCTTGATCTCGTCGTTGTCGATGCTGTATAAGGATCAGACACATCCGGGCAAGGGACCCGCGAGCTGGCTTTGGGGAAACATGGTGCTTGAGTATCTTGCGAGAGTTGGGGGTGCGGGTGATGAGAGGAGAAAGCCGTATTTCGAGGGCTGGGATAAGTGTCATGATAAGTTGGTGCATTGGGGTGGACGATAGACTGCATATATACACACATACTTTATGACAATAAACTAATATAATGTTCAAAAATAATTCTGTATAATGCTTTGTGAAGCTAGCGATTTACGTTGAACGTTGAAGATACTGTCGCTGAAGGTTGGGCTTACAGATAGTTGGGGATGGTCTCAATAAGACTTCAGACACAGACAAGACACGTGCTCTTAACACTCACTGGCGGAGGTCCCGATAAGGAGCAAATTTAGACGCTCTTTACAGATACTTCGCATATTGCGAATGCAGGCATTTCGTGAATTGACCAGAATGTAGTAACAAAACAGTTCAATTGCTCGCGTACGTTGAGTAATGCCATTCTATGTAACCAGTCTCTTTCATCACGCCAATCCGTCCCATTAACTCGTTGAAAGCCTGTAAGTTTTGTCTTATAAATGGATAGCCCCCGTGCCATTTAACCCAAATTTCTCTTATTCGCGCGAAGTAGCTTCCACCAGGCTCTTTGAGAGTTCCTTGACCCTTGCGACCGCGACCGCAGCCCTCTCAGCATCAGGTGCCTCCGATGTAAACACCAGCGCCAAGACAAGAGCAGCATCAAGCCTCAGCAGACATTCCTCTTGCGCAGTGACATCAGGCCAGGAGGTTATCTCAGTGTAGCCTTTCACAAAGCTCTCGTCGAGTTGACTGAACTCCAGCGTGCGAAAGAGGTCAATGGCTGCTGGGCCGACGAGCGCGTTTGTCCAGTCAATAACAGCGCTTATTCGTCCATGTTTTTGACGAAGATTTACGTCGCGAAAGTCCATATGCAATAAGCTTGAAGGGAAGCGCTTGAGGCCTTCGAGGATGGTGTGAATGAGTTCCCAGTTTGTTACCCAGCCTGAAGCTTCGGGGACTGTTTGCGACAGCACTAAGAAGCGTCTTTTGAGTCTTTTTTCAATAGTCGAGAACACATCGGCAGTTTCGAATGCTACTGTCTTCATTGCTGTATCGGTTAATGGCGTTGAGTGAATCATTGCCGCTACACGTCCCATCTCCTCAAACGTGATCCCTATCCCGTCGTCGTCCACGTACTCGCACAACATGGCTGGATAGCCATCTTCCTCAAGGTACTTATATGACTTAGGTACAGGTACCGAACCATCTTGAAGAAGCTTGTAGATCTTCATCTCTTGTTGGATGAGATCACTAGAATTGGTGTTTGGGTCATTGGCGTTCTGGTAGACCTTGACTCTGGGAACTCTGAGAACGACTGGGCCATAGACTGGCGAGCTTGCTTTATAAACGAGGCATTCGAGACCTTCACCGGCGATTTGGACGTCGGTCAGGTTCTCTGCCTTGATGAAGTGCTGAGCTACCTCCATTGCCATTCGCGAATGCTGACTTGCTTGGGCTACCGAGAATAATTTTGTGATTTTGGCTTTTTTCAGAGAAAACTATCAGGAATATGTAGGTTTCTTCTTGGCAGGAGATTCCGGATGAGGCTCGTATATGCGCGTATAGCTTAGCGTCGAAGGATCGCGAATGAGTCACAAAAGAGGTGAGATCTAAATGAGTTAGAATCCACTTACTGATTCGCCAACCTTCAATTGCACAACGATATCTCGGAATGCTTCAAGCGATAGCGATAAGAAGCAAGAACCTATAGATACAATTTTAAAGAATAGACTGTATTGCTATCATAGAATGTAGTAACCATAAGACTGAGTTGCATGGTCTTGTTTAGCTCTTTCGTACCAGCTCATGAATCATCGCACCGCAACAGACTGCCCCAAAAGCAAATGGGCGAACATCCTACGAGTCATCTTCCGATAATTCATCCCAAAAAGAGCTCACACTTCGCGCCCTCAAAATCGAAATAACATCGGGTCTCGTTGCACGGAAGATGAACTCGGGTGGCGGGAATATACTCCCGGCCTCTTGTTGAAACGAGATTCTGTATCTCTCAGATAGTTCTCTGAGGTTGTCCAAGGTGTAAGGGACCTTGGAAGCGTCGAAACTGCTCTGCAAGAAGGACCGAAGTTCGGGAAGCAAACCAGCTCGTTTTTCTTCGCCCAGTGCCACCATGGGCCTGTACATGCCCTCATGGAGGTGTTGTGAGTCAATTCTGACTTCAACAATGGAAGGGGGGAGAAGTTTGACCAGACTTGTCGGGTCGCGGGCCTCCATTTCCATACTTTCAGTGCCAATGGTAAAAAGCGAGGTCCCACCGAGAACCAATGTGTTGAGTTTGCTGAACTCTGGCTCTCTGAATGAGCCGAGAATTGTGCTTGGCCCGGTGATGCCTGTCTGCCAGAAGTATTCCAGGTAACGCAAAGTCGATTGAGACTTTTGGAGTACTCCTGGGAGTGCTTCAGGCGTTATCGTTGCACGAGTGCGGTGATGGAAGATGCATATGAATGACTCGAGCGGACCGCATCTCTCCAGGACCCCTCGAAGAGTATGTTCGGATACAGAAACGTTCAGGAGCTTGAGACATGTGAGATATGCGAGGGGCACTTGAGGAGCTCCCTACGTCTTGACAACCCACTCGAGTTGACCGAGCTCGATGGCAAGTGTCTTGATATTTGGTGCCATAACGAACAAGTTGACCACGTTGGACAAGTTGCAGGGGTAGTCGGGCCGTGACCGTCCGGTTCCAAGATACAGATATCGCAGAAAGCCCAGACTTTTATCGGTTTTCAGTGTCTGACAGTCGGCGAACCCATATCCATACCCACGGTCCATCAGAGAGAGTAGCTGAAGCTCAGGAGTCCTGCATAGTAGCGTGTACAGCGGAAAGCGGTTGGGCTGATACGTGAGGCTGCGGATCTTGGATCTCTGCTCCATGTGGCGACGCTGATCCCTCAGGAATTCACTGATCTTGTCCTCGGACCATTCGACTGCGTTGATGTTGTGTAAGATGATGCAACCTCGTTCAGGGGCCGACAAGTCCGTGCGAGGCTCACAAGGCCGGTGATATCCTCAGCAGAAGTCTCTTCTCATTGCTTGTTGGGATTAGGAGTTGTGAGTGAGTTTGGGTGGGGATAGTGACTCAGATGCTTGTATTTGCAGTGGCTGCAGAGATACCAACATATGTCGGCCAGAATCTCTGGGGGCATATGATTGAGAGCAGGTTTGATCATGATGAGCTGAATGCGAGACGCATGAAGGAAAAAGAAAAGAAGAGAGAAGATCTGGTGGGTTGAAGGGGATTTATGATGACTTATTGTTACACAAGCAAAGGAATAGTGACGCGGTGATTGGTCTTGACGCGTGAGGGAAACGCGTGAATGTTGAGATAGCCTATGCTGCTGAGATATCCTGCATGCTAGGCTGCATTGCCCTAAGGCAACACAAGAAGCCACAAGAAAATAAACGGTAAAATTGCTTTAGATGCAGATAAACAATATTGCTGTCGAGATCAAAGTCGACGGCTGGCGTGACAGAGCTGTGAAACTATACGCATATCTCTGGGAAGATGCAGAGAATGGTAACAGATACCCGATGCAACATTCGTTCTCAGTTATCGAATCAGGTAAGAAGCACTAAGAATACAATCAGACTGCCAGTAGATTAATGGAGAACGTAGTTCTAGTTCTAAATGCTTTCCTGCCCTTCAGCTCGCCCATATAGGCATCCTATCTCTACCGCTATCTATCCATAAACTCGAATGAACTAGTACAGCACCTCTACACTAAAGTGTCACGTACAAAAAGTTCCTTCTCGTATACACAGAATGACACATTGCATCGTCTGCTTAGCTTTAACAGCCTGCCATGCAAGAAGTTCCCTTTCCGTCGAAGTTTCGCCGTCGAAGCCCCTCCAGGTCTCGATATGGATCATTGTCTAGTCGAAACGGACCATTGCCTAATGTCTGCATGATTGCGAGCGTGAAACCCAGCTTCATGCCGAAATTATACTGTCGGACCTCTTTCAGATTCGGAAATGACCCGTTTCTTGTAGCCTCGGCCAGTGCGCACATAGGCTCGTAAAGGTTTTGGTATTTTGATTCGATAGTGACGCTGTGGATTGATGGTGGAAGCAGATCAACAAGACATGATCTGAGTGGGATTCTCTTCTTATCATCTTTGAAGGGGAAGTCTTGACCGCCGAAGATAAATGTTTCAAGGTTGGTCAAGTCTTTGAGCGAGCTCATGATGCTCGTTCCAGAAGGATAAGGCCCCCAGTAAACTTCGAGGTAGCGTAGTGTGTTCTGGCGTAAAGAAAGAACTTGCGGCAGTGTCTCGAGTATCACGCGATCTGCACCCAAATACGGCAGTGGGGATGGAGCTTTTGAGTTAAAGAATATGAACGACTCAAGCCGTGGGCATGAATCAACAAGAAAGCTGAGATCCCTCTGGCTAACAAAGGTGTTGACCATTTTGAGACATTTGACATTCCCAAGTCCCGTTGATCTTGACGACCAGGACAATATACCAGCTTGGATGATCAGCGTGTCGATCTTGGGCGCCTGCTGGAACAGGTCGGCAAATTCCAGGTTGCAAGGTTCTGCCCTTCCTCCGATAATATCAGGACCCTCGATGTGTAGATACCGCAGTGACTCTAGCGTTGTTGATTCGGGGATATTGATTTTACGCTCGAAGGAGAGGGTTATGTGCAAGAGCTGAATCCTCGGCATCAGCTTCACCATGTCATTAAAAGTGATACCGCGTTTTCGACGACCCAGCAATTGATTGTTCAAATGGGTGATTTCCCTGGTATACGCCAAGCTGAGACTGCGCACATTTTTGAGGGCATCGGTGCGGTAGTCTGGGCTGTAGACGGGAAATCTCAAGTGATCGATGACACCGCTCTTGGAACTGACGCGGTGGTAGAGATGGGAGAGGGCGAAGGTGTTCAGCGCTTGACATGTCTCAGAGAGGTTGACGAGAGCTTTGACTCCTTCAGAATCATGTTCCCAGATTTGACTTGGGCAAGGTGTGACGAGGGCTTGTTTGTGGGGGAAGTGGGATAAAGACTCGGTTTGACAGTGGCTGCAAAATAACTGGCATATTTTGTCAAGGATCTCTGGGGGAAGGGAAAGTAGAGCCATGGTGATGACTATGAAAGGGGATATGAGTTTGGGAGATTGTGAGGGATGAGATAGGGAAGGAATAGGACAACTAATAAGATACACCAGCTAGACCGGTGCATCAGAATAAGCAAAATAAAAACAGGCACAGATTTCAGGAAGACTGTATGCAATAGCCCGTAAGCCACTGTTGTACTAGGAAAGGGGGCGCTTTTTTTGGTGCGCCGGCGAGGCTGTCAACTGAGACATCAGTTCTCAACGGCAAACAACTTGGTAGCCAACTCAGACGAAATATTTGTGTAACGCTCTTATTACATTTGGTTGGCCAGGAGTGAGCAAGATGTGTCATAGACGATGCTGGGAGTTTAAAAAGGTTGTAATACGAGGAAACAAATTGAAAGCTAACGGCATTATGCAGAGTCCGTTTCATGTTAGATGAGGATGAGAAAGAAGAAGGTTTTTGGAGATCAGTATGCTCCAGGATGTATTTGACTAAAGATCTAGAAGTTTGGTAGCGTCTTGATATAAGGATTTCCTAAACTGTACAAAAGACCCGCTAATATCCAAGGCGGTGATGTGCTTCCATCGCCGCTGCCCCAGGAGTGCTTGACGGTGTCTCAGCCGGAGGAGCAGGTGCTGAAGGTGCAGGAGCCGAAGGGGCTGGAGGGCTTGCAGCAGGAGGACTCTCAGCAGGGGGTGCAGGAGGAGCCTCTTCCTCAGCCGGAGTAAACGCTGCCTCTGCCAAAGGAATCTCTCCAACTGTTCCGCCTGTAGCTGCACCAGCGTCGACGTTGGCCAGGGCACCGGCTGCCTTCTTGGAGAACTGGACCAAGTTTTCCTCAGAGGGGCTATGACTCGTTAGTAGCTGTGTCGTACAGAGTGGAGTTACGCTTACGGGTTGATGGCCATCACCTGACCAATCTGACAGTGCGGCCCAGTAGCACAGTACAGATAGATAGGCTCCGTGTTGTTGAGAGGAACATTAAACGTTCCAACGGTAGTCTGGCCAGCCTCGAAAGGGATGTGCCCGCTGTGAATAACTCCAGACTGTGTAGCCTGGAGTGGCTGGCATGGGGAGTCTTCAGAGCTTTGAGTGACGGTATGGTTTCCAGAACTGAACTGGAACTGGATCACGTCTCCGGCTGCTGCTCGAATCATATTCGGAACGAAGGTATCTTGAGCACCGCCAACGACGACGGGGATGATTCTGTTGGCTCGGGCCTCGAGAGGTGAATTCTTCCTGACTGGGAAGTGTGAGTGAGAATCCTTTGGTGTGTGATGAGGGGACTTACTCGAGACTGGCTGGTGAACTTCAAGCTCGTGGAGTTCTCGTGGAGACATTTCAACGAGAGGCATAGCAGTAGCAACCGCAGCCCACAAGAAAACCTTGGCCAACATCTTGAATATTAACAACAAAAACGAAACTCAAAAGCTGGTTGGTAATGAGCGAATCGTAAAGAAGGTCCAGCCAACTAGCAGTTCAAATTCAAATCGAATTAGCAATTATAAATCCTCGCCAGGAGGGTAAAAAAGAAGAGAATTTCAGTAACTCAAAGAGGGTAAGAAGGATAAACTGATCTGTGAATCAGACCATTATTTCCGGCTGCAACTCAGGATGATCTTATAACATTTTCAAATTGCTGATGATCGGGCACACGCCGAGCCTCATCTCTGGGCCGAAACTCGAGCTGAGACAGAAATCTGAATAAAGTTGCTCTTTCGCAGAATATGAAAAATTCGCTAGCAGCCAAGATGTTTTGCAAACTTTGCTTGTTTCAGGGTACGGTTACGTGGGTGTTGGAAATCGCCGAGATTGTTTCATCAGCCACTTGGAGATATAACCGAGATATGGTTTTGAGTAATATTTCATGTTTTACGTGTTGATTCATGTTTTAGAGTGATATTTCATGTTTGCATGCATTAAGAACAGTGACAAATTGATATTGGGTTTTGAAACGGGTATGCGTGGCTTTCGGTATGTGGGCAGACATGTCGGGCTTGGCGATCTTGATAGAGGTTTGATGTGATGTTGCATGAGTGATTCATCTGATAAAGCGGTTGTAATGGCCAGAAAGGGATGTTTAGGGGCCGAGCCTTTGAGCCGCAGGAGGTGAAATGATTCCTGATCGCCTTCAAGCTTGTTTCACCAACATCAGGGAATGAGTGGAGATGATGGTAATGTTAACCATAAATACAGACCACTGCCACTTTATAGGCTTATCAATTAAGTTTAATATCTGTTGCGCATGAAAGAAAGTGTTACAATGAGTTGGCATGATGTCACGGAGGTGAAGCATGATACAGTCTTGATCGCGATGAATCCAGTGAGGTCACACCAGCCAGCCACTTCACCTATCGCAAGACAAGACCTCTGCCTATCAAATTCGCACAGCTATTCTGCAGACTTACGCTCAATCTCCCATGAGGTCAGAGCAAGGACTACCCCGTGGGGGCATTCTCATCCCCGCAGAACCCCAACCCCAATTAGCCTGATGTTACTCCCCCGCAAAGACCCCAATCTGAATATCGTCACTTTGCCGATATTAAATTCCAATTCAACGCTGTCGTTGGTGGAATTTTAATTACCGATCGTGCCTTGACAGACTAGTGAGGTTCCATTACCGGGGCTCATCGAGAATTATGTTAACTACGGCATCGAATATCCGAATAAGCTTGCTGTTAATATACCTTCTCGAATGTGATTTGTGGATTTTAACGTTTGAGTTTGCATTTGTTATATGCTTTGGGGGTTTAAATGAAGGAGGATCGTCCAATGCGAAGCTGAACTAGTAAATTTGTATAAATGGCTGTTGGACCGTAGTATTTTGGTTTGCTTATCGTGTCAAGTATCTCGACATGAAGGGCTTCATCCTCAAGACGGCTTTTATCGCCGCGACTCTCTTTTCTACTGCGACTGCATCCCCCAAAGGCCCCGTTGATACCTACAAAAAATGTCAACGCCAGACAAAGCGTGCTACGGAAGGTTGTCCCAAGGGAACTCTTTTCGTAGCCAAAGATGATCCACGAGCAGACTTCGCCTCTATCCAAGAAGCCATCGACTCTTTGGGTAACACAACAACCGCAGGCCACATTCTCATTGCTCCTGGCAACTACAGCGAGCAATTGAATGTCACACGCCAAGGTCCCCTCCATCTCATCGGCGCTTCAAACAAACCCTGGGTCAAGGATCTCTATGCCGATATTGACGTCAACACCACTACTCAGAACGACGTCCAGATCTGGTTCAACCTTGCGAATACGAACAATGGGAGTTTGAGTGATAATGTGTTCACGAGTGTGCTCACCGTTGGACCTAATTTCAACGCTACGCTGACCGGATCTGGTCCTACGGGTTTTCCTGTGCCTGCGGACACGCCGTTCGGATGTACGGATTTCAGGGCGTATAATATTGACTTCAGGAATGATTTTGCGCCAAGATCTTCTGGGCCGGCGCATGCGGTTGGTGTGAGTAGGGCTAATGCGGGCTTTTACTCTTGTGGATTCTACTCTTATCAAGACACCGTAAGTCACCGCACTCAAGAATCTGGTACATAGCTGACTTGGTAGGTCTATGTCGGAAAACTTGGAAACGCTTACTTCTACGACAACATCATCGCCGGACAGACAGATTTCCTGTATGGATTCGGCACAGCATGGATTGAGAAGTCAACACTATCTCTCCGAGGCTGCGGAGGTGGCATCACAGCTTGGAAAGGCACCAACACAACCTTCACCAACAAATACGGAGTCTACATCGACAACTCCCAGCTCATTCCTTCAAACTCCACCATTGCTACAAACTTTGTAGGCAAATGCGCTCTCGGCCGACCATGGAACTCACAGCATAAATCCATCTTCATGCAATCGTACTTTGATGCTGTGATCTTGCCTGCTGGGTATATCGAATGGAGCAAGTCGACACCAAGAGTTGATAATTATACTTTCATGGCGACGTGGAATGACCATGGCCCGGGATACAATGCCGAGGCTGAGAAGGCGAGTAATGTTACGAGGGTTTTGACGGATGCGGAGGTTAAGCCTTATAGAGCACCTGCGGATGTGTTTCAGACTCCTGAGGGAAAGTTTGGACATGTCAAGTGGATTGACAAGAAGGCTTTGTAGAAGAGTTTCGGCTCGATTAGGATTAGGAGAAAGACATCTTCCGCGGCTTGAATACATCACATGTGATTCATCACCAACACTCGGCATCAGAAGCCGAACCCTCAACCCTCCATTTGTCCGAATGTCTCACACTGTCAGCCTCAAGCAGGGCTACGTGCTATGTCTCAAGCCATTACGACTCTGAGATATTATTCCCGCCTTACTTTCGTGATTTGACGTCAAGAATTAACCGCTGCCAAGTCAATGAGGATCCCCAAAGCGAGATGAGATTTGAATCCATCATGCAGGGGTATAAACTCTGTATCCAATGGTGTGTTTCACTTATTTAATTGCCCCAGATTTAGTTTGCGGGGTAAAAGACGCTAAGATTAGTGGTTGGATGATCAGGATGGGGACTTGATCTTCACATCAGAAGAAGAGAAGATGCTACAATACATGAGCATTGGCCTCTATCAAGGAATCAGATATATGATCCAAGTAAATAATAGAGGAGAAAGAAGCAAAATGTCTTGAATTAGCAACTTATTAGGGCGGAATAGCTCCCGAAACTCTAGGATTATCTATGTCATATGAAGTAATATTATTGACACCAGTGACAAACTAACCAGTTATATCCCAACAAACAAGCCACTTCCTCATCCCCGGAGGAAATGTTCCCTGGTAATAAGAATTTTTCAACGGGTTCCGTCAACACATGCCCCCCCTGCCTGATCTACAAATCTGACATCTCCCTCCTCCACTTTCTCCTCTTCACCCTTCAACCTCGCAGTATGAGCTGACGAGACATTCTGCCTTCGAGGCGCCTTCGAAATGGGCTACTCAGGCGGCGACGACCAACGTAGCGCTTCGATAACAACACCCATTGCAGTCTGTATGGGCATTTCTCTCTACAACGTTATTGAGCTCAACGTTCTTATCCTTACTACGTTCAAAACACGGAAGAGCTTGTACTTTTGGAGTTTTCTTGCTGCTACGAATGGAATTGCACCTCATACCATTGGATTCCTTCTCAAAAATCTGGTCTTTTCTGATAACTTTATCCTCTATATCACGCTTATTTCTGTTGGTTGGGTTTTGATGGTCACGGGCCAATCACTGGTTTTATACTCCCGACTACACCTTATTTTCTGGAATCAGTTTATACTAAAGCTCGTGTTGGCTATGGTTATCACCAATGCTGTTGTTTTGCATATTCCGATTATTATTCTTATGTACGGCGCCAACAGCAGCGACAAGAATCCATGGGTACATCCTTATCAGATCTACGAGAAGATCCAAGTCACGGTGTTCTTTTTTCAAGAACTCATTATCTCGGCAATTTACATCAAAGCGTGTTCTTCGTTCTTTGGGACAGAGGGGCTTTTATACCGGAAAGGTGTTCGACGAATGAGAAGGCATTTACTCTTCGTCAACGTTATCATTATTCTTCTCGACATTCCGATCTTAGTCCTCGAATTTGCAGACTTTTACGACTTTCAGACTGCTTATAAAGCAATTGTCTACAGTATCAAGTTAAAGCTTGAGTTTAACCTTTTGAATCGTCTTGTGGAGGTTGCGCAGGGGAATGACACACGTGGAACGGAGAGTGGAAATCAAATTGTGCGCTTGAATGTTTTTGAGCAAGATGGTACTGGATATGTGGCCAAGGATAGTGAACGGGTGAACACGGGAAGGGATACAAATACGAAGAGACGAAAACGACGGGACTCGATGGCGGATGATAGGATATTGATTGAGACGGAAATATCTGTTAGTTGTATCGAGAGGAGGGAGGATGATAATGAAAGTACGGGATGAAGGATATCGATATAGGACTGAACTAAGGAATGATATGGCCTGTTTCTTCAACTGAGATATTGGAGAAAACCTTTATCACAAGTTCAAGTAAGACAGTAAAGTCGAACTTGAAAGGTAAACTTCAAACTTTGAACTAGTATAGACAACTATGGAGATACTCGCAGGCCATGAGGTTAAACTTTAGGAAGCCAATACAAATGACAGGAACACGATATTTCTTTTTCATGATATAAGTTTCTACCCAAAAGCTTCCATGATGACTATTAAATCTAATTTGTAGACAAGAGATTTCTTATCCCTAGTTTTTCAGGCAATATAAACTTATGCTTAATTTTTCAACGTGAAGCCAAGGGGATGCACACAAAAGAATAAACCATGCTGCTTACACCTCAGGTATTAAACTTCACCTCGTTAACCAGAATATTCTTTATGCTTCCAAGTGACAAGTGGCAGTAACTTACTAAGCGCAAACTCTTGTTTCTCCTGTCTATAAATAACCGACATGATACCTTCTTTCATCTCAAAATATCATCCAATTTCTGGCAACAGCAGCACCAGCACCATCTACCTCCATCAAAAGCTTTGTCATCCTTGGGGATGCTGCCCGTCTCATCTCGACCTTGAAGAAATGCTTCTTGCGGCAGAATTCAACTGCAAATAACACTTCTAGCTCAAAGGGATTGCTTGCGATGAAAGCAAGGTCCTCGATCCAGCTTCCAGCTTCCAGCCTCCAATGCATTACCAACAATCAACTAAAGCACAATGCCTAACCATTCATAAAGAACACGGGAATGAACCGGCGGGTTTGGAAAAGCTCCTTAAAAAGTTGCATCTCAAAGATTCTTCTCGCAACTTTTGTCGCAACCGCCGTGCTGAGGCAGTCTTTGTCTATGGTGTCCGAGCTATTTCTACCAATGTTTGAGAATTGACGCTTATTAGACGAGCGCAGTAGAACTATGCAAAGATAGTTTAGGGAGAGCTTCTTCTGGCGTGGGAGCGTGCCATGAATGCTACATGGCTCAAGGTCCTTCTCTTGGGGACCATACTGCCTGTCCTGCGCTGTCAATGATGGCGAGTCGTGTATTCTTCATGACACTACGAAAGGATGCGGCAACAGCGGCGTGAGCCAAAGCTGCACCTCCATGCTGGGACTTGGACAGTCTGAGAGACCCTTATCGCTGATTCCGTCTCAGCCCGAATGTGCGACAAGAAGCTAGTCAAAAGACGCTGTCTTCGGTTGACTGAAGAACAAGAAGAAGAAGAAGACTACGACATACCAGTTGGGTACGGAGAGGAGCAAGTTCCCGATTACGGACCTGTCGAAGAACAGGCCAAGCGTCTCTGTACCTGGCCGTGATTGCCATAGGTGGTGTCTTGCTACTCATGGAAGTGCTATATTCAGCACCTGAGCTGCTCTCATTGGAGATGTTCTGTTCTCGACTTATAGGGCTCGCCCAAGTTCTGAGTGGTAATTTGCCTGGCGCAGCTGTCTTGATGGCATTGGATGTGACCATATGAGTCGATATCAGCATTAATGAGATTACATCTGGGTAGTACAGGAGGCCAGCCACAAAGACAGATGGCGCATTTCGATCATGGCTGTGACGATAGATCTGATTGTCACATTCGTCTCGAGTAGCCATGCAACTCGGAATTTTATTTTCCTTGATTTACTAAAGTAAAGGCGAATAATTTGGGGGCCGTTTCCTAGCCGCATATCTGTGCCCCTCAACTGCGTGGTCATCCGTCTTACATCGCAGAAACAAGGTTATTACTGAATACCCGGATAGTATCTTTCGACGATTATGTGCTTGAGAACAATTGAACCTTGAACGGCTTTCGAGGCGGGAGTTCCAATATCTAGAGAATAGCCGCAGACGCCCGGTTACAGAGACAATGGGTCTGTCACATAAAAACCTGACCGCTTAATGGTTGTTTCTTGAAGGATTGCAGTCTAAAGAGGGCTGAGCTAGGATCCGCAAGTCTAGGACGGAATTGGTTACCTGCGCGGCGACCTTGCATGACCGTTGGACAGGAACGACAAGGTTGTTTCAGCTTTGGGCAGGGTTGGAAATTCACTCAAACAAACGTTCAGTGGTTCTAGAGCACAGAATTAATGTACGATGCCCTCTTGTTCAGTTGAATAAGCTACATAACTTGGACATGTTCAGAGTATCGTTAGAATGAAACAATGTCCGAAGACTGCTGCATCGCAGCTGTCAGATCTTGGCGTTATCCTGAAGCAACATGCCTAACCAGGATCATCGTGACAACCCAACTAATCCGGCCATAGAAAGCCTAGCCATGTCTCTCAAAACTGCCCATCAAAAACGCCTCGTTCTTGGCACCACTCAAGCCCTCGCTCCAAGCACCAACCACCCCCCGTCAATCCTTAATTTTCAGCTCTGCGTCCAAAAGAGATGAGAAACCCCGCCCGTGATTTCTCATCTCTTTCCTTTATTCTTCGCTTGCTGACCATTCGAGTCGTCATTGTTAACGTGAAGATGAAGTATCACGGTCTATTGCTTGGTGTTTCCGCCGGAGCAAACGCTCTAGCCATCGCTGAAGCGACAAAACGACGAGATGCGGGCTACATGTATCAGCCTGATCCTACCCCCATTGTGGGGATTTCTGATCTGAGACATTTGGCGCTGGGGAAACGACAGGAGACTACGAGTGCGGAAACGACGTATACTCTTGTTGTCAGTCCTGATTCAACTTGTGGTTTTTTGTCTGGCTCGCCTGGAAATGCGATTACTTGCGCCAATGGAGACAAGTGTAGTTGGGAGTTGCGATATGCTACTGCGATCTTTTGCGGTTCTCAGGCGTACAATCGGTGCTATGAGAGGGATGATGCTCTTGATACGAAACTCTGCGATGATGTTTGTCAGAGCAACGCTTATAACCTCCTTTGGTGAGTTTGATAATTAGTCTGAGAGTGAGAACACGACTGACCCGATTAGCACCAATACTGCTTCGCCTTATTGCGGGACATATGCCTATCCTTCTGGTGTTGTTGGCTTCAGATGCGCAACGGCAACAGTGACGAGAGACCAGGATGTTGAGTTCACATATACCAGCCAAAAGGGCCGCACATTCTCTACGACATTGGTTTCTGATGAGACTTCATCAACTATTGCCTCAAGCTCAGAGTCTGGATCATCGACAACGGAAGCTTCATCAACGACTACAGAGCCTGAGCCCTCTGAAACCGAATCAAGCGGCGGCGGAAGCTCTACACCCGTCGGTGCCATTGTCGGCGGTTCAATCGGTGGTTTCGTCGCCCTGTCACTTGTAGTTCTCGGCGCATTCTGGCTTTGGCGAAGAAATAAGAACAAGAACGCCGCCCAACCATCACCTCAACAACCCCCCGCGACAGCAGCGTCCTCTATGCCTCCTCCAGGCCCTTATGGTGATACTGTACCCCCCATGGCGCAGCATTACCCTAAATCAGATGTCACGTCGCCTACGCAGTCTGAGTGGAGGGAGTCTATGATTACCGCGCAGACTGCTACTACACCTGTGCAGAATCAAGCTTGGGGGCAGTATCCTCAGGGGTCTCCGTATCCTCAGGCGCAGCAGCCGCAGGAACTACATCCGCAGGGAAATCAGGGGCTGCAGGATGGGCAGGTTCATGAGATGCCATCTGATAATAACTTCCGTTGAGACGGGGTAGGGGAAAGGATCGAGTAGGAGAGTGTTTGTGGAGGAGAGATGACGGCTTTATATATATCAAACTGACGAATGTTTTTATGATTTGTCTTTGTAATTCTTTCTTGCAAAATGAAACAATACCAGAGTTCTTTTTAGTAACGTTAGCCTTTATGAGCTTCTAGTATATAGAATTCAGATTTTGATAAATATCAATAAACCAAATATCAAAACGATCTCAAGTATCACCGCATGTGCTGTCACTGAGGCTCTCACAAGTGTCCTAAGATTAAGCTTAAAACGCCACGATTGCCCTGACGGGTTACCTCTGGATCAGCCTCTAACTAGCTCTTGTGTACAACATTGCTATCTTCAAATCTCCGCAATGCATTGAGAACAATGTAGACCTATTCCAAGTCAAAGGTCCGTCTCAACGGCTGAACCAAGTTGAGTTTAACTGCATCACAAAGATATAGAATAAAGTAAAATATAGTCATCAATTCATTCGCTAAATCAATTTAGATCGGCTAATCAATCTGGCCTTCTCATCCTCATCTCTCATAACAATCTCATTCATCTCATATCTCATTCACCCATTCTTACAGACGGTATCGAACCTCAAGCTCACCAGGTGCCTGGTAAGTAGGAACCTTCATCTCCAAAGCCTCACCAGAGTATCCAAGATCCTCCGCAACAAGCATAGCAGCCTTCTCACCAATGAGCAGAGCAGTAGAGTACGTGTTGCAGCCGACGTTGTCAGGGCAGATGGACAAGTCAGCGACCTTGAGACCCTTGACGCCGTGGACGTTGAGTCTCTCGTCGAGAACACCGTGCTTGACGATGCTGTTGCCCTCCTTGGGTGCCATGGAGCATGTTCCGAGGCAGTGCCAGGTTGACTCGGTGTGACGCTTGACCCATTCTGTAGACGTTAGTTAGCATAGGAAGCAGAGAGATGGTTATGATGGTGATAGGGGTAAGGGGAGGGAGCTTACCCTCGACGGCCTTGATGTCAGCATCACTGTACTTGAGCTCCTCGCGGATGTGAGCCTTGTTTGAGTTGAGGATGTTGGCTTCGGGCTTGCGGTCTGCCTCGGGGAGAGGAGAAGACCAGCTTCCGTGACCAATACCAGCGGTGAGGTTGCCGGGGAGAGCGTATTGCTTGGTGGTGTCAAGGTCGAGATCATGAGCACGAGCAGGGCTGTCATATTCGAAGAAAGGGTGCTAAAAGAGTCAGCTGCTGTTGTACACTAAGATAGTGGAGGACTTACCATGTTCTCGACTTCACCAGCATAGGCATCCATGCGGCGGGCAGTCTCACGGGACTTGATGTATCCCCAGACCATGGGAACCATATCACGCTCATCGTTCATCTGAAGTCGTTAGTAATGATTCGTGGCAGTAGGTAACTTGACTTACGAAACCAGCGTCAAAGTCGGGAGTATCATATGGATCAGCACTCTTGATGTGAGTGAAGCCACGAGAGAAGGGATACTCGAGGAAGTGGAACATGGAGAAGAACTTTCCAGGGGGCCTGTAACCAGTCAGTACCAGCACAAACTTGACCGCTTCTGTGGACTTACATGAGCATGTGGTCACCAAAGAAACCGGCAATCACAGAGTAATGCATAACAGGCTTGTCAGGCTTGTTCTTGAAGTAAGACTTCCAGCCCTCAGTGAAGTGAGGCGTAGGCCACCTCTCAAAATCCTTGAGTTCTTGCTCAGTGGGTCGAATCTTGACACCAGCATCAATGCCGTTGGTGGCAAGGGGTCCAGTACCCTTGAGGTGCCACTCATCAAACACGCGCTATTCATCTGATTAGTACAACTCAAGTCAAGTGGCTGTGAAGGGGTCTACCTTTTGAACCTCAGGGTCTCCACGAACAAAGTCATCGAAACTCTCGGTATCAGGCTTAGCCCGATAAACAGAGAAGGTAAGATAATGATCCTGGAAGTTAAGTCCAACACCAGGAAGATCAACCTTGGGCTCAACACCAGCAGCACGAAGCTTCTGGGGGTCACCGATACCAGAGCGCTGAAGAATCAAAGGCGAAGAAAGCGTACCGCCACTAACAACAATCTGCTTTCTAGCACGGAAGATTCGCGTCTGCAGCTGGTTCGGGTGCAGCGGCTTGGTAGGAACAGTCTGAACACCAACTGCGCGACCATTCTCCATGATGATCTTGTCGACCTTTGTGTTGCAGGCCAAGTACAAGTTACTATGCTTAGCACGTGTGGCGTGGACATAGGCGTGAGCTGAGTCGCTGCGACGGCCCGTGTCGCGGTTGATCCATTTGAGCCAGTGCTCTGCGCCGTGGCCGGTGGAGAGATCTTGGAGATCGTCGACGAAGGGGATGCCTTGGGATTCAGCGGCGCGGAGAAAGTCGTCCTTTACGGGGTAGGTGTAGTTGCCGAAGGAGACTTTGATGGGACCTTCGAAGCCGTGGATGTCTGGGTTGACGGAGTGGCGTTGGTAGGTCTCGTGCTTCTTCATGAGGGGGAGGAGTTCCTCAGTAGACCAGCCTTTAGCTTGGAAGTCGTCGTCTGAAGTTGTTAGTGGTGTTTTTGGTGGTATCAAGTGAGTTGAGCTTACAGTCTGAGGCACTAGCTCGAGTGTACATCATGAAGTTGATGGATGAACCACCCCCAAGGATCTACAACAGTTAGTTCATGATCTTATTCCTTTCAACTTCTACTCACATGAGCACATGGCACAGTAGCAGCACGACCAGCAAGCCACTTGCTAGGACGAGACTTGTAAAATGAAGCAGTCTTGGAGTCAAGCTTCATGTTACGGGGATAGATACCAGGCCTAAACACCCAAGGGTTGTTGAGGTTGCTCTCGCCAGCCTCGATAAGCAGAACCTTGAGGTTATGGTCAAGATTCGCCAAGCGTCCAGCAACTACACAACCACAACTTCCACCACCGCACACAATGATATCGAACTCCTCTGGCAGAACACCGAGGCTGTTCGCGTACGAATTGGGAGTCGCCATGATGAAGAGCTGTAACTTTGAGGTTGCTTGATATTCTGACAATCAGGAGAGTCTACAGCTTATTTATAACATGTGCAGAGTCTGTATATAGATCTTTACTGTGTATCAGATGCCGAATGATCCCCGAAGGTTGGATGCGTGTCCAGCGGATGCTGGATGCAGTATCATCAACTCTGCGAACCCCTCTCGATACAAGATTGCGGGCACCAATGGCATATGCATGGTAGGGTCATCTGGGGTAATAAGATTGTGGATAATGGTTTCATTCTCATCAGCTCTAGCTTTTCTTTCGTCTGGGGAGAAGCTGGGCACAGTATCTTGCTTGGCCTGCATGTCAGGGATATCATCTGCTTCGCCGCTTTGACTGCGGGTTAAAGTTTCCCGAGACTTCCTTCTCCTATTAGAAGAGAATAAAGAGGTAATTAAGTTTGACAGGTTGGTTTGGGAATGTTGTTAAGGGGCATTGACATCCGTTTGATCCGGTCTTGAAACTCACGGTCAACTTTGGTAGTAGAACTGACTCGCACTTTCATATCCGACCTTCAGCAAGTTCAGTACAACTCTGATCCCCGCCGGATAAAGCAGCTTCCACCATCCTGCAGATAGTACAAATATAACGTATCATGTATGATATCCTACATCAGGCAAACTTCCCTTATCCCGAGAGCGAACCAACCCACTCGATCAAACCAACACAAAATACCAAGGATTCAAGTTGCATGTAAGATTACGACTTTACGGGCGTTCAGCAGCAGAGCTACCCATGTCGTTTTACGTCCAGGGTTGTTCCCGGACAAATAGGCTTTGGTCTCTGGAACATCCGGATCCATCAACAGCTTCTAAAATGCGGGGAGAGAGCCACGCCAAGAGAGGGCTCGAGAGTTGATGGTCGGCAATCATTGTTCTTCCCCCCGGAAAAGGATCACTACGAGAAGATGACGAGCGGGGGTGAGCAATGGATCAGGGTTGCAATTGGTCTGGGGAAATTGACTTCTTTGCGGGTGGGATCTTCAACTTGTGTGGAGTGCGGCGATTCCCCCGCAATCTGACTATCGAGGTTTTGGTAACTATATCGGCTCTATTCTTGGCATATCAACCAACACAACAGCATAAAGATGAGCATTTGTAGGACACAGCAAAAGATAACATACAACAGCGGGGATTCGCTGGTCGTCACCGACCCAACTACTAATCCGCCCCTTACCAGCTTGACTATGGGAGAGCGGACGGGATCCCGTATTTTCTAGTAGGTATGGTCGTATGTGCTCGACTCTCCTTCAGTCCACATTATCATCACGGCATTGGGATCCCGACAAGCTTCACTTTTCCCAAAAGGATGGTAATACATAAGCTTTACACGGTGTATTGCGTTCTGGAATGATAGGTCCGCAACTGTATCATCTGCACTGCAACGCTACCATGTCCGCGTCAGCATTCGGATAAGTTGCAGCGAGGAAAAGAAACGGCGGGTTTCATTCACGTCCTTGGCTTTGGATGTTCCTGCGGAATGTCTCAGTTCGTGTGTATTGTTATGGTGATCAAAATTCTGTATTTCGTATATAAACAACAATTATATCCTGGATCAAGACGGATCAGGGTCCACACTGCAGTGATGCTGTCAACAAGGATAACGTCTGTGCTGTAGTATTCGTCTTCATGCCGAGACGTCTTGTGCTCAGATGCCCAGCGAGATCAACACTTGATCGTCGAGATAAAAACCTGCTCCGCTTGTCAAGTGGCTCTGCATTGGCAGTGGAGGCCTTGTGATTCAGGCATTGGTGGACAATTAGATGCCGATTACTAAGATGCATCATGAAGTTTGAGCAAGTTGAAGCGAGGATAGGTTTAAGTGAGGGGAACTCATGCGGAGACGTATTCTATGAGCTAGAACCAAAGAGGCGCATGGAAGCTTTCAATATGGAATGTACGCGTATAAGTGAAGCATAGCCTCCTGTTTGACTTCATGTGGGTTTATGTGGGCTCCCCACATGAGAATACGGGGTCTCTTATACATGGTAAGTGTATGAGAGTTCATATATAACTAGATTAACATGTGTCTCATAGATAGAACCCGTGAGTTTCAGAAAATACTTGTTCAATGAGTGATTAATACTTCGTAGTTGAGTTCTCCGACATGATGTCTGGCTGATAAAGAGAGCGCTTGCTGAGATATCATCCTAGTGAGATGCCTTATAAAGCATGAATCAAAATATTAGAACTTCATAAGTTTCTGTATAGAGACGGCTTATCTGGTGTTCGACTGATAACTCACAATAGATATTGAGTGAGTCTATCAGCAGCCGAGACCATTTTGCGTCTTTACTCAACATCGGCTTTTATTTGACAGAATTTCTTTTCAAGCCACTCTGATAGTGTTACAACTCGCTTTCTATTATTTATTGGCATAGTTGTTTATATGATAAGCGCGAAACATTCTTTTGCAGTTGTTATTATCTAAATCCAGCAGACTCAACCTTCCAACTATCGGTAATAGGTAGGAATATACATACTATATTAGTATTTATCTCGTTCTTTTGGGTTTCCTTTTGTGTCTTGTACGTCAACTCACAACAGTTCCTTAGGCCAACTCAAGTGATATAAATAGCATAAATCTGCAGAAGCACAAGCTGATCTGAACAAACTGACCAAGTCTATAGTGAGACATTTCAGGGTTGCAAAAGTGGACATGTTCTCCGTCACTCGGTTGCCAATTTGTTTTGGAACTGCCATATTACGCCATGGAGCAACGAGAGCTGACCTGCGTGGATACGCTGTTGTCTCAGGGCAATTGCTCCACCATAGGAAGCCCTCATATACTATTGAAATATGTGAGGATCCTTGAAGTATCATGAGTGTATGTTCTATATCTTTTAGTTATCTTTATCTACAGAGTCTGATGGAAGGGCAGTGTTCGGATCTTTATTGTTTCCGGTTGACCAAAGTAGGATAGAACAGGGCCTCGTTCTTCATTCCAGGCCTTGAGCAATACATCATGATACAAAAACTATGAGATAGTATTCAACGTTGTTTCAACATTGTTTCATGACGTATGCGAGACGTAGGTCGGTCGGCATCTACAGACTACGCTTCATTTGCTCTTCACATGCAGAATGGGATACCCTACACCCTTCAAAACCACCATCTAGAAAGACAAAAGAAAATATCATCACACGAGAATTGACATCATTTATCTATAAACTTCACCAACCTCAATTTCAGGAACTCTTTAATACGTTATCAACCCACGTGGTGGCTGATCAACCTCCCCATGACAAACTCCAAATTGCGCCATCCAGATCACGTCTTACGAACTCTCACCAACCAGCCCATCACAAGCCAAGGAACACGCGGATGTCTCGCCCCGAAACAGGAAACAGCTTATCAATATGAATCCTCTCAATCACGTCTTCATTCCCCAAACCCATAAGAAACCATCATGTCTCGAATAACTCACCAGCAACGTATGCAAAATGGCAGACTCGTCGAACGCGCCGCTGCTTCAATCGCGAAGCTCATACGGTTCAACCGATAAGACCTCTACGCGCCATGATTCCATCGATAGTGAAACTGCGGGAGAGATACAGCCGAGTCGAGATGTAGAAGATGATGTACTTCCTGAGACTTCTACCATCGGGCGGAATTTATCGTGGCAAAGCGCTTATATCCTCGTTATATCGCGCGTCGTCGGCAGCGGTATCTTTGCGACTCCAGGAACGATCGTTCAATCTGTCGGAAGCGCAGGACTATCACTATCGCTATGGATAATCGGCGCTTTCATCGCAGCTTGTGGTCTTGCTGTGTCGCTCGAGTTTGGATGCATGCTTCCTCGGTCGGGAGGCGATAAAGTATACCTCGAGTTTGCGTACCGACGACCACGATTACTTGCGTCTACGCTGTTTGCGATGTACGCTGTTCTTTTGGGGTTTACGGCGAGCAATTGCATTATTTTTAGTAAATATGCGTTATTTGCGCTGGGAGTTGAAGCGACCGATGTGCTTAGCAAAAGTCTTGCTGTTGGACTTTTGACATTCGTCTGCATCACACACAGCGTATTTCCCAAGGCAGGCGTCAAAATACAGGATGTTTTGGGTTGGATCAAGATTGGCATCATCGTCTTTATGATCCTCTCCGGCTTTTACGTTGTCATCTTCCGTCCCGACACGACATCCGCTCCCCTCACGCATCAACTCGCATGGGAACATCTTTGGGAAGAAACGAGCTGGAACTGGGGTGTTATCGCGACAAGTCTGTTCAAAGTATTTTATTCATTCGCGGGACTGGATAATGCTGCGAATGTTATGAATGAAGTCAAGCAGCCTGTAAGGACGTTGAGGTCTGTTGCCTTGACTGCATTGGGGACGGCGTGTGGATTGTACATGCTTGTTAACATTGCGTACTTTTTGGTTGTGCCGATTGAAGAGATCAGAGGGAGTGGTGAGCTCATTGCTGCGTTGTTCTTTGAGAGGTTGTTTGGGGAGAAGTTTGGAAGGGTTGTTCTTCCGACGGCCGTGGCATTATCGTCGGTTGGGAATGTCATGGTTGTCGCTTTCGCAATGGTAAGTCCTTCAACCATCGTCTACGAGTAATTGTTAACGGGAACAGGCACGAATGAAGCAAGAAATCGCAAGACAAGGCTTCCTCCCATACTCCTCCCTCCTCTCATCCTCACGACCATTCAACTCTCCAATGGGCGGCTTCATAATCCACTACATCCCCTCCTTTCTCGTCATGATCCTCCCACCCTCTGATTCAATCTACTCTCTCATTCTCGACATCGACGGGTACGCCGCGCAGCTCATCGGGCTAGCCGTAGCAATCGGCCTCGTGAGGCTCCGCTTTCAACGTCCAGACCTCAAGCGACCCTTTAAAGCGTGGATGCCCGCGGTGAGTATTAGAATAGCGATGAGCTGCGCTTTAATAGTGGCACCGTTTTTTAGACCGCCGAACTACGAGGGGGAGGTGTTTTATGCGCTGTATGCGGTGTTTTCGTGGGTTATTCTTGTGGGTGGTGTAGGGTATTGGTATCTTTGGACGAGGGCGGTGCCGAGGTGGAGGGGGATGAGGTTGCAGGAGGAGACGTGTGTTTTGGAGGACGGGACGACGATCACGAAGCTAAGGTACTCTTAGAGAGATTGGAAGAAACGATTGATGTGCATTGCAGATGAAGATTTGTCGATCATTCAGGTCCGAGACATCCTAGATAGAGACTACCGGTACGAAGAGCATATCTTCAATAAATAGATAGAGGTCTGGTTCCAAACTTGGACAAGACTTGCATAAATTCAACATGACACCCTAATTTTATGGTGAATATTTGCAGACTTATCGTAGTGAGAAAGAACTCTGTTGCCATTTCTTCCGTATTCACAAACCCCGAATGACGTCCACTTCCACAGCGTTCCAAATTCTCGGGTCCGCAATCGATTTGCCAAGCCCTTATCGGGGCATCGTAAGATTGCGTTATGGGTCAAATCGTTCTAGCTCGCAAACATGTCTAGCTTTATTTCGTTATTCGTGTCCATCCACCACGTTTCTGTTCTTTATCTCTACCAGAAAGAAAAAGAACCAGCCTCGAGTGGAGTTAGCCCAACGTCAGTGGAGTAAGCGTTAGTTGAAACGAGACCATGTCAAGCCATGTTTTCTCGGGCAACGGTGGATAGGCCGAGAGAACAGCGACTATTCATGTGATGAGTGAGTGAGTCTTTGTTGGGTGAGGGAGGGTCTGAGTGTTCGTCAATCATTACATGTCATGAGGGCGAACGTTTTCCGATCCTCTTGCTTGAGGCTGTTGCTGCTGGCCTTGGCTCTGCTCTGTCCGGCTGACCTTGCTGGGCGAACTGTCTCTGGTCTGAACTCTGAGGCTTAACTTGGTAGGAGAGCCATCTGAACTATGCCTGGCCTGGTCATCATGTCGTGTCTTAGAAGGCGAACTACCTCTAGGTGGTCGGTTTGTTGTTGTTTGCAAGGGTGGTATGTCAGGTTGCTGCATGGCAAGAACTGACTGCTCCAATACCCATTCTCGAACCGCCGTAGGTGCTGCATCTCCCTCCTCATCAGGATCAGGAGGGAACTCTGGCCAACCCGCAGAACCAGCCATAGTTGCAATCTTGACACAAGCCCACTGGAGATCCAGTACTGTTTGGAGCTTAGAGACATCCCCAGTTGGTACTTCCATCTTGATACACCGCCCTGAGACAAGAGGGACGCCATTCTTAGCATGGAGTGCCGCTACTATCCCATCCTGGGATGGCAGTTGAGGAGCAGGATTGTTCTTGTCCTGGAATGTGCGAACTGTTGTAACCATATCCATAAAGCTGTCGTTCTCCCCGCCAATATGCATATCTCTCGCTCGCTTACGATCATCGCGCATCATCCAGTTAAACTGAATGTCAACCTGAGACATGGGAGGATCGTCTGTAATAGGCTGGTTGCCAAGAAACTTCAGACCGATAAGTCCGCGGTCAAACCAGAAATGGAGTTGATGGTTCATGCAGATAGCATTCCATGGATGGTCAGAGCTTCCTGGATTTGTAGCATCGGCGAGCAGACGGCTGTTGGTAGATGCCCAATCTTCCTCTCTGTTCTTCTCTGCCATTAAGGTCTGCATCGCAAATAAAAGACTATCAGTCTTTCGGATCTGGGGATCAGTTAAATTCCAGCTAACTGGAATTATATGGGCAACCTCTGGATTGCTTGTTCGTAGGAAGACGCAAGCGTTGCCATCCCGTTTCTGAACAGCCTTTTTGGTCGCTGAGCCGCGTGGCTTGTCATCTGGCTTGTAGTTCCCATCCTTCTCGTCTTCGGTGTAAGGGCGCTTGTTGCTGCCTCTTTTGCTGGACACGGATGCGGATTTCTTTGATGGGGGTTGTGTCGAGTTGTTGGTCGAGTCTTCTTTAAACTGTGCATCGGTGTACCTGTTTAAATCTGTTGAAAATCAGCACTGTTAGACGTTAAGATAAAGAATAATCAAGCACTCACAATGGTGCGAGAGTCTAACCAACTCGTTGAGCGTTTTCTTTAGCAGCGCCAAACTCTGCGTAGTTGCAGACAAGTTGCCATTTGGTCGCAGTTGACTCAAAGGAACAGTAAGGATTACAGCCACCTGAATCGCTGTCAGGGAAAAGCCCGGTTCGCGTGATTGCAATTTCTTCTGGATGTCTTTGGCATGTGCGTGTCGTTCTGCGATATCATCGGCTGGGAGGATGGGTTTCGGGCTTAGGAACACGACATCCGCCGATAATGTTTTCTTAATCATTATGGCTCTGTTCTGTTGGTCTGCCGTCTGCTCCTGGTCAAAGAAGTCATCTACCAGCTTGTGAATTCTCGCGCGCTTGTCGGGAGGAAGCGGAGGATCGCCCATACTGGCGGCGTTGTTTCATCTTTCAAGTGTGAAAGAAGAATAAATGAAAGGAAAGGAAGGTTTTGCGATACAGGCGGGCGCCCTGTCAATCCCGCCTCGCATCACGCAGCGGGGTTTTCGCGCCGCGAGAACTGACACGTGCTCACGTGACCGTTTCAAGTGGAGGCTTCATGCTTGAGCCCCCTGACTAGCCACCTCCTCCCCACCACGACACCGTAAGCTATCGATTCTCCCATCCCCGAATCGTGATAGCTTCAACAGGTGAGGTCCAGATTTAGAAGATGGCTTTAACGGTTCGGCGCACTTTTGGTGTGAGATTTGGATCTTTGGTGCTAAGTGACTTCGCTTGCTAGATCGTGATGTGAGGTGGATGGATCGGTAATTAAGCCAAGAATTTGATTCAGGACTCTTATATATCCGTTGTCGTACGTTCGTTCTCTGACTGCTTTTCCTCAGCGGTAACACTCACTTTCTTTTCTTGCTGTTGCTGTGCATTTGCCCCGTCACTCTTTTGACTTGATACTCTCTACCAACTACATTCCACTCACTTGCGAGAATCTCTATTCTCACTTACAATCGTTACTCTTACTGCAATAGCCTAATACCCTCCTTTCACAATGCCTCCCTCCAAGGTCTTTGCAGCCATTTTGGCTGCTCTGGCCGTGGCCGACGCCAGTCCCTGTAAGCCCAAGCCTGTCACAACAAGTGGTTCAACCGCTGCTGTTGTCACTACTTCTGGCTCAACCAACATTCTTTCTTCTACTGCTACTACCGAGACTGCTGCTATTACCACTACTGGAGCTGCTTGCTCTCACTACACTCCCTACACTGAGATCGTCCCCGCTGATTGCGGTAAGACGGGCGTTGCACCCAATTGCGCTGATAAGGTCATTGGATCTCCTATCACTGTTACCGACTATGCTGAGTGCGGTAACACTTGCGGTATGACCGTTGGCTGCAAGTCTTTCTCTATCAAGGGTTCTTCTTGTACCCTTTACAAGGCCCCTGTTTCTTCGCTTGGATATGTGTTTAATGAGGGTTCCGATGTTAGCCACTTCTATGATCTTGATCTTTGCTTTGGATGCGGTGAGGGCACGACTACCTCTGGTACTGAGACTGCTACCGGACCGGAGACTACTGCCACTGGAAGTGAGACTTCTGGTACCGAGACTGAGACCTCCGCTACTGGCTCTGCTACCGAAACCACCGGTACTGCTTCAGCCGAAACTACAACTGCTACCGGATCTGAGACCGAGACCTCTGCTACAGGATCTGCCACTGAAACCTCCGCCACTGCCTCCGAGACTGGAACAACAACAGTTACTGGCTCTGAGACCGAGACTTCTGGTACAGCCCACGCTACAGGCACAACCGACACTGAGACTTCAGCCACTGGATCCCAGACCGAGACTACAACTGCTCCTGGCTCTGCTACTGAGACTTCAGCTACCGAGACCCTCACAGCCAACACAGACACAACAACAGCTGCTGCCACAACAACCACCTCCGCAGACTGCACAGCCTACACCCCCGTCGCCAACCCACCCGCCACCAACTGCGCCGTCCGAGGCACCACCAACGGCCCCAGTGCCTTCTTCAACAACCTCGCAGGCTACGGTGACTCTACTCCTAACGACTGTGCTCTCAAGTGCGGCAACTACCACGATGCTACCAAACCCAACGACAAGTGTGTCTCATTCTCTCTGGATGAGAGCAACACTTGCTACTTGTACAAGGTTCCTGTGAGCAGCTTGGGTGTTGGTGCCGGCACGCCTGTCTCGGAGTTTTATGACTTTGAGGCTTGCTATTCTTGTGATGAGGGTGGTGTTACTACTACTGAGAGTGGAACTACGACTACCGAGGGGTCTGGATCATCTACCACTGAAGCTGGTGTTGACACTACTACTACCGAGACTGGCTCAGAGACTGGAACTACTACTACTGAAGTCGGTGCTGGATCTACAACTACTACTGCCGCTGGTGTTGACACTACTTCTACCGAGGCTGGCTCTGATACCACTACCACTGAAGCTGGCGTCGAATCTTCCACCACTGAAGCTGCTTCCACCACCACCGACTCCGTCTGCACCGGCTACACTCCCGTCCCTAACCCCCCTGCCACCAACTGTGCCGTCAAGGGCAAGTCCTATAAGAGCTACATCTCCTACGACACTGGCAACAGCGCTGATGTTTGTGCTAGCAAGTGTAGCGAGGTCTCTGGCTGCAAGTCTTTCGCTTACAAGGCTTCTTCATCTACTTGCACTTTCTATACTTACACTGTGAGCGAGCTTCAGATTAGCAGCTGTGCTTCTACTGAGGAGTCTGAGTTCTATGAGTTTGAGGTCTGCTATGCTGGTTGTGGTCAGGCTACTACTACCACTGAGGCTGCTGGAGCTACAACGACAACTGAGGCTGGTGTTGAGACTACTGCTACGACTACTACTGAGGCCGGCGAGGGCTCTACGACCACCACCGAGGCTGCTGTCGCTTCTACAACTACAACCGAGGCTGGTGTTGCTTCCACAACTACGACTGAAGCTGCTTCTACCACTGAGGCTCCTACAACCACAACAACCGAAGCCCAGTCCACAACCACCACCGAAGCTCCCACCACAACCACAGAAGCTCCCGTCTGCACCAACTACATCCCCCTACCCAACGCCCCCTCAACCTGCGGCAAGCAAGGCAAAGTCTCCTGCCGCTCTGCCCAAAAGCTTGGCCAAACCACCTCCGTCACCGACGTCAACGCCTGCGGCAAACTCTGCGGCACGACCCTCACCTGCAAGACCTTCTCCTACAGCCCCAAGTTCCGCAGCACCGGCGGTTACTGCCAGCTCTACTCCGCGCCTCTGTCACAGCTCAGCTTCACAGCCTGCAACACGGGCGTCAAGTTCTACGATCTTGATACCTGCTACACTTGCTCCAACACTCCTACGCCTACACCGCCTGCTACGTGCTCCAAGTATGTTCCTGCGTTTGAGAAGTGCGCTAAGGATACGCATTGCGGAACACGCGGTGAGATCTGTCAGGAGGAGAAGATTAATGTTGCGGGTGATGCGTCGTGTCTTGAGAACTGTGCCAAGAGCTGTATTCAGTATGGAAAGGACTGCAAGTACTTTAGCTATCAGCCTGAGTTCTACGGTACGCCTGCCAAGTGTAAGCTGTACAAGAGTGGAAAGATCACCAAGAAGAGTACTTCTTGGGTCAAGTTCTACGAGCAGGATTGCTTCAAGTGCCAGCAGTCCAAGTAAGCGCATGGGACACGATGGAAAAGGGATGGAAGGGAGGAGTCGCAGAACAACATTCTTTTCGTATTCTACGACTTTGAACGTTAGCATTTTTATGTAATTACTTTACTTTTTTGTCTATTTTAGATGGACATATGATATATACACTATGACTTGGGCAACCATTTACTTGTCCCTGATCGATCTACCGAGCCAGTTGCGAAGCCCATACCCAGCAACCATATAATCGCAAGAATGATAAAGACAGATTGTTGATCTGTGTCTGTTATTTCCACTTTGTTCATGGCGAGTCCGCTGTCAGACGGATATTAATGTCCATGTCACAACACCACCTTTCTTTCTAGCCGTGGCGCCTTGCTTTTTCGTATCTTCGTTTCAAGATCCAACATCTCGTACACGCTAGATTACAATAATATACACCTCAACACTATTGAACTTTTAGCAGCGCTGGCTGACAGCTTGTCTTTGACTTTAGCATCGAGCCGCAAGTCCCCATTACACCCCTCCTTCACTCGTACCTACACTCCCACCACTCTCCATCTCAAGTTTCTCTCTCTCCTCCTTCTCCTTATTGATATTTGCCTGTTTCCAAGGCGGGACCTTGGGTTCTCTCTTCATAACAACTACGCCATATTAGCATATCCCCTGCGTCCCTCAAACAGGCACAACTTACGTCTTTGGAACAGATCATAACTCGTAACCAAGAAAATCGGCATCCCAACCATAAATTTAAGCCAATTCCTCTCCAACTGTTTATACCTCCTCTTATAATCCTCCTTCTCCGCCTTCTCCCTCTCTTCCTTCGTCAACCCAGTCTTCTTCTTCTCCTCAGCCTCATTCGTTCTCTCCTCAACCTGCTTTGCCTTTTCCCTCCGATCGTACTCAGCCCATCCCGTCCTCCTCTCGCTAGGCGCCATATTCGCCCTTGCCTCTGGACTCTTCTTTGCATCCGCAGAAAGCTTTCCTAGTCGTGCTGATCTTGCCTGTCGTAGTTTCTCTTCTCGTTCTTGTGCGATTTTTGTAGCCTTTTCGATGAGGCTCTTTTCGATCTCGGCTGATTGTTCGGGTGTTGTTAGGGTTATGGTCATCTTGGCGGGCTTTTCGCCGGGCTTGACAAAGTCGACTGGGCTGGGTATTCGGGGGCGTCGGTTGGAGGGTTGTGTTGTTGAGAATGCGCATTTTGAGGATCGTTGGCTGCGGAGAGGGCATTCGTAATGAGAAGGTCGAGGGAGGGCGCTTGATGCCATTTTTCGTGGCGCGATGCGCAGTGACATTGTTTCTGCGTAAGCAAATATGTCAACTCGGGCGCAATTGGCGAGGAATGAAGTGTCGTAATGCCGGAAAGTTGCTTGAAGTTCAAGATTTACGAAGCCAAGTGGGAAAAGAGCTTAAAGTCCTTATCGATAAAGCCATAGCTCCGGCTCAAAACCTCACGTCAACAAAGTTGAATCAACATTTTGATAGCGAAATACTCCTCATATTGACAGTCAATTCAGTTCGTGCTCACTCATAGTTCTAATCTCACTTTAAATCCTCAATGTTAACCAGCTTTCTGCTATAGTTTTTGATTATACAATATTTAATCTTCCAAAACGCCTTTTGCAAACCCATTTACAGCCTGTCCATGCCTTATGATCTTACTATACCCTCCCAATCAATCGTCATCGGTGTATCGAGGACCAGTGGCGGCAGGCGTCTCTGGAGGAGCATATGCTGCAGGCGTAGGAGCACTATAATAACCGGGCGTAGGAGCACCAGCCGCAGGAGTAGGAGCCGAGTCTGCTCCCCATCCGCCTTGCCAAGAGGCTCCCGGCGTAGGTGCGCTGATGGCCGCGGGAGTCGGTGCGGAGTAAGCACCAGGTGTAGGAGCGCTCAATGCACCAGGAGTTGGGGCACCGAGAGCAACACCGGGTGTAGGGGCGTCGTAAGCGCCTGAACCTCCCCATGAGTCGTTTCCACTAGCTCCAGGGGTTGGCGCAGATACTCCCCAAGCAGGAGTCTTGGACCCTGAACCCCAACTGTCACCACCACCGCCATATGCAGGTGTACGTGAGCCAGCACCGAAAGCATCTCCAGGGGCAGGGGTTCTTCCACCGGCCTGCCAGGCAGGTGTACGTCCACCAGAACCATAAGCAGTACGGTTGCCGTCGTAAGGGTTGACAGTTCGTGAACCATCGGCCCACGCGGGAGTTCGGGCTCCGGACATGTCTGGGGCCTTCCAAGCGGGTGTGCGTCCACTTGCTGCTGCAGGTGCTACATCATGTTAGCATACTGAAACGAACCAATTGCCAAGAAACTTACTTCGTGATCCCCAAGCAGGCACTCTTTCTGAGCTACTACCCGCCATAGGTGTGCGAGAACCACCCTGCCATCCTGGCACACGATCACCACCACCTCGTCCAGCACCACCACCATATCCACCACGGCCTCCTCGGCTAGCGATGTCAATTGTAGCTCCAGTCAACTTGTTCTTGAAGCTCAAACTATCCTTGGGCACCGTAATAGTCTTGCTCTTCGTATGAAGCTCAACCCGGGCGTGGGTGTCTGTTGTATCCTTGACAATACCCAAAAGACCTTTGTAGGCTCCCTTCCTGATAATAACAGTCTGTTCAATTGCCTTATCTCGGCCAAATGATCTGGGTTGTTGTACGGGCTTGTTTTCGGTCCCGTTCTTGTGAAGCTTGAGTGCTGGGTTCATCGCTGTCAGGTCAGGACCAGCAGATGCAGCAGCCACACGACCTCCCTTGGCTGCAACGGTGTTGACCATGCTAGCCTTGGTGACAAAGACACCAGCATTCTCCTTGCTGTCATTGGTGTGTAGGAACACATATGAGCGATGGATGTGAATAATCTTGCCCTGTCGTTGTTGCCCTGTGTACTCCTTGACGACATCTTCAAGCCTAATCTCAGAGCCACTTCGGTCGGCCGCTACAGCCGTCTTTCGCTTTGGAAGCTTGTTGGCAATCTGTGACGGCATAACCTGGCGAGTATCTCCAAATTGGTCAAGAACAACAAGCGACTCGCGATCAACCTTGACAACACATCCCACTGTCGTAGGATCAAGTTGCACCAAATCGTGAAGAGAATACTGTCCCAGTGATCCTTGGCCACCGATATCACTAGCTTCACGCAAATCCTTGCTGAACACAGTGACTTCAGAATTGGTCTGATCTGTCAGAAGAGTAACCTGATCGTCCTTGATGTTGACAACCATTCCGACCTCGTCGCGGAACTTGCTGCCACCAATGACCTTGACGTGATCACCGATCTTGAAGCGCTTGCGAAGAGATCTGATGGGAACATCGATCTCTTGACCAACAAGATCACCTTCAGTGACAGTGATCGAGACGACATCGGAATGAACTCGCATAGCCTTTCCGACAACACCCTTCTGCTCGCCAGTGTACACCTCGACAATATCGCCAGGGAGGTACGTAGCTAGAGCGTTGCTGTCCTTTAGACTGTGGGCCAGAGCCTTAAGATCAAGGTTTTCAGTTCCATCCTCAGCACCTGAGGCGAATCGAGTGACTTCCTCTAGTGAGGGATTGACATCAGTAGTAATAAGTTGCTGAATCTTGATATCCTTGACCTGGAAACCATTCTCGAACTCGTCACCCATGTAGGTCCATGTACCAGCAGTAGGGTTTCCCTGGATGTGTCGAGGATGGCGCTTTCGGGCCTCAACCTCGCTAAAAAGCCTCTGCGGTGGCTTAGGACCAGCCATACCGAAAGGTCGCTTTCGCTTTCCATCGGCGGTGACTGAAGAGAAGGCATCGTCTCGCATACCATAGTCCAATCTGGGAATGAAACGGACACGAGCCTCCAGACCGTTTTCAGTAACATCAATGACCTGAGCAAGATCGCCATTGTGCTTCATAGGTCTTCGGAGACGAACCCAGGCACCAGGCTCCAGAGTTGGTGTTTTGGAAACGCGGAACAGCTCAGGCATATCCTTGATATCGACCAAGATCATCTTGGAATGAGGATACACATTCAGCATACTGTCCAATCCCTTCAAAATGTCGGTTTGACGTCGGGCTTCAACGTAGACAAATCCCTTCATGACAGAGTCAGGGCCTCCACGTTCAAACGCAGCAGTGATGGCCAGTTCATCCTTAGTGCCAGCCCTCTCTTCGATGCGCTTCATAATCGAGAAAACGACTTCTCGCTCCTTGCCTTCTTTACATCGTACGGCCCAAATGCTAGGATCGTCCACACTAGGGAGGAGCAGTCGTTTGGGAACAACCGATGCATCTCTGAAGCCCTTGCCAGAACGTCGATTGCCGTATCGCTGTCGCAAGATCTCTGCCTGCTTCTCGGCGTCCATGCTGGAATCTATCTCGCGACGGCGATCGAGCTCACGATGTCGTCGGTCATCATCGATACCGGTTTCAGCCATATCGTCCGGATGATCGTTTGTGATAAAGTCGCCTATCTCTTCACCCAGCATCTCGTCATCTTCGGCTTCGTCTTCATCGTCGACTTCGGCTTCAATATCGAAGAAAGCTGCTCCTCGTTCCTTTCTGCGTTTTCTGCGATGGCCCTAAAGGGGGTTAGTATTTCAAGGGCAGGCAGGCAACGCGCCCAGGCAGAATCAGAGTCTGCTCACCTGCTGGACATCGTCCTCGTCCTCGTCATCTTCCTCATCTTCTTCATCATCGTCGTCATCATCGCGACGCTTTGGATTATCTTCCTCTTCCTCTTCTTCCTCCTCATCGTCGTCATCGGCGTGTCGCGACTTTGATGGTCGCTCATCCTCGTCATCGTCATCATCGCGAGGCGCAGGGCTGCTTCCGCGCTTTATCTTCTTGTCGTCGCCATCTTGCTCTTCATCGGAAATATCGGCGGGCGCTGGGTTGAAATCTTCTTCATCTTCAGAATCGTCAAAGCGCGAAGGATCGTGGGAGGACATGGTGGCGAGTGAGCCGCGCGACACGAAGCGTGTCTGCGATGATTGGTGAGCGATTGGTGAGAGATTGGTCGCTGGAGTTTGAAAGATTAAGAAAGTATTAAATGCCGTCGATGCGAGACAAGAAGAATAAAAGGCGCTTGATGGATGACAAAGATAAATAAAGAGAGGTTCAAGTAACTTTGAAGTCAATGTTAGAGCTTCAGACGGCAAAATGCCGGGCCTTGTGCAATGCACAACCATGTAATTGGTGGGTTCCGAGTTGTGCAGGATTACAGTGGGTCTCTTGTGAAGGTCATTAATTGATCTCATAACTGTAAAAGAGTTTACGACAGAAATGTTTCTTGTTCAAGTCTTGCAGAATCGTATGTCCTGTTCTTAAGGCTTGGAGGGCCTATCTCAATTATAAACCATGGCTCAGTGAATACCCAGACTACGTGAATCTTGGCCTCAACACTGACGCTGCTATGAATGTACTCGACATAAATTAGCGACAGTGAATAAGGTGAACGTTAAAGGGACTGTAGAGTGATTGGTTGGCCACTTTCTCGAGATTCACAGAGAGGTGTTTTTGAAGAAGCCAACGAGACAACCCTCACCCAGTCACACTCAAACTACTGCATCATTCAGTGATATCTGGTTATAGTCATCATATTGCATATATCTTCTCATCATCTATATCTACTCCAACGCTAACTCCCACCAGCGCCGCCCTCTATGTCCACCCATTCCCAGGCTTTGCACAAGCTAGAACTCAATCTGGCCGCTCAAACTCCTCCTCATGCACAAGACCTCCTATAAAGCGCAAGTGTCCAGGATATAGGTTCGTGTTTTTATATCGACCAGCCCAACGTTTTGATCCCAGCATCTCGAAGATGCCCCCAATCAGACTTTCAAAAAAACCCTTGAATGAAAACTCCAGGCTTTGCGGAATGCAATGACCATGCCCTTAACCAGCCACACTTTACATGAATCGAGTAACGTTTCTGGAACAGAACTGGAAGCTCTGACCTACGCTTTACAAATGATTTAAGCCAGTTCATTACTGCTTCTTCACGCGACTCGTGTTCCCCAGATACCGCGTCCTGCACCAACGCCGAGCCATTCGCCGTACTCGGAGTTAGGTAGTTGAGGTACCCAGCCAAGGTTACCAATCTCGTAATCGCATTGCCAGCTAGCAACAGGGCTTTTGGGGTTCTCTTGTTGAGGAGCGCCGTTCATAGGCTGGTTGGAATTGTAAAGATCCCAGAGGAGGACCTGGCAATCGTCACCACCTGAAGCAAGCATTCCTCGGCGATGAGGTGACCATTCGATGCAGTTGATGTTTCCGCCATGACCGCGTAGCTCGAGCAAAGCCTGGCCGGGTTGTCGCACATCCAGAATGCGAATAGCGTTGGAATCCTGAGCAAATGTAGCGAGAAGATGGGTATCATGAGGTGAAGTAGCAATCCGTAGTAGCGGGGGAGGATTCGCCATCGTTTGCTGAGCGAGTGTTGGACTAACACGGCCACCGTTGGGGTCTATAAGGTCAGTATATGATGAAGAAAGAGCGGATGAACAACCTACCTCGCTCTTCCTTGCCCGTAGGCTCGTAAATAATTGTAGAGTGCTCCAAACTTCGAAGATCAAACATACGGACACTACCGTCTTGACCACAGCTAACAAAAACATCCACACTCTTGGCACAGAACCTAACATCATAAACTTCTTTATCGTGGGCAATAAGTTGGGTCTTGGCCGTGAGTGAGGGAATATCCCAAATAGTACATGTCGTGTCTATGCTGGAAGTAATGATGAGGCTGGGAGAAACGGTGTTCCAATCGAGCGACGTTAGAGGCGCAGTATGATCTGGTGTCTTGGAATTGGAGAGTAACGCGAGAGGTGTCAACTTGGTGGTAGGGTTGTCGCGGCGACCGATGGTGCTGCTAGGCGTAGCAGGATTCTCGTTAGGAAGAGACCACAATCGCAGGTGATCGCCCGAAGTCGCGAGCAGGTCAGTAGACTGCTTCTGCGACGAGGGCGGCTCCCATAGCAAGCGCGTCACAGGATAAGAGTGGGTAGCTTCGGCAGCCTTGGTGAATTCGAGACTAAATTTAGATGAGCCAGGTGTGTAAACATCTTGAGGTGTTGGTGTGATGTGGCTATCGAGGATTTGGATCTATAAGAGTCAGCGATTGTAAATGATCAATTATACGCTGAGACGCACAAAGTTATGACCATCTTCCAGATAGCTCCCCACGGCGAGCTTGCCAGCACTATTGCCCTGGGCAGGCCATTTGCACCAGTCGAAAGCGTAAATGGCCCATGGCGCGAGGTAATTGCTTGTTCCTGGCTGCGCGCTATTGGCGTCATATCCCATAGTAGCTCCATGGCCATCGGACATGCTCGAGTCGGCGCGGGGACGAATATCAGCTAGGCCAAGCGGGGTGTTGGAGATGGTGCGCTGAGATCCTGGAGCATTGTATCTGGCGGGATCGATTGGAGACATCAAATGTGAAGATGAAGCACCGCTGGGAGTAGTGGGCGTGTATGCGTGGTAATTGGAAGAGCCATCGTAGCCAGCGGCTGGGCTGGAGCGAGAATAGCTATGAGACATGCTGAGTGGTGGTTTGCTCGCAGCGGCAGAGGGCGAGTTTGAATAGTCGTGGGAAGGCTGGCCGTGCTGCGAAGGGATCTGCAGCGGCTGCTGTGAGTGATGAGGATGCTGCTGGTGTTGACCTTGCGTCGGCGGCTGGTGAGGAACAGATGAGGCAGCGGGAGAGGATTGCTGCATCGGCGAGGGCAAGTTGGGCGAGGCTGGGGCGCCGCGAGCGGACAGGCCACCGGCGGGTTGGAGGACGTTGGGCACCGAAGAGTTGGAGGGGTTCCTGTAGTGGACGTTTGAGGGCGAAGACTCGAACTTGATCTGAGGAGGGTTCTCGTAGTCTTGAGGCGACATGGAAATTGGAGCACCAGTTTGGCTCAAGCCCGACATGTGCAATTCGTCGTGCTGGGGCTGGGGTTGAGGGCCGGATCCAGAGCCAGAGCCAGCGCGAGGAGCAGACGCAGACGCAGAAGACATGGAGCCCACCTGCGTCTGACGCAGTGAAGGAGGAAATTGCTGTGATTGGCTCATTGTTGGATGGTTTGACTGTTTCTCGGCTTAGTAGCTCGGGGCCTGTGTTTGACGGACCTGGCCTGGGGCTGATTGACTCGACAAGCCTCGAGGTGGCCTGGCGCCAAAGGCAAATAGCAGCAACGTTGGAGTGAGAATGAGTCTGAGGAGGAAATGTATGCGACAGTGCAAGATGAGGGTAGTCGTTAATAAAATCGAGGTGGAGCAAAGAAGTGTTCCTTACAGCTCAACTGGCTCGCGGGCGTCGGCAGTTGGTAAGCCAAAAGATCAGCAGCAGTCGCGGTGCTTGAAGTTCCCGTCGGTTCAAGCAGAAGTCCGAGGGTGAGGCTTCAGGGTATTGACCTGTGAGAGCAAGGAAGAAGAAGCGGAAATTTTGACGAGATGCAAGAAAGAATGCGATGTGGAAGGTTCCTCGTTCGTGCAAGCAAGGTTTCGGTCTGGTCTGGCCCGGTCTGGTTCGGTTTGACTTGGAGAAGGGCGGAGGGGTTAGTGAAAAGTTGCCGGCTGATGGCAGTCTCGTTTGAGTAGATAGGATTAGGCAAGCATAAATATTATTATTCTCGAAGGATTCAAATGATGTATGGCTTCTTTGAAAGTATCACTATATTTGACTGCTGAAGTTCAGCCAATGTTTGCACTGCATGAATATAATTTACTCACGGGAAGACGCGTGAAATTTGGAAGCTTCGAACCTCTTGACGAAACTTGCATTTGTAGATCTCTAAACCCTGGTCAGAAATATCTAATCGTATTTCGTGCCCATCCAGGCCAGAGTACCTTGGGTATCAAGTAGGTATGAAGTCTTCCCCAAGCAAGCTATCTTGTATGTGATGCTACTTTATGAGCTCACAGCTTGACCTCATTGATTTTGAGCCGTCTGGTCGTTTTACATGCAGTGAACAATACTAGTTTCACGATTCCCTTAAAACCGAGTTAGATATATTGTAAAGAAGTATCCGCTTCAATGTGAAGCGAGATAACAGATTACTTGCGCCTTTTCATAGTACGAACTGAGCTTCAGTTTGAAGCTATCATCAAATGTTCAACAAATGATTGACATTCATCACATGAAGATAAGCCCGTGACGCGGTCGTGGTTCAGATCCACTCCCCGCCCTGTGGATCGCGGTAGCTCATGGCAGGTGCACCCCGGAGCAGGTGGGCACATGCCAACCCCAGATAGTGTCCAAAGCTTCCATCCAGTCAAGCTCCATCAAGCTCTTCTCTTATGATCACTACCAACGACTTTAACGACTCATCACAGCTTATACAACTAACCTACCTATCACTGAATATTCTGATATACTTCAGCTAATGTGAAGCACCGCGACTACAGACTCCGCAGCTATAAAAGCTTCTAGCCGTGTCTATCCGAAATCGAGCGAATGTTTGCGACAACTTCAATACTGCAACCACTCTCATCATTTCCATAGCCGATCCTCGCGTATCTCTATTTATAAACCAAAATGTCTTCTCCATCTATCCTCGATCGTATTTCCAGTCCGACCCAGCGACTCCTCAACAACCCACTCCGTAGCCCTCCTATTCGAGAAGTCAGCGAGTATGACTTGGACGAGCTCGAACCTCGAAGTGAAGACCCTCTCTTCGACCAGGGACCTCCACGCCCGAGACTTAGAAAGACGGCCCAACCTACCTCTACTACATCGACCCGGCGATCTTCATCACCTGCTTCGTGGGACAGCAAGCATCGCTATGAGAATTCACCTTCTCGGAGGAGGTCGAAAGTTATCTTCGCAGGACCACCACCTCCGATCGCATCCTCAGTCCTTATGAACCAAGATCCTGCACGACAATCAGTATCCCCGAATCACAGCGACAGCGGGCGAGGGTTCGGGTTGCTTTCACCAAGTCGCTTTGGGTTGAGTGACAGTCCGAGCCAGAAGCATTTAGATAATCGCCCACGACTCGATTCAATATGGAGAAGCTTACAGCGACGAGAAAAGGCTTTGGAACGAGATATTCAGCAGCTTTTAGATCTTCAAGCTTCAGGTTTGGTTGCTGGTAGCGGTGATGGGGGCTCCGAAAGCAACTTTGGGAGCGATACTGGTACGGGGGAGAGTACTTTCTATTCGACAGCTACGTCGAAATCCCGAATGATGAATTCATTACATATGCCGATACGCTCTGCGCCAGATGGAAGTGTTATACCTGTGCGACAACCCGCTCCAAGCAAACCACGCGGCCTCAAATCAGCTCGAGCTGGTCTCCAGCGGGCCATGGCTGCTTTATCGGACTTGAAAGCGGAGGAGGACTCGCATCTGAACACGGCGCTAGAACAACGAAAGGATGCTTTAGCATACCTTGACAAAATGAGCAAGAGGAGGGACGATATATATGCTGAGCTTCATGCCTTGGAAGACGACGAAGAAGAACCTTTGGGCCAGGAACTCCGTGAGCTAGGGGCAGAGCAGCAGGCTTTGGACCACGACATACGACTTTTAGAAGAGAAACTGATTGGAATGCGAAATCGGCGCAGATGGGTGCGAGAGAAGATAGAGGATGTAAAGAATCGACGAGAGGCTGGCCTGAGCGGATACAGAGCTGCTGGTCGAGACGTGGACACAGAAGTAAGGGCACTGATACAAAGACCGCCTGTTACACCGCTGGATATAGATGCCCTCGGCGCCGGTGCAAAATCTCGATCTAAGGAGAATACCGATATGCTGCGAGGTACCGAGTTCCTGCAGCTCAGACCAGAGCGCCGGACGGTAGAAATGGCTAGAACGTGGTGGCAAGGAGAAATCGCTGTGCTTGAGCGTCGCAAGGCGCAAATATCAGAAGACCGCCAAGCTTTGATTGAAGGCTCCGAAGTTTGGTCTGAGGTTACAGGGCTTGTCGCACAATTCGAGGCAAGATTGCGGGAACTGATCAAAGCCAGTCAAGGGGGAGATGCCGACGAAGAGCCTCAACAAGCTGCAATACGAGATCAGTTGTCCCAGATGGACACTGTTGTTGAAGAGTTGGAGAAGCGATTGCAGCTGGCTGAATCAAAACAATGGAATCTCCTTATATGCGCGATTGGCGCAGAGTTGGAGGCGTTCCTTGAGGCCAAAGCACTCCTGAAGAGAACACTTGGAATTTCAGAGGAGTCGGTCACTACAGAGGATCATTCAGAACATAATGGGACACAAGACAATACAGAAAGGGAAACCCACGAGAATACTGAAGAAAGTCACGATGAGAGCGATAACGAAGTTCCAGCTGACTTGTTGGTATCTCGGCTCGAGGAGCATGACCACGATCCTCCGGACAGCCCTCAACAGAGCGTAGTGTTACGACGGGTTAGCTCTGAGAACGAGGTTCCAGCTGAGTTTCTAGCAGAAAACAAGGAACAAACCAAGGTTGACTAGGAGGAAGAGTTTGGGACGTTGATTAGGCTTATGAATAATGACACGAAAGGTTAGGTAGATTTGAGTAACTCGGTTCAGGTTGTTGGTTATTCTCAAAGCAATTCACGACAGCAGGTTAGAAGCTCATGGCCTTAATTGAGTATCAGTATCATTGATCCAATTCACATGCATAGTTAGTCATATATCCGAACGCCTATCTGAAAACCCAGCGCGTCGAACGCGTATCAGGTAGCTTTGGCCATTTCCTCCGCGCGATCGTTAAGTCGTTTTTTAAGTCATTTGCAGCTGTAAAACTGAGTGGGAAGTCCATGGTATCGATAGCTTAAAAGGGTGTTGTTGTTGTCGTCGCTCATCGGGTTCGCTCAAAGTAGCCGCTGGAGCCTGCGATCGCAACGGATTGATCCATGACCCATTCTCCGACACCGAGGTATCTATCGATCCAACCGGTGAATTCCTTGTTCTCGCCAGCGACCTTTTCAGTCTTGAAACTATCGCTTGTTGTTAGATGTGTCGGAGAGTATTTCGGAGGGTTTAAGGCTCACGTCAGGCCGGTAGATCGCTTCATGCCGGCGAGGAAAGCCGAGACTGTGCGGCGTTAGTTTTGCGCTTTCGCGGCGACAAAGAAGGGAAGTATCTTGGACTTACAGAGAACGGCGTCAAAGGCATAGTGTGTCAACCGTCCGACCTTTGACCAGAGTCCCAGAGTCAGCAGGTTGAGGAGCTGTGAGAGGAGTCTTTAGACTTGCCAGGCCTCACGGGCAGAGCTCCAAGGGGGGACAGGGGGAGAGAAGAGGAGGGTACATACCACCATGATGTAAGTGTTTGCAGCGGAAGAATTGTAGAGTGTCGTTTGGTGTTGGATGATTTCGCGGTGTGAAGCGTCGTGAATGGAGTCGTTTTCTGGATCTAACCTTGGTCTAGCTTGGTCGTCATGCGACACAGACACAGCCGCGGCGGGAACCAGGCGATAGTGGAGACTCCGGCGTGCCGGCGCCGAAAGCTCCGGGGTAAAGCCACATCACGTGTTTAACATGTTTGACCCAGACGGGACCCAGGCATTTGGATCTGTTGCAAGTGGATGTGCATGGTAGATGTTACAATGCAAAACATTGTGAGATGTTAGACGTCTCATGAGATGATATTATTGGCATCTGTATCATGTTCTTCTTAAAATAACTAGACTCAAAATAGAATGGTAGATCTAGTATCGAAATATCCAAAAGCGGATATTCATGAGTAACCCCTCAAGGTGTAAATAGCTCAACATGCTTCATCTCGAGATTCACATTCCCAGCGGAAGCTCCTGATATGGAAATGCGCCTGTATAGAATCAACGGGGCTCAATAATCACGTTGCATCACAGCACGTTGCCGCCGCTAGTCTCGTAGTCGCCGGTCAAAAACAAAACCGCTTGTTCGCTGGCATATCGGCGTTATTTACAGGAAAACCCACTCACAACTGTTTTTTCCCTTCACCTCAACGACTGGCGGTCCAGACGCGAGAGGGGTTCAAGGGTCCAGAGAGACATCGCCGAGTGCATCGCCGTGTTCTATCCCAAGAAGAGCAAAGACGAGGAGGGGGGAGTCATGAAGCAAAATCCCTCACTCATGAGGGATCCTCTTTTGCAACA